CCATTGTTTTTCCACCCCATCAATTTCCATCCTTTTACTTCTATTTTATACTTGGCATCATTTTCCAAGCGTTCTACTCAAATTTTCCATTTTTTTCCAATTGTTTTATGTCATATTCCCTCATTTTTTCCATTGTTTTTCTCATCATTTTCCCCTCCATTGCAATCTCCCCAAGTCGAGCTCGGAGGGCGGACCAGGGGGGAATCGATACCCCACGTCACCCAATTGCCACCTGGTACATAACCCTAAACAAGTTTACCTCGGTCCACCTTTTTTACCACCTAATTTCCTCATTTTTGTCCGTTTCGGGGCGCTCTGCCCCCAGACCCCCTAAACTCACTTTGTTCGCAAAAATAACTTCGCCTAGCCTAGCGGCTGGCTTTCGTGACCATTGCAATCTCCCCAAGTCGAGCTCGGAGGGCGGACCAGGGGGGAATCGATACCCCACCGTCACCCAATTGCCACCTGGTACATAACCCTAAACAAGTTTACCTCGGTCCACCTTTTTTACCACCTAATTTCCTCATTTTTGTCCGTTTCGGGGCGCTCTGCCCCCAGACCCCCTAAACTCACTTTGTTCGCAAAAATAACTTCGCCTAGCCTAGCGGCTGGCTTTCGTGATAATTTGATATCTGAATTGGTTGATGGAGCACCAATCTTTCAAAACATTAACTATTTTTCTTGAGATCTTGAACTAAGAATTATCATGAATGAAATCATTCATGCTAAGACCAAGGAACTTGCCAGGTGTTTGCTTTGGACGGATTTAAATTTGGCAACCCGGAAAGATGTTCCTTTGCGACGAAAATATGGAACCAATCCGGTATTTAAATCATCTGTCATCATGTATGACCTTTTGGGGCAAATGGGGCTCAACCCCTCCGTCAATCAAGCGACCAATGGAAAAATAAAATACAACATCTAGAAGTATGGCATTGGAAGACTGCACTCAACTTCACCCTAACATCAACGCTGGTCATATTGCAGTAGGTGGCGTATGGTTAAAATTGGATATGAATATGACATATTCCTCCATCAGAGTCACAAATCAGAAGCTGTTTCACCAACCTGTCACTGGCTGGGATTTGTCCACTGACATCAGCAAAACGTTAACATCACATTAAAGTCCCTGGTTGATTACTTGAAGATTCCCAACCCACGGTGGATAAAAAAGAACTTGACACATCCAGGGGACGCCAGCAAAACTATCGCGAAAATTCGCGAAACACATGTTGAATGTTGAAATGTTACCCAGCCCAATGAACTTCTCTGATGCATCGTCATTTCTGATATGAAGCCTTTCATTTAATAGTCGCTGTAACATGGCCAAGTGTGCATATCCTGCCAACAAACTTTTCTGGCTACATCTCCGTTTGTAGCGAAAAAAACAATAGTCACCATAAAGTAACTCACAAAAAATGTCCCAAAGGGTTGAACCAAACTGTTATATAATAATGAATAATTGTCAATTATAGATGATACTTACATCATTAATCATAGATGATATTTACACATATTTACATCACATTTTTCCGGGGCATCCAGGCGGCATCCTTAAGGCATCCAAGGCACACAGCACGCATATAGGGCCTATACAGTACCGGTGGATCGAGCGAGCTGAGCAAGCGACCATGGTAGACCTAGAAATATTTGGACCAATGAAATGGGATTTTATGATACTTGGTGATAATAGCAATACTGGCTGAATATATGGTCAATACTGGTCAATAACAAACACTAGTAATGGTCAATAATAATGGTTACCCTCTGGTAAAGTGTCACATAACTATGGAAAGATGCACCATGCTATTAATGGGCAAACTCACTATTTCGACTGGGCCATTTTCAATAGCGATGTGGCTGTTTACCAGAGGGTATAGCAAACAGTTGGAAATGGGATTCATTCATGATAGCAAAAACATGCAAAAACCTTAGATATAGGAGTTATCACCCAATTTAAGGCTGTGAAGGGGCCATGACTGCAAGCATTTTACTACGGTGATTCACTTTTGGTTAAATTCCCCAAAAAATGCTGACCTATACACACCCATTACAAAAATTATCCACCATGATAACCCCATGGAATCCCATGCATATTTTGGGCTAAAATCTAACATCCATTATAAACCCAATCACATCCTCATATGGAGGTTTCCTGACATGGAGGTACCCCAAATCCAAGCCATTAGACCATGGCTAAGTACAAAAAAATAACCATGGTGACTTGGGCATCTTCCTTGACTTAAGAAACCCTTATATAGTGATGGTTAGTTCCCCATTATTGATTCCCTATGCCAAGTGTCATGGCTTCAGTCTGTTCAGCACCAGCTCCAGTTTGCAGCCTGGCAACACTAGGCTTGGGTTGGGTCGGTCATGTTTCACAAACATATGGGGTTCGGTTCGAACATCAAAATAGGGGGATACCGGGATACTGATGTAGCTTGCATCCAATCAACAGGTTGGTTTAAGGATGTTTAAGGGAAAATCTGGTGGCGTTGAAAAACATCTAGAAACCAATTCCAGGGGAGTCAGACGACACATACTATGCTGAACGCTAGCGAAGAATCCGGACAATAGAAGGTATGGATAAAAGTGTACCCTCTGGTAATCAATGGGAAATCCCCTTCAAATGAGGACTTATAGGTGGGAAAATCATATATACATGGTGTATTTTCATGTATTTTCCAGCAAGCCATGTTTGATTGCCGGAGGGTACATAAACCAAAGTTAGCAGTAATAAGATGCAAATAGGCTGCTTCCAAATCCGCCACTTAATCATAATGTGCCAATCAACAAATGATAATGTTTGAGTGTCGCTCCTCAAAGTTCGTACTTTTTTTTCACCCAAACCCAGCAATGGAACAGCAACAAGTTGAGATATTAATTTTGTTCATGTGTTCCAACTAAACGCAATTTGAATGCTATCTTTGGCTGGTTAAAACGGGTTCATCATATTGTAAGGTCCAATTATTCCAGTAATTGCATCCTAATAAATGTAGTAAACCCGATGCCATCAATAACCTATCCCACGGCTATCCCAGTAACCAATCATAAATAAAGGGAGACATTTTCATACATCGTCGAATCACGCCCCAGTTGGGATTGTTTATGGCATCGGGTTTGCCGCATTTGTCGTAAATAAATCCCGTGCATGCACCATGTTTGACTTACCCTCTTCCATGGTTTTTTCTCGCCATTTGTTGAGAATCGCCCCTAATATCTTGCACAATATCATCCTATGGGAGAATTGCCCAATGATCAAAAACATGAATATTGTCATCCATCCCATGGTGCTGAAACATCATGGCCAAACCATAGCTGGTTAGTAGATGTTAGTCTGTTAGTAGATATGCCCAGTTGTCGATGATGGCAATATTTTAAGTACTACGTTTTAAACTAAACTGCCCACCCAAGGTTGACCCAGTTAAGGGTACTTAAAACCGTGATTTTTAATTAATTTTCCAGTTACTATTGGGTAAACACCATGGTTTTCCTAATGCTATCCTTACATATCCTTACATGTATTGGCTGGTTGAGGTCGAAAAAAGCTCATCATACTGTGAGTTTCCATCTAACTGCTGATTTCCATTACTTCTCAGATTATCCAATGATTCAACCACGTAGCTATGGGTCAAAACCCTCAAAACCCTGGTGACATTCTGCTCACACCAAGATGGCTGGTAGCTATGGATGTGGTATTTCAATCAAACTTTACAAAATGGTTGCCCAATTCGTTAGCTAATTACAGCTAATTAAGGTGGTGGAAGCAAGTAGGGGGACCCCGACCCCGACCGACGGCTGTGGAAAGAAACATCATGGACCAATGGGTTTTGAGGAGCGGTTTAAACCAGGGGGGCTTCGGAGGGGGTTTCCATGACGTTCTGGACTCTGGACTTCCTGCTACGCTCATTACTAGCTCTTTGAAATGCATGAGATCAGTTTGATTTTCTGACCATTGGCGGCCATGGGTGGCTATTTTCATCTCCCCGAAAAGTGCGTCTTGGAGAATGGTGAGAAAAACTTCACAAAGTTTAAGCTGAAGAATGTCCAATAAACATGAAGTTACGAAGGCGATGGAGCTGAGAAATACCAAACTATAACTTTTGTAAAATTTCCAAATATAGATGTTCAACCCATCAAACATCAAAAAAAGATCCAAAGGATAGATAAGGATAGCCTTGAAACCAGGCGGCTGTCTGGGGGTCGGGCACCGGACTAGTTCACGGGGGTAGCAGCCAACAAACATTTCACTGCGGGGCGCCACCAGGTTTTTTTTCGGGTTTCCTCCATCTCTCGAGGCCTCAGATCTCTTTTATAAAAGAGGAGCCACCAAGATTTGTAAGTTGGTCTATACCACTAGGAGGCGGGGGCGGAAGTTGCCTTAAGGTAGCACTAGTTGGACCTTTTCGCTGCATAGCTTTGCCCGCTGGCCACTGCTGTGTGTCGTCTATGACGTCTTGACACTGCGCACAGCAGGACTCCCGCGTCAGGCAGGCACGATGTCGAAGCCTGGAGCACTCTTTTTCGGGCTCACGTAGAGCCAGCACCTCGGTGAAAAGTTTCTTTTTCATCCAAATTGAATGTAAAGTTTAACGGGGATGGGAATTTATATTCCTCATGCCCTTGTTGATTTTCCCAACTAAGGAATTTATATTCCTAATACCCTTCGTTGATGTTCCATATAGCAACGTTCCTTTGTCCCATATTCCAGAAGTATGAACATGTTCAACCCACTTCCGTCAGCACTCACTTGGACCTTCAAGTTGTCTATGCCGCTCTATCCTTCACGGTCAATCCACGTTGAATCCACAAGTGGATTCTGTCACTGATTTTGTGGTATTTATAATTCATACAAATACCTCCCTATTGTTGTTGCTTGTAGTCCGACTTTGTTCCACTATTAACTATTCCAATTATCATCCCATTAAAAAAAACACAAAATATCCCTATATAGAGCATATATACATGTATACCCCAAAAAATATAAACCATCCCAATTATCATCTGTCGAAACAGCATGATTCCGATCCGTAGATCGCACCAAGGGTTGGCCTGGACCCGGGTGGAATCGTGGGACTCGACGGCGCTGATTTTCTGCTGGTGACGGACTTGGCAGACGACGAGCGTTGGGGCCGACTACCAGACCTCACTGAGGGGCCGGGTCTCAAGGAGGTCTCAGTTGGGCGACTGTGGGGATTTCCATCATCAATGGATTGGTTTAAGGGAAAATCTACAGGAAACCATGGTTTTTACCATCAAATATAGGACATCAAGATTTTACAAGTCAAAAAACTATAGGATTTTTTGGGAGGGAACTAGTGGCTATCAACCATTGATAGGGATGAATTGAAGATTCAACGGGGAATGAAACTGGGATTTCATATGAGTTCGCCATTAAAAAACATCAGGGCTTCAATGGATGAAGATAAACTTCATGATATGAATTTGTGAATGATAGCAACAATTGATTGGCGATTCCAAGGATTTAATGGGGATTGAATTCACGTAGGGGTTCATCAACTGAAAAGCATGAAGTTTAATGAGGATATGCATGAAGAATATGCCAACTTGGCATGGTGATGTTCAATAGGTTGTGAAATATGTATATAGGTTGAGGAGGTGCCTAGTTAGATAAGTTGGTTTAAGAGTACGTTCAGTTGGATTTTTGGTACGCATACAATAGCTAGTATATCATAGTATATCATAATATATCATAGCATATCATAGTATATCATAGTATATCTATGTCATATGTATATCTACATATCTACAGGCAGCTGGGTTTATAAACCAACTTAGAACTGGAGGGAGGGAGCCAACCTGATGATAGATCAGGATCCAATGGAGAGTGAAAATCGATAGGAGACCATCATGATTTCACCCTTATTAAGTTGGCAACTGCACCGCCAAGTGCATGATGGTGGAACCTACAAATTACTCCAGTAATGTTTTATGTCCTATAGATTCCTATAGTCTTGGTAAATGTATCAAAGGTGACCCCAAGACTGTTTGGGTTTATGTTTTGGGCTTATTTGCTCCACCAGCCAATGCATGTTTACAGGGGAAAATCGGGGAGGTTTGCGGCCTGAGGGTGAATCCCCATGATCTTCAAGGAGAGGCACATGTCATCCACTTGCATTGCCTGCAGCTCGTTGTCACGATGCTTCTGCATTAGCTTGGGGGATTTTCTGAAGCCCTGTGTACGGCTTTGTCCATCCTCCTGAGTTTTTTCACATCAAAGTGTCCCAACTGGACCAAGATATGAGGCGCCTTGACAGGACCGTTTGGCTGGGCTCTTCTGTTTGCCCACCATCATCCTCATCATCTTCATGCCGATGTCGATGTTCACCACAAGGGCCCCCGCAAAGTAGTTTTCACCGTGTCCTGCTCTGGACATTTCCACAAGCCATGACAGGCGCAATGCGGCACGATGGTAGTGGTGCCACCAAGGCAGCTTCTTGACGTCGCAGTGCTATTGATCATCGAATCATCACTCGGTTTATCATAAAGGATACAAACGCGAGGCTTTCCTCGAGAAGTTGTGTTTATGTAAAACCATCATTAACCATCTGTCTTTTTGGGGGTATTGAAAATGAAATGACTCACAATTATGGATCATGGTTTTAAGACATCAAAACTGTTCAATGTTCAACCAACCTTTTGGCGACATTCAAAACATTTCCAAAAAAACAAACAACCTTTTTGGCAACATTCCAAATGATACTTCGCAAATTCCCCGATTCAACGATAGCTTTTTACTCAGAAACACATCGTGTTGATATGAACGAGCTGAGCATATAGATCGAAATATGTGTACCTATACATGTGTTTGCAGGATATGAGAGCTGCAAACGTTAGTTTTTGGCCCCAAACATGTTTGTGTCAATCGAACGACGCGCCGCAGCGCCACTTGATGTTTTGTTCCCGTATGGCTTGGTGAATACGTCGCGCCGCGTCCTCATGGTCTACATATGGGGTCTGAAGATAGGCGTGCCTGTATAAATTGCCATTTTGCAACTCCCCATTTTAAGACACCCAAATATTATATATATATATATATATTATAAATATATGTTGTTGTTTTTTTTTTTGGTTGTTGTTGTTGTTGTTGGTTCTATGTTAGATACTCAGTCTTCCTGTAGGATCTCATGAAATATTGCATGATGTTAATATATTGAAATCCGATATGTTTTTGGCAAATCATCTAATTTAATTATGGTTGCACATGGTTGCCAATGGTTGCACCAACATTGCACACGGTGCTGGATCTGGATCAATTTTAACATATCGTGGCTAACCTGAAATAAAACAAGGGACTGGGGACCCATCATATTCCCATAGCTTGTTGGTTCAATCACCATATGGTGGTGGTAGTACATGCGTGTTCCACCGTGTACCCGCACCAAAATAACGATGCGGCCCGCAATTGCGCTAAGTGCAGCTCTGCTGCTGCTCCCTTTTCATCTTGGGCAAGGGCAACCTGAGCTTCGGATGGTGAGCTGTAGGCTGTATCAAAGCAGAATGTCTTGCTATTCAAAAGGAGGTTACTTGGGGGTAAACATGCCGAAAAATATGAAAAACCAATGGGGAAAACCGTTTGGAACATGATCTACAAACTACAAATAGTGAGTTCTCCACATCTATGATACGAGTAGCTTAAAGTGGACCAACAAAAAAATAACATGTGCCGCAGCGCCTACAACTGTTGTTTTTAACCACACACAAAACTTGGGGTTTTGACTCACTGATTCAACCGCGTAGTTTGGGAACATGGGAACCCCAACTGATTGTTCTTAGCTAACTCAGGCATGAACAAAACATAACAAATTTTCTGAGGGAATGTCAACGCCAAATACCCTCTCGTAATCTAGTCTGGTTATCTGGGCCATACCCATCCATACCCCTTCATTGGACAATTTCAAAAAATGCCCTCTACCTAAAAGGTGTATTTTCCATTGACAGATTGGACCATCCCTTTGCAAAACGCTTGAGTTTTGGGTCCCATAGCCATAGTTCATGGCATCATCAATCCACAAATTGCAGCTCCAGTAGGGGTTCTATTTGCGCTATGTTTTCCAAATTCTCCCAATTCTGTGTCTTTTTTTTCACGCTGCCCAAGGGTTAATGAACACATACAAAAATTGCCAAGTGTCAGTTGAAATCGTTCGTCTCGTTGCCTTGGTCGTTGACAGTTTGAGGCTTAATTCTGGAAATGTCATTGCCTTTCTGGAGTTCTTCTGGAATGATCAGATTATGTTTTGTCTCTATACTATACTCCAATAAATTAACATAGACCCTGGCAGATAGGGGTTGAAAGACTAGTTTCCACTATAAATTGGTCAGTTTCAGGGTCTATGTTAATTTACCAGAGGGTGACACCTGGTTCACCAACAAAAAATCCACGACGGCTGCCAGGATGAACTAAGACAAGACGTGTGCCGCATCTGGGAGATACCCCATCTGGTGCAAAGACTGGTGTGATGGCAATGCCAGAAACTGGTTTTGGGAAACTCTGTGGATGTTGTAGCTATATAATGTTATATCATGTTATATCATGTTATATCATGTTATATCATGTTATATCATGTTAAATCATGTTATATCATGTTATATAATTTTATCATTTTATATAATGTTATATTATGTTATAATGTTAAATTATGTTATATCATGTTATATCATGTTATATTATTTTTATCGTTTTATATAATGTTATATTATGTTATAATGTTAAATTATGTTAAATCATGTTATATCATGTTATATCATGTTATATCATATTATATCATGTTATATCATGTTATGTCATGTTATATCATGTTATATCATGTTAAATCATGTTATATCATGTAGGTCAGTAACAACAAATATACAGAGTGCCTTTTTCATTCGCAAACATCACAGATAACCCTGAATCTACATCTGCATGTATCATAGGTGCTCGCAAAGCCCCATACACAAGTTGGACTTTGGTGGCCAGGGAGACGTTTCCGGCTCAGCCGAGCCGTGGAACTGAATGATTCGCACATCCAGCAGCCAGCACAACAGTTTGGGAATTACGTTTTTATATGTTTTTATCAGTTTTTAGTTGGTAACTTCGGTAAAACCCTTGGGCAGGCATGATTGAATAGCAAACACATCATCACAATAGTTGCCTGCGATTTTCATGGAAGGACCCTCCAATCATCCATCTGGAGCCAAGGACAAAGAACATGCTGCGATCCGGACGACTCGATGTGTGCACGTTGATTTTCCTACTGTCACCAAACACTTTTCGCAATCATCATACCTGCTACATACACATTTTGAGGATTGTTTGTTGAATTGGTTTCCAGTTTTTCTCCACTTTCCATCACTAGGGTTAGTAAGGCAGTAGTGCAGGTTCTCATGAGGGATCTGGTTTTGCAACCCAAAAGGGTTAGACATGTGAAATTCAAAAAATCACCCCTTGTGATCATATTCTTCTGCAAGTAGTTTGGAACAACCCCGTTTATATGTTTTTTTCTGAATGCACCTGTGCCATTTTCTGCCCTATAAATACATATGACATATGACGTTTTATGATGTTTTATGCACATTGCACGGCGTTACATTTTAGGCTGACCGGGGTAAAAAAATCATGACGTTCCTCCGATTCAACCGCCCCCCGAAGACGGCATGACGTTTCAATAAGAGACGGCACTACGTTTCCGCAGTTTTTCCCACTGAAAACGAATTCACGAGTTACGTGATCAATAAATTGGCACAATGAAAATAATGATTAGATGATATTAGATGGCTAGCAACGCGCATCAAAATTGATGGTGAATGTTACTAAATGCTAGCAATGGGAAATTTTAGAATACCATTAAAAAATACATTAATTATGGACAAGATTTAACTGTTTTCACCAAAATGAAGAATTATCCGCCCAACAATGGATGATTCCAAGCCATCCTCATGTTGTTTTTAACAACGGGGCCTTCCCGCCACGTCACCGAAAAACACAATACCAAGCCAAGCGTCTGCTGCAGTTCACGACGGATCAAGGCCAGCTCTATTTGGCACCTCTCCTGGTGTTCCAGCTGGAAAACGGTCATTCAATGGATTGGTTGAAGGGAAAATCTTAACCGGAAACCATGGTTTAATTCCCATCAAGTATAGGGGTTTCCTGTCAGTTTTCCCATCATCCAATTCTATGAGTCATGGGTCTGTAGTCACAAAGCGCCGCATTCCATATAATTACCGCCGGGGCGAAAGTTTTCGAGAACCAAGCAATGGCTATTAAAAAAAACATGGTAGCCTATGTAATTCTATATAGGATGCAAAAGCGATGAAATGTCGAGATTGTGAGGTAATGGGCAAATATGAGCAAATGGTTCTTGAATGAGTGAAAGACGGAATGAATGAATGTATTATGAATGAATGTATTATGAATGAATGTATTATTTATGAATGAATGAATGAATGAATGAATGACTGAGTGAGTGAGTGAGTGAATGAATGAGTGAATGATGGAATGGGACGGAACGGAACGGAACGGAACGGAAGGGTTGGGAAGGGAAGGGAGTGGAATGGATGAATGACATGAATAAATGCATGAATGCATGGGTGAATGAATGAATTAATGAATGAATAGTGCTAATAGATCTACTATATAGTGGGATTGTTCTATCTGTTCCTTTTTGCCATTATATGACATGAGATGAATGACCATTGATATGTGATTATCTGATGAAATACAGACTACTTAAATTATCATGGATACGGATACTATATTGAATACAATAAACAAGTATACTATATTATTAAATTCAAAAAATGATATAATTGACCTTTGAAAATCTATAAAGCAACATATGTACATATGTATGCATCTGCATGTGTGCATTGTTCAAAATATAATTCACACACATATATATATATATACAATATGTATAGTCATGGGATATCATGGGATTGGGTCAGTTCCAGGCTTACGTTGTGACACCGTAACAGTTGCTATGGTATAGTTTGCCATTTAAACTGATGCTTTCTTAGATGGTGATGTTTCATAGCTATGTTCAATGACCAAAGGGTGTGGGGATGTGTGGGGACTGGTATTCATAGTCATTGTGGTCATCTATTCTCAAACAACCATGGAGGTTAGCAATCATTCTTTAAATAAAATTGTTAAAAATATACTTGTCAAAGCTGTTGTCATTAACCATAGGGTCTCATTTACAATGGGATTAGCAATCCTCAGGAAAAGGAATCATGTATTATTGACCATCTATGATTAATATTTCTCTATTACTTCTCACAAAAGTGGTTATTGACCATCTAATTATTCTTTCCGGAAATAAATAGCAATCTATCTATTGTTCGGGTTTGCCAACCACCAGCAACCACAACAATAAGGGGTAATCTTACCCGTCTATGGTTGGGTTCTCGCTATTTGAGGGGTATTTGACAAACATAAACATTAGCAAGTTTTCGGGATTATGTCCCCTCCCTAACCATCATCTATAGATTACGCGGAGCGCATTGCAATTACCTGTTGGTTTTACAAACCTACCTAACAATATCTCATAATCTCATTACCATGAACATCCATAAACCCAGCTATGATTTCCCGATCCATTGAGGGCCCGGAGCCCACCGGGCTGTGAAGACTCCCAGGGCTCCTGCAAAACGGTCACCTGACTTTGGACCGCCCTGGTGGCCAGTAGAGACGCCACTGCGTCACCTGTGTCTACCCTGCAGGAAACTTACGTAGCCATGGGGAATGAATCAAACCTGTTAATGGGTTTTAGTGGCGAATCATCTGGAAATGGCCCATGTTCATCCATGTTCCATAGCTATATGTATCCAACCAAAGGCTGAATGAGACTAAAAGGAAGGGATTCAACCTGCGAAAGAGGAGATATAGATGCTGTTGTATGAATAAACAAGGCTTCAGCAAAGAACAAGGATTGATTGAAACAACACAAAGAGAGGTTGTACTCATGCGAATATTTCATGACCGGCCAACATGATTTTTCTGAACCACTTGCCCAATGATAACCAGCCCAAAACACCCTGGTGGAAGGTATTGGATATCGCTACATGTAATGTGATCTGGTGACCCGGTGGCGGGATTCTCAAATTCCCAAGCAGAATGCCATTCTTTAGGTAAAGAATGGTAAAGAACGAGAACACATTCGAGGAAAAACGGCAAAAGTACAGCTGAAATGTAAGCTCCATCATCTTTGGTGTGCCTGGGCGATAATTTCTCACCAATGAACCAAGGAGAAAAACAAACACTTCTCCAAAACTTCTCGTGCCACTTTGATGTGCCGGGGTCTTGCTTCTCAGGTCATAATTCTTGTTGGTTGATAGCTTTACCTATGGGTGATGGCTCCAAAAATCAAATGATACTATCAACAAGGGTATATTAACTTATATAGTACTATCTCCATTAAAAATCCCATTAAAAGGAGTTCTAATAATGACGAATCAACCATTGGGTACTTTTAATGGCAGCGTATGTCCAGCGGTTTACGACGTGTCAGCACCTCCCAATCTCCAGGCCCATTCCCCAAACTTAACTCCTCAATGGTCGAGGTGGGCCCCAGGCTCCAGTTAGCTAATTTCGTTTATGCTAGACCAAAGTTCATGTGGGTTATCAACCAAAAAATATATCACAGTGTCACAGACCACCTTGCATAGATTGAACATCATCTGCTTTCCATGATTTTAAAATATGTCATGACATTTCATGGCTATGCAAAACCCCAAAAACATATCCATCAACTTGTCATCGCCCAGGTCCTTGTTGGACCTGCCTCGATGCCCCGTGAAGTCAAGTCGTGTGGCTCTTATTGATCTCGCCACGAATCTTCAGCAAGCCATGGAGCAGCTCCTAGCTCAACCCGGAAGCCACTGCGCCACAGTCAAACGGCAAAGGCAACAAACGAGATACTGTTTTTGGGTTGCTTGAGATGCATTTCATAACTTTGAAAAGATCATTTAATCTGGCTAAAATTGACATATACGAAAAATAATTGCGCACAACTAACACAAAATACAGTGATACAGTATTCTTGAATGAATTTGTACTATTCTTGGGTAATTCCGCATAGTCAAAGTCTGTTTTTTTTTGTCACCGTTGCAGCCAAGCCGCTGTAATTTGTAGAGTTCCCGACGCGTCAGCGTCAATGATCTCGAACCTGCGGCAAACAAAGGAATCAAAACACAAATGACGAACATCTATGGTTAATGCCCCATTATGTATTTATAGCTGGTCAAGCCCCACGAAATATCCCACCATTATGACAACCATACTGATGGTTACTCTCTGGTAATTTGTTACATAGTAGCCGTTGAAAATGGAGACTTATAATTAATTGATTTACCTATATAAATGGATGATTTTCCATAGCTATGTTAGTTCCCGACGCCGCCCCCAGGCAACTGGACACGAAACCCATGTTTTTGATTTTTTTTAGGGTTTGGGGTGGGAGAGAAATGTTTACGTCCTAGTGAACTTGCTCACGTCATGTATGCTTCGTGAACTTCGGGGTTTGGGTGGGGTGGGGGGGGTGTTAAGGTCCCTGTGAACTTGCTCACGTCATGTATGCTTCGTGAACTTCGGGGTATGGGTGGGGGGGGGGAATGGGGGGGAGATGTTATCCCTGTGAACTTCCTCACGTCATGTATGCTTCGTGAACTTCGGGGTTTTGGGTGGGGTGGGATGTTAAGGTCCCTGTGAACTTCCTCACGTCATGTATGCTTCGTGAACTTCGGGGTTTGGGTGGGGTTGGGGGGGAGATGTTAACTTGCTCACGTCATGTATGCTTCGTGAACTTCGGGGTTTGGGTGGGGTGGGGGGGATGTTAACGTCTCTGGTTTTGCCTGGGAAATATATATATATATATAATAGACAAAAATGACACAATGATAATCACATTTAGGTATATATATATATATATCTCTCTAAAAACGTGCATACATATACATTTATTTTCACTACTGTATACATACAAATGTACATATATTCTTGTCTATATTTATACACATAAATACATGTCTGACTTACGTGCACACTCACACACACATATATGTGTATGTATAAATATGTGTATATGTATATATATATATATATATGTCACATGTATATTTGTAAACATATATATATATATAATCTAATGTTGTCTAGCAAATAGTGATATCTTGGCAATAGTAGAATCTAGAAACCTTTTTTCCCAACTCCAGTTTTATCTCCAATACTAAAAGTCAATTAGCTTAATTTGATTTTATCATTGCCAAAAACTCATGTTCTGACCTTGTCCAGAGGGCATGGCCAATAGTGGACCCAACATGGCAATAGTGGAAACTTTTTTTCCCAATTCTAGGTTTATCTTCAATTCAAAAAGTTAATTAGCATTTAATTTTATTACTGTCAAAAAACTAATGTTCTGACCTTGTACAGAGGGCATGGTATAGTATCCAGCCATAGGGTTCCAGGAATCGTCTACTATTCGAATGCTGACCCCCCCTTGAAAAAAAAAACGAAACAACAAATTAGGGGGGAAGTTTTATTATTAGGCAGCCAACATTCTTATATGTATATATAATATACTTATGCTTAGACAACTTAAATTGACTTGTCGGGGAATGTTCCACTGCACTTTCTCAAACAATTGGCCAAAGCTTGCAACGCTCGCTGATAATGGCGCAATAACAAAAGAACACAAGGCGCAAAGAACAAAAGGCACCAAAAAACACCAGTTGCCCAAGGGCGGTGCGACCTGTTAGTTTACCAGAGGGTAATCTTCATATCCATTTTCCATTTACCATCATTTTTCCACTAGAAAAGTGTGTTAGTTTACCAGAGGGTATAAAATGTTACAAACCCCAGTCACATCTCCACCAACTTTTTGGACTTGCTTAAGAATCTACCCCAAATGGTAGATTTTCCACTGAGAAAAGAAACGGGTTCACCGACTAAACAAACCCAGGCTGAATGATATGTGGATCTGATCCAACAAAACAAGTTTATTACATTTCAATAATTGGTTTTGTCAACATTACACACACATATATATATATAGGATGCACATGATACAATGCAACCCTGTTATTGCTTAAATATGTTATTATCAAAATAAATATGCATATATATATATATACATACATATATACATATATACATATATATATTATATATCTGTGTGTTTATATGCATCTGTATTGTAATCTTTGGCCCCTCATCCAAATATCCGCAATAAATCGCAAGAGGTCCACAGCTACATCCGAAACTGGATGCAAAACCATCCTGGAGGCGTTCCCCAGTATCATCTAAGGGTTCTTTGGGGTCGCTGTAAATATCCTTTCCATCTCCAGCAAATAATCATTCCGGCAGCTGAAGTACCCGGATCCCAGTGATTTTGCCCAAAGTGGGGCCTCAATATTCCTCAATATGCCCCCATTTACAGGGGCACAAAGTGAGACCATTTAACTACCCTACAATCGGCTATTCCAAACTCTCGGTGGCCATCGGTTTTTCACAGCTTCAACTTGGGGGCTTGGGGGTGTACTTCCATTTTCAAGTGGACATATAACTGGGGGTTGCATGAAACTAATGCAGGTGTAAATCCTAAGCTTATATCTTATACCCATTAAAATTTCCAATACTAGATCTCCTAGTTTTGATGTTATATTTTAGTCCCAGCATTATCTGTTCATATGATGCAATAGTTATTTGTTAGGAAATTCTATAATCCCTTCCTCCTATTACTAAACGTCCCCAAAATACTAAAAACAGGGGTCCATCTCCAAATTTTGGAAAATTTCAGATTGGCCATTTTGACTTTTAATTGATCCCATTTAGACTTTAGAAAACAATTTAAAAATAAAGCTACCATTTGTGCGTTTCGCCCCCTAAAAATAAAGACTAATCAACCCCAGGGTGTTTAATATTAGGGTCCGTCCGAAAATTTTTAATTTTCAATATTAGGGCTTTTAATCTATTATTAGGGCCCGCTTCGAAAACCAATTTTTGGAAATATTTTAATTTATGGCGTTGAATTAAATAAGGAAATTTAATTGATTCTGAGATCGGGAGAAATAGTTTCTAATTATTAAGGTTTTAATTTTATTAATAGGGTCCGCTTCGAAATCCAATTTTTGGCAATATTTTAATGGCGTTATATAAGAAAATTTAATTGATTCTGAGATCGGGAGAAATAGTTTTTATTATTAAGGTTTTAATTTTATTAATAGGGTCCGCTTCGAAATCCGATTTTGGCAATATCTTAATGGCATTATATAAAGAAATTTAATTGATTTTGAGATCGGAAAAAATAGTTTTTTATTATTAAGGGTTTAATTTTATTAATAGGGTCCGCTTCGAAATCCGATTTTGGCAATATCTTAATGGCGTTATATAAAGAAATTTAATTGATTTTGAGATCGGAAAAAATAGTTTTTATTAGTAAAGGTTTAGTGTTATTAATAGGGTCCGCTTCGAAATCCAACTTTTGGCAATATCTTAATGGCGTTATATAAAGAAATTTCATTAATTTTGAGATCGGAAAAAATAGTTTTTATTAGTAAAGGTTTAGTGTTATTAATAGGGTCCGCTTCGAAATCCAACTTTTGGCAATATCTTAATGGCGTTATATAAGGGATTTTAATTGATTTTGAGATCGGAGAAAACGTTTTTATTAGCAAAGGTTTAGTTTTATTAATTGGGTCCGCTTCGAAATCCCACTTCTGGCAATATCCTAATGGCGCTATATAAGGGAATTTAGTTGATTTTGAAATCAAACAAACTAGTTTTTATTTTTAAGGGTTTAATTTTATTAATAAGGTCCGCTTCGAAATCCAATTTTTGGCAATATTTTAATTGCGTTATTTGAGGGAATTTAAATGCTTTTGAGATCGGAGAAAAAGTTTTTATTATTCAGGGTTTAATTTTATTAATAGGGTTCCCTAATAATAAATACCCCCCTAAAACTAAAAACTACCTGAGGTGTTTATTGTTTGGGGTAGTTAGTATTAGGAAGAAAGGATTATCCATCTAGAGCCATCGAGAAATAAGCATGGCTGAGTACCGCATATCTCTGTAATTCAACTGATTTCAACTGTATTCATTTCCTCCTTGAGTCCCAAATCTTGAACCATTCAGGATCAAGCGACAGGTTGGCGCGATCCGGCGGCAAATCCAACTCGTCCATGAGTGCCTGCGGTGGCTGAGAACACCTTGGGGGTCTAAATGGGTTCTTGTATATTAATATGCTGTATCTGAGAAAGCAATGTTTTCAAAATGCTAGGCCCTAAGGTATGTATGGGCATTTGTTCCATTTGTTGTGCTTTCATGTGTTTTCCGTTCAGTCTCCAGAAAAGAGCGCTGTGAGAGTTGGGTTTTTGAGCATGTGTGAAAATGCCTAATTTGGCATGGGTGAGGTTCATCTCTGGAATTGAATTCCCAATGGTTTTGCAAGCCAAAAAGTCCGACATGAAGTGTTTTCGGGCTAGCCGATATGCATTGTTATTCCCGTAGGCAGCAAATTCTTGGCTTTGAACTGAAGATTCAATGAATTTGTCCTCCTTTAGTTCGTATACATGCAGAACCGCATTTCTGGAATGGAACGTCTGCGTCTGTCTGAAAATGGAGTATGCGGTATATCTAATGTGGCAAATAATTAACAATGACACTTAGTAAGGAAAATCATGATAAACCACTGGATTGAGGGGTTTTCGGTGTTGTTGTTTCCCTAGATTTTCACGCAAGCCCATACCATGACAAGTGGGTGCTTCCGCCTGCACGCTTTGATCTTGGATCACCAGCAAGAACAACTCCTGGGGAGTTCATTGGCTGATTGGTTTCAGCCTGGTCGAATTAAGGCTGACCATCGCATGCTCAGAAGTTCATCATCATATTCAAACATGAACATGTGTAATCCCTTCCTCCCTTTACTAAAACTTCCCCGAACAAAAAAAACATAGGATTGGTGTGGCACTTCCGTTTTTTTTGTTGGGCACAATTGGATTCTTAATTGTGGTTGTGAAAGGAGGTGCACAGCCCTTAAGGTGCACGCGTCACATGAGTAGAGGCAGCCTTGACTAGTGGCTGTGCTCACTTGTGTGGGTGGGTAGAGAAAACCTAAAAGTGGGTTATGAGCCCAACGCTCACACCAGTCAAGGCAATGATAGGTCCTTGATGTCCTTGGCGTGGTGTCGAGCACGGGCGCGCCTGAACCTTGGTAAAGCCAGAAGCCTTGGCTAACGCCAGATGGAGGGCTGAACTGAGGGGAAGGTTTGCGTAGCCGGCCCACCACCGGGGATTGGAGACGTGGGGCTTTGCAGCCGGGGAGTAAAAGAGATTCTCCACAAGAACCTGCAAGTTGCTGCAGCCCGGGGAGCAGAAAAGAAATAAGCGACCTTGGCAAAGGAAAATAGATCATATAGCTGTGGCCGTGGCCTTATCTCTAGTGCAACCTGCTGTCCAGGTGAAGTCAGCAGGTTGGGGGGAGTGTGAAAGGAGGTGCACAGCCCTTAAGGTGCACGCGTCACATGAATAGAGGCAGCCTTGACTAGTGGCTGTGCTCACTTGTGTGGGTGGGTAGAGAAAACCTAAAAGTAGTGGTAATTGAAAATCAGGATGGTAAAACAATGGCTTCAACCCTCTATTAAATTATGTTAAAGGATTTCATTGAAATATTTGGGGAAAGCTTTGAAATCCAGTTTTTGGTAATACCTTATATAGATTTGAAACAGGGATTTAATCAAATTTGAAATCAAGTTTGTATTTCCCCACCTGCCAGGTGAGGGTTGTTAGATTTTATGTCAGTTGCCTCCTCCTCCTTCTCCTCCTCCGCCTCCTCCTGCCTCGTCCTCCTCTCCTCCTCCTCCTCGTCCTCCTCGTCGTCCTCGTCGTCCTCGTCGTCCTTGCCTCAACTGCGACCCGCGATCCACAGTGTTCTCTGCCGGACCTCAACCACGACCATCCACGCCCAGTGTTCCCTGCCGGACCTCAACCACGACCATCCACGCCCAATGTTCCCTGCCGGACCTCAACCACGACCATCCCGCCCAGTGTTCCCTGCCGGACCTCAACCACGACCATCCACGCCCAGTGTTCCCTGCCGGACCTCAACCGCGAGTATCCACGCCCAGTGTTCCCTGCCGGACCTCAACCACGACCATCCACGCCCAATGTTCCCTGCCGGACCTCAACCACGACCATCCTCGCACCAGTGTTCCCTGCCGGACCTCAACCACGACCATCCACGCCCAGTGTTCCCTGCCGGACCTCAACCGCGAGTATCCACGCCAAGTGTTCCCTGCCGGACCTCATGTAGGAAGATATGGGACAAAGAATGTGCAGAAGAAAGTTAGAAAGAATGTCAGAAAGAATGTCAGAAGATATGCCAGAAGATATGCCAGAAGATATGCCAGATAGAATGCCAGATAATATGCCAGAAGATATGCCAGATAGAATGCCAGATAGAATGCCAGAAGATTTGCCAGATAGAATGCCAGAAAATATGCCAGAAGATATGCCAGATAGATATGTCAGAAGATATGCCAGAAGATATGCCAGAAGATATGTCAGAATATATGCCAGAAGATATGTCAGATAGAATGCCAGAAGATATGTCAGAATATATGCCAGAAGATATGCCAGATAGAATGCCAGAAGATATGTCAGATAGATGCCAGAAGATATGCCAGATAGAATGCCAGAAGATTTGCCAGATAGAATGCCAGAAGATATGCCAGAAGATATGCCAGATAGAATGTCAAATAGAATGTCAGAAGATATGTCAGATTGAATGCCAGAAGATTTGCCAGTAAGAAAATGTATAAATGTCATGGTGGGGATCACACGAAGTAAAGTATTTTTTTTTATTAGGGTGTTCATTGGAATATTAGGGGCGCCCTAATACAAAATACCCCCTAACAATAAAAATAGATCACCGTGTTTACCATTGAGGGTGTTTTAGGAATAGGGAGAGAGGATGTTTGTTTTTCAAAAACAACAGCTGTCAACTATTCATATAGCAGATATAGCTAAAAACAAACAATAAAATGAAATAAATATCAACTATACACTAACCAAACAAAACAACACCTGTTTGGAATTGTTTGAACAAAACGCATCCGCAACATATTGATCAGGAAATCATGGATGTCTAGCTGTAGGGTCATCTGTTTTGAATGCCCCGATTCGTGGCTCCCATCTGTAGCATTCTGTAGCTGGCTGAACTAACCCCACCCACCAGCCAGTCAGGATTCATTGGTTCACCAGAGTCACTACGCTCTGGTAACTCAAAGTAGCGAGCTGGACAATCACAATTTTTTATGAACAGTCAATCATATATTTATATTCTAACTAAAGGTGCCCATCTATACCATAGCTATGTTAAAGAAACCAAAGGGTAGCAGGTTCCATTCACAAAGGTCTGCTCAGCAAGTCCGATAGCAGGTCCCATGGTCCTTGGAGATGGCGATCTTGTCATGCACTCCATCTTCCTCAAACCTGCGATCCCGCAGGATGGGGGGTAAAAAAGTTGTTTATGGAATATACATAAAAATAGACAGTTTATGGATTATTCATGTTTCACCCTTCGTAAAATGCTGATGTCTATATCTACGTTAGTTCATCAGAGGGTGCATAAAATTATGTTACCTGAAGTGATACATTCATGATGCTAGTTCACTCATTCATTTCAACCAGAAAGCAAGACAACAGGGGAAACATGTCGCAGGCAGGATCTCTCTGACAAAAGCGGGCAATCTATGACAGTCTTGTAGCCCAGTTTCTGCAGCTCATGGTTTTTCAAGTGGAAACTGCTGAACTTGTTTGCAGAGTCTTGCATTTATGCACATATGACATATGGATGTATATTTCACTCAACCATATCAAACAAATATGGCCAGCTACAGATACCCCGCGCAAAAATAACTGATTAGTAAACCTGCCCCCACATAGATGTTATAGAAACAAATTAAGTCCTACAACACTACCCCCCTCCAGCTGGTTGCTTCACAACATAGACTGCCGCCTGGGCAACTAATATCCCCCATACACCAAACAACACGCCACGGCACACTGTGGCTGTCTTCATATTTGCCAGCTTGGTTCTGGTCGATTCCTGGTTCAACTGGAAAGTTGGTCCGATACAACTGGGGAACATGATATTTTTGAAGTGGATTGAAATCTCAGTTTATGGCAAGATTAATGTGTTTCAATGCGGGTTAACATGTTTTCTTTAAGATGTGGCTTGGAACATGGGCAACCATGGGCCCACCAAATTGATGATTTTTGGTACTGAAACTGCCTGTCGCAATCATAGTCATCCCCATCCTTATCTTCATCCGCCTCCTCATCATCATCCTCATCATCCTCATCCTCAACATCCTCCTCATAATCATCATCATCATCAACAACAACATCTTATCACCAATGATAATCAATGATCATGAATGTGGTGATGACAATGAAAGTATCAAATGCAAACACCACAAATTGGTTCAATTAAAACCAAACCCATTGGGAGTGTGACGCTTGTTTCAAAGGCTTTGACACCGTTGTTGAATTGTTCACAAAAAAGGCATGGAAAAGTTTTCTGTGGCCAAAATGTCCATTCAAACCAGGATCCACACTCCGGCAATCCAACATGGCAATGGACAATTCCCGATTTAATGGGTTATTTTCTCTTTGAAACTATTTCGAGGGGACTTCCCAATCGGGCATGTTTGATTGCCAGAAGGTGATCACTATAACTGCATAATCCAGTAAGATAATCATCCCAAGGCAAGAGTTGTGACTCCGACACCAAAGCATGACTTTTGGCACGTATTTGGCCAAATTTCCTCAGCCTTGTCTTCTTCGGTTTCCTGCCGCCCGGGTGCTTAGCAATGGGATTTTCAGTTGATGGATGATGATCATCCCCAAGATAAAGAGTGAAACTTGAATTAATCATCAACCAAAAGGGGTGTCTTGAACACTGATTGACGGAAGGAAATTTGAAAGTCAAACTTCCGACATATGGACAGATGCAGCAACAGTGGTGGGAAGCGTCAGTCAGAGAAGAGAAAGTCCCGAGAAAGAAAATCGAAGGGAATCTAGAAGTCAAACTTCCGACAGTATGGACACATGGAAAAGCAGAGGTGGGAAGAGTCAGAGAAGAAAAAGAGTCAGAAGAGAAAGAGTCAGTAATTAGATGTAATTAGAAAGAAAATCAAAGCGCACGAACGGGTACGAAGCCCGAAGCACTGTGTTTTTCCAATGCTTTGAGGCTCCGGAGGGTCGAAAAGTAGGCTCGCTAAAGCACCGGGTGCAGAGCCATCTGGGCGAATGGGAGACCATAGATTGTGCACGGATGCGGCGCGAAGCACATTTCGAAGTAAAAAAAGAAATCATTGTTGGAGCACTTTTGGAAGTTGAGTCGTTGAAAAAAGCGCACGCCTTGGGAGCACTTTTGGAAGTTGAGCTTTTCAAAAAAATAACACGTGGCAGGCGCAATGGATTCAACACCTTGCCAAAAATGAGCCACACGTCTGGGTTTTGAAGCAGTTTCATCTGCAAAGTTGCATGTCGCGTGGGCCTTTTGAAGGCGTGGGACTTTTGAAGAGGATCTGCAAAGATGCATGTCGCGTGTACAGGCACAATACGAGAGACACCTCCATCAGACATGTTAGGAGGTCAGGGAGCAGATTTCCTGAGACGGTTTCCTTTTTGGAGCATCAGATCGTCAGCTTTGCTAAGATGATTTTGCGGTACAGGTGCAGCACTTCGTATGACTTGGTCTCACTTTTTCGTGGCAGGCGCAGTACTCTAGAGAGATTGGATGGGAAAATCACAAAACGCATTGGCACGAAGCCGTCAGCTCTTCACCTTGAAAGAAGTCTCGCCTTATCGTTTCGTTTTTTGATGTTGCCAAAACTTGAGGAAGTCTCGCAGAACTTGTTCGTTTTGGGTCTGTGGCTGTGAACTACGAATTGCCATTTTTGGAGGAAGTCTCGCAGAATTGCTTCGTTTTGGAGCTGTGAACCTTTATTTTTTGAGGAAGTCTCGGTTGACGTGTTTCATTTTCGATCTGTCAACTTCCACTTTCGAAGGAAGTCTCGCATAATTGCTTCCTTTCAAAAAGATCGACAGATAAAAAAATGTACAGATAGAGATAGAGATAGCGAGAGAGATAGAGTTAAAGATAGATATAGAGATAGATAGATAGATTAGATTAGATTAGATTAGATTAGATTAGATTAGATTAGAATAGATTAGATTAGATAGATAGATAGATAGACAGATAGACAGATAGAACAACATATAGATAGCTAGATAGATAGATAGATAGATAGTTAGATAGATAGATAGCTAGATAGATACATAGGGAGGACGAGAGATAGAGATAAACTAAAGGATAGAGATAGAGATAAAGATGAAGAAACATAGAGAGATAAAGAAAGATAGAGAGAATTAGAGAGATAAAGAAAGAGAAATATATAGAAACAAACATAGATAGATATATAGATGGGTAGAAATATAGATGGATAGATAGGCAGATATAGGGAAAAAAATGCTAGAGAGAGAGAGAGAGAGAGAGGGAGATATAGCTGGTGCTGGATAGATAGAAAAACAGTTAGATAGACAAACAGATAGACGGATAGATCAAAAAACACAGAAAGAGAGAGACATATAGAGATAGAGATAGAAAAAAAGAGAGAGATATAGGAAGATAGATAGAGAGAGATCCAGATAGATAGTCAAAGAGATAGATAAACCAATAGACAGGCAAGTAGATGGAGAGACAGAGGAAAATAATGAGACAGAGAAAGAAAGAGAGAGAGAGAGAGAGAGAGAGACTCAGAGCCTGAGCCACCTTTCGGTCCATCAGTGGTTTCGCTCTGCCATCCATGCATCACAACAAGTCACCTCCCCTATAGGTTTCCTATCTTTGAAGCTTCGGCCACCGCTCGCTGCAGGGATCAGGGGAACATGTTTCTGGAGCCCGGAGAGAAAATGGGGCGGAAATCCAAAACTGGCATTGCTAGTCTTCCTGGCTCGGTTGGCTTCAATTTGGCCATGTTGCTTGATACTGTGGTAAATCAACTCATATAACCTCCAAATGAGGATTGACTATACCCCCCCTGTCTGCGAAAGTCGGGGATGGCGTACTTATAGGTCTACCAGGCCACATTACTAACCCTTCCAGAATTTCTCCATTGAGCACCCTTTCAAAACACGAAGAACCCGGCAGGGACCCACCAATCATAGGAGCAACTTTGGGAAATCGCCGGGAAAAAAAAACATATTTCAGATATCATCTATCAAATTCTATCATGTGGCTGCGAAACTTGAAACTCTATTTGTAGCTCCTGGCTCAGTGGTCTCTCTTGGGAATATCCAGAATTCCCCAGAGCTCCCTTTACCCCTCCAGCCGCTTGTCATGGGATCCACGTCAGTCCTCTCCCTCACTAAGGTGATACAAATGATGCGCCAAAGAAAACCTGGGACGTGGAGCATCGGCCCCGAAGCCGGACGTTTCGCCCGTTGCGAGGATGTACATCCTAAAATTTAACATCGAGCCGAGCCTGAAAAAAGAATCTGGATGATGTTGTTTCTATATACCCTAGGCGCCCTAGGTTCCGGATTAATTTTCAGGTGTAATTCGATTGTAGTGTTCAGGCTACATGTCAATCCTCTTTTCATCAAAGGCGTCCTGAAGGCAACCAGCAAAAGCTGATACACAAAGAGCCACATTATAACACATTCATCATCATTCATCAACGGCTAATTGGAATCTTTCCCTTGGCCCTCACCAAGAGTTTGGTTAAAGGCCTTACGGGCCCGCGGCCCCTTTGCTTTTCTGGTTCTTGCAGGCATCCATGACCAGGGACATGGTTTCTGTGGCCTATCTATCTTCATCACGCAGCTGTCATCCAAGATAGGTAAGTTGCATTTTAATGTCAATGACTGGGGTTGAAAAAAACTATGTACATCTATGTACTGTATCTTACACAAGCGTTACATATTCCTTATGGTAGGTATCTCCAATAAATCGACCTAAAATAAAATGGCCATTGACATTCCATGGGGCACCACCCTGCATGGGAACCTCTGCTGCCTTGGAGAACAGCTGATAGCTGCGATGGCTGCTTCCCCAAAAGCCACCAAGAGTTCAAGTCAATCTGACTCAAATTTATCAATCTTGTCACAATTCAATTCACCAACCTAAAAGAAGATCACATAATCATATTTAGTAAGTAAGACATCTATAAATGGACCGTTTGTTCATAGCCATCTTCAATTAGCACAGAGTAAGTTCATTTTGGTTTGGGATGGTGTTGTTCCCTCTAACCGAATCTTGGCTGACGTCGGCCAGTGAAGTCCTTCTAAGCTGAATATTTCATCCAAATCTATCTTGCTACTATTGCGTGTACATAAATGAATATAATATAATATATTATATATACACCATTTTATTGTTACGCATGATATATCATGTATTTTTATCGTCATTACCCTCCAAGAATATCGCAACAAAGTACAGTGGGCGTGAATATGTTTTACCATCCGGTAATCAAACATGGCAATGGACAATCCACCATTTATAGATGACTTTATCATTAAAACGTCCATTTCTAGCGGATTTCCCGTTGCCACGTTTGATTCCCGGAGGGTGCCCTGATCTGCCACCATTTCCTGGGCTGAAATCACCGGTTTCCCAAGTGGGGCCCCAAGTCACTTCTTCAGCAACTCGCGCGTGGTCCGTGCTATCCTGGCTCCATGTGGCAGCTTCAAAAATTGTCCGTGGTGGGTTGTTGGAAAGCTTTGGAACGGAAATTACACGGACATACTGAAATAAATTAATATATATAATTATATATATATATAACTACATATATAACATATCTGCCATATATATATAACATTTATGTTATAATACATAATATATATATAGGTATAATTATGATATATGGAAACTATCCAGTACTGTAACTTACATTTTTACTGTGGACATATGTTGAAATCCACCATTTGAGATTGTTCCCTCGGAACTATAGGTTCCAGTTGGTTTACTGGAACCCAAAGAGCTGCGGTCCCAAACTCTCTATCCCTTGCGACCTGATCGATTCTCTGGAGTACTGCTCCGCCGTGATCTAGGCCGAAGGGGAAACACTGTAGGGCGCGGACGACATTGCATTTCTGAGCTTGGAGATGCGTTTGGTTTCAATCAATTGATATAACCCCTTCCCCCTATTACAAAATGTACCCCCAATATTAGAAAGTATAGGGTCCGTTTTCAATTTTGGGAAAGTTGAAGCTATCCCCCTTAGAAAACAATCCAAACATGAGGGTACCATTTGAGGGTTTCACCCCCTGTGTACAAAGAGAAACTAGTCAACACATGTCACACACACAACAAGGTGTTTAACTTAGTTTTTGGGGACAGTTCCGAAATCCCGCCTTTTGGCAATATGTTAATTAGATTCCAAACAGCAACTCAATAATTCAATCGATTTTGAAATTTGAAAATACTAGTTTTTCTTCTTGAAAACTTGAATATTCAGGGGAAGCTTCGCACCAATATCCCATGTTCTCCAGGACTAGCGCCGCCCGTATCGCAGACGCCATGGCACCGCATCCGTCTCCTTCGCCGCCTTCATGGTGATATCCACATAGACCTCGGGAAGCTAAGGCTGGTTTCCACCGTGAACATGTGGATCTAACCAGGGATATGGGCATATACTTTATGAATGGGAAATCCTGTTTGGAGATATTGTTGGCCAACAATCAAATGAAACAACATCTGAATAGAATTTGTCTCTCTTCACCGCCTTCTCAAGGAGTTCAGCAAAGTTTTTTAGGTGAGTCAGGATGAGTGAGGTACAACTCTGCTAAGTGGAAGAGGGGTGTCAGCAACCGAGCTGGTGCAATGGAGTTGAATGGATTGTTGTCCTCTCCCAGGGACAGAATGGATAGCTCAAAACATAAGATATGCCGATGCCCATGTGGGGTAACTAGGTGATCTTATTTTGTAACATTGAGCTGAGCATGTATAACATAGAGTAAACTTTGACTGCAATGGTTCGAAGCATCCCTTTTTGAAAAACATGTTTTGCTGCGCCTTCAAATGGGTTCATTATGACATGGCCATTTAAAAGGGGCTACAGAACCAACAACATGTTTGTTTTTTTCTCCGAGACCTATTGAAAACTAATGAAGAGAAATATATGTAAGTTGCAGGCCAAAACTCTTCATTCACAACTGCATCTGTCAAAGTAGATATGTCCTTCAGCAAACTGGTAGATTCCTGGAGTTTGCGGCCTCCTCATGCCTTTGCACTCTACTTGGAAGGCTTCAGATGCACATGACCAGTCCACCTGTCATTCCCTTGGCGTACTGGGATGCCGAGGGGCTGCCAAGATCACATTGAAAATTCCTCAGGGTATTGGGATGATCCCTGAAATTCGGATCCATGGTCAGCAAGTGGGTACCATCTCATGATCCTCCTGCAAATTCATTTATAGAACTTGAAACCGATGTGTTTCTCCAGGATCAAACGGTATTAAAAACGGTGAGTTTTCCATACTTCTAAGATAACTACAAACATATACTACTGAAATGGGTATATTTAAACACACTATTTAAACAATGTGGTGAATATTGCTTGGTTCTCACCCCCTGCCCTCTGGTAATTTAACCTAGCTATTTAAAATGTCCATTTATAGTTGTTTCACCCATTAAACATTGTGATTTTCCATAGTTATGTTAGTTTACCAAGAGGGTACTTAAAGTTTAACTTCCAGTGGCTATGCGTGAATTACCATCATCCTCCCCAAAAAGAAACAAACCTCCAAGGGAATGGCCAAGAACCGCAGCGGGTTAACACAGAGCTTTGATGGGTACGTTTGCAACGGCGAGGAGGGACTTATCATCCCCAAAAGCAACATGTTATCCAATGGAAATAACATGAAATTGCCCATTGAGTCATCTTCACAATTTGTTCGAACAAATCCAAAACCTTCTATTGAGAGCTATTAACACAAGCATATACCCATGAAATATGCCCAAATATTGAGAGTTAATTCCCCATTCTATATTCATTGTTGCTTACATCCCACAAAATATCCCCATCATTGTTGGCTAAAATCCGTGCTTTGACCACCATATGTATGGATACAGTTTCTAGTCAACCTACATGTCCACCATGGAATGCGATATGCCCAGCCTAGCTGGAACATACCCCCTGGTAACTGAACAAAGTGCCATGGACAATTGCCACTTGTTGACGGTGATTTCCATAGCTATGCAGAATTATTGGAGGTTATACAACCAAATCAACCCAATGTATTTTTGCGTACCTGTTTATGATTTTATGTATGTATTAAAAAATGTGTGTGTATGTGCACCCAACATGAGCTTCAAACCGCCCAACAAAAACAACTTTGGTCCCGAGGCCATGATGGCGCTAGCCCGGCACGGCCTTACCGCCCAATGTGGCCCAGCATCCCATGGTGACCAACATGTAGCTGGCCACATAGGCCAAAACAAAGGAATTACCAAACTCGGCGGCCAACATGTAGTGGATGGGTTGACCAGCTTCATTCACCTGGACATCAGCGGACCACCCCTCCTTCACACACAAAATCACAACTAGTAACTAGACTATCTATCTATCTATATATATATATAAATATGCATATGAAGAGAAACATTAAAACAACTGACTAATATAGTTTATACAACGTACTTGGCCCAGTACAGTTTGTAATCAGATTCATGCTAGTATGATGGTACATATAGAGATTCTAACATACTGATCTCACTTGACCTCTATGCACTGTAAAATTAACATTTTGTTTTTAAAATTTTAACATAAGCATGTAACCATGTATCTAAATATTTGTACCGACCTATCTATAATATTCTATAACTCTATAACAATCTAAATAATATGTAGTATAAGTATATGTACGCATGTACGCATATGTATATACGTACGTATGATATTGCATGATTATGTATGCATACAGATGTACAGACACAACAGCCATTGAAAATGAAGTATCGAATGTACGTCTCTGCTGCAAATGAATGGACAAAGAACCCCAACAACCCCAGGAACGGAATAAACCGTACAAAGGGTGCAAATTGACACCCGAAGTGACCCCGGATAGTGTTTTGTAGCGTCTCAGAATGCATGCGACTGTGCTGATACAGGAGGCACTCCAGACTCCAAACTAAGGCAGGAACGAAGGGCTGTTAAGAAAAAACAAAAGGTTCATGTTCCTTACGCGTTCTGTTTGTTAAACGTTGGGCGGGTTCCTTCTATGCTCTGTCTATTAGGCAGCAATACCACCTGAGGCGATTTTTCAAACAACATTCGTGACCCAAATCAAACCGAACATCGCCTAGACTTGGTTGAATGCAAACACAGGACAACCAACTGCTGCTTTGATGGCTCCTGAGCTTCGCTACAGTTTCGTACAGCCAAAAAAATGCAAAAAAGATGTCTGGTTGATGATTTCAACCAATTCCTCTCAAAACATGTGTGCTACAAACCCATGTTTTTTTTACCAGTTATCATTCGTTTCAGGGCCCGCCCAGAGTTAGTTGGTCAACCCGCTTTAGCAACTGCAAGCAGTTCCACCGCGCGACACATTCTCCTGTGAAGCATCGGAAGGCGGTGAACATTGAGTGAGGAATGTTGTAGAAGTATCGTGTGAGGCCCAGCTTTTCCTTCGGAGACGAAGGAGCACTGTGGGTGAAGAAACATCTGAAATACCCCAGTCATATAGATATACTGGAATATCGCAGTATATTGTATAGAAAGGTGATTTGCCATTCTTTTTGTAGGAACTTATTGTCCTATCTTTTTTTTTGGGGTGCTACCCTCCGGTAACCAACGACGGCAATCGAAAACCCAGCCTTTACGGAGAATTGTCCCACATTGAAACCTCCATTTGGAAAGTATTTTCCATTGCTACGTTTGACTACCGGACGGCCAGAGGCTAATCCCATTCATAACCATTATTATAACAATTAAGCCTACAGCTTCAGAAGAGAACAAATAAACGCTCAAGGATATCTATGCCCGTTTACCCCCAAAAAAAACGCGTTTGCAACATCGCCGAAAAAAAGTGCTACGAACCAACCCTTGAAAACCCAGCCATCTCAGTGACATGGGCGTGCACACACCAGCGCGGGCACATTTCCTGGATTTCATCAAGGTCACCATTGCCCAATCGTTGTGCAGTTGTCATGACAGCGTATTCATGAGATAATGTCAGATAATAGATGTGCATTCGTCCGTCTTCATAAGGTTTATTTTTGCACTAACGCGTGAATTCTGAAAAGAACATATCTTCAGTTCGCGCTCCTTTGCAAATATGTGCGCTCTTTTGCGGGTATTTGCGCTCTTTGCTGCCGGTTGAGTTTCCGCAGTCACAACCATAGAACTCAAACGCAGAAACGCAATTCTCTGAAACAGGCAATCTGGTTGCACAATCGCATGAAAGTCCCATTCTGAACTTTAAATATATTTTTTTTAAAGATATATGCTCTTATGAAGGCCCAGGAGCATTATCTAACTACTATTGTTCCATGAATCCTGTCATCCCGCCGGCGATGCCGCCATGCCAAGCATCTGCAACTTCACTGTGTCCAATCCTGAAGCGGCTCACGAGGACAGCACGACGATAATACCCTACAGTGATTCATAATGGTGCTTAACGCTTAAAACTTCATTGTGGTTAAAACTGGTTATGGAATTACCTTCTGGTAATCGAACGTGGCAATTGGACATCGCCTAGACATGGAAGTTTTGATGGGAACACCAATAACTGTCAATAACTGGTGGATTTTCAATTGCCACGATTGACTGCCGGAGGGTGTATGTATATATATATATATGTGTGTGTGTGAGTGTTTGCGTGTAAATGAAAGCGTTATATAGTACATTGCACTTTACATTGTGAACATGATATGTCGGCCTGCAAATGAGCAAATGTGACAAGGCCTCTCTGGGTGTGGGGGTCACTTGAAGTCCATTTGTTGTTATATAGCTGTATCAGGTTGTATTTCCATGTCATGTTTTTGCGCATTGAAAAAGGATGTTTGCCCGTTAGGTCCATCACCAATTAGTTTCGCTAAGTCAATGGTCCCAGAAAGGCGATCAAATGTGACCAGTTGGATGCAACATGTTCAACCCCAGGTGCACACAAATTACAAAGGGGCAAATAGTCACATCCCAACAGTAAGGGGTGAGTTGGCCCATAACCCACTCGAACTATGAATTAATACATCAACCATAAGTATCCACAAGTCCTAGTTAGATCTAGTAGACTAGTGAAGTAAACCAACAAACTTACCTATCGTAAACGGATGCCCAACAACCATCCTCACTCCACATCTTTTGTGACTCGCGGCGTCAAGGTGGCAAAGCCAGACATGACATACAAAACCGTGAAGAGAAGGACGAAGGCCTACGGGATAGTGTGGGGATCATGTGGGATCATGGGAAAAGGATAAAACAACCATCGAAAAGCAAGGCTTGGTTTTCATTTAAAGATGGGCGATTTTCCATAGCAAACTGCTAGATTACCAGAAGATGTAAATTTCTATATCTCATTATATAGCAATCTTCCCAATTAATTCGCAATGTTTGATGGAACGAGTACATCACCATATTTTCCACCCCAAATGGCGCCACCCAGAACCATAGGTCGATCAAAGCTACGGACAACCACCAAGGAACCAGCAAGAGCGTTCGAATACCTGCGATGAGTCCTGCGAGAAAAAAACCCTTGGAAGTGACGTGAAGATCGGTCAACACAGTTGGGGTATCAAAAGATATAACTTGTAACCAATGAAACACATGCTGAACTTCAGGATGTTCATGATTATATAAACTACAAATTCCATAAGTGTTGTTTTTTTTTTTAAGCGGTAGATGGGGGTAGAGAACTTTGACCCTATGTTGTTTTCTCATCAAAGGGGCATAATCACATAATCATTACTCTTCAAGGCCGCCCGCCCATTTCTCCGCACAGCCAGAGCAAAAGATTTTCACAACATCGAACACCAAAGAAACGCCAAAGATCCCTTCCTCCTGTGATTTAGCGAGGCTTTACACATATTTGGGACTATTTAGACTATTTATTAGTAGGTGTTTATTAGATTTTATTAGGGGAATGGGACCAGCTGGACCACACGTTCAACAAAATTCCGGGTGGGAAATTGTTGTTCTTTGGATTAAACCCGAGGGGATCAAGCTCTGAAGAGTAACAGCAGCAATTACCTCAGTATCCCAAAGGAATCGCACAGCTCGACAGCCAAGTGTGGTAAACCCAATCATAAAGCCATCCCCAGCCCATGGGGATGGTTTATACCACCATTTTCCAGGATTTTTTTTGGGGTATGATTTATTTTGGGTATATACCATTATACCATTGTATACCATTTTACCATAAGTATGTCAAATGGGTATAAGTGCCACCAGCCAGGTTATACCATTTTACACTGGATGATTTGTTTATGACACTCATGACACTCATGACACTGCACACTTGTTTTCCAGATTTCTTTTTGATTTACCGGGTTATTGCAAACAAATCTGCAAACAAGTGGATGACACTCATTGACCAAGCGGGTCATGTTGCAGGTATCCGGGAAAGTAACAAAGAATAGTTGTTGAATGTATTGTTCATATCATGTTCGTGCGTTGCCATTGGAAAAAGGCCAGTCATATGAATATATATATATATATACAACTATATATATATATATATATATTCATATTTATTCATTTATCTATTTATTCATTTATATGCTCCTATTCCTACATGAACAAATCCCATGTCCCGGGTGTCAAACATCAGCTGAGGAGGAACCGCCGTCCTTTCACCATCAAACGCAGGTCTCGCATGATGCGGATCCGGAAGACTTTGACGATTCGTATCAGTCGGATCAAACGACAGAACCTTAGAACATGATGGCAAAGCCCTCAAGATATAGTTATATCATATAAATAAATATATATATATATAGAGATATTAGACTATGGATATGACATATATATATATATATTACACATCATATGATAGAAACATGGGAATCGAAGCAACCATGATGTAACCAGCTAGATTTCGCCCACCACACTGGTTTCAGTGGATTGGTCTTGGGTTTTCAGCTAGTTCTGACTCCTATTGGTCCTATGTCTATGGTAACAAGTGGTAAAACACAGATGAACCATCAAATGAATCAAATCACATGTCAATGTCAAACATGCAGAGTATGTATGCATATATATATATATATATGTGTGTGTGTGCGTTTCTCTGTTCAAATGTACGCTGCAAGTACTTAATACACAAAAAAAACAAGTGAGGCTCATCTGGCACTCAATGAGCCAACACCATCATTTCATTAACGGTCGGTCGTCCAAAGAAAGCTCCTTTACCCGCAATGAATCTCAATGATATGCTTTAATCAACCAAATGGACCAGGAAGGTTTCTGAATTTCTGAATATAAGAAACATGTTCAATTGCCACGCGGTCCCATGCTCATTCACAATGACTATGGGGTCATGGGTAGTACAAACTCCTTGGCTTGGCCCACTGAAAAACGTGGGTCATGGCTCAGATCCTGCAAGTAACCTGGACCCCTGTGTGATTGAAATCTGAACCGGAACCATCGGTTTTTCCAACTGTTTTTTTCTGAGTATATTCATGTTGCTTGCACTGATAAGTATGAGAGAATCTTGTCAGAATGGCGCAGCTCCTCCCATCTTTGTTCAAGAAAAAACCTTGTCAAATTGTCCACTTCAGCAAGACACCCATCTCAATTAACTAAAACTATTTTATAGATATACACATATATTCATATATATATATTATATTAATATTAATTTATATATTATACAAATATTAGTAGTATAATGTAATATACGATAACCCCTTTGAACCCAGTCAAATCATCACAAGCTATAAATCAACTTAGTAGGGGGGCCCTTCCTGCGGCTGTTTCCGAGAGACCGAAGAAGGGATGCGTGTTGAATACTCGCATCGGTTCCAAAGAGCTGCAAGCAGAAGTCCTAGAGATGCCCCCGACCACCTTTCTGGATGGTTAACCCTCCATTCCAAGGATCGCTTCAAGACAAATGTCATAATGTCATTTGGGTTCCAGTTCAGGATCACATGGATTACATCTAGAACTGCAAAAGATGACTGGCAAATTTCTTGGATAATCCTAAATGATCCTAAATGCAGGCAGGTCAGCCTGACCAGATTTTCCCAGGTTACTGTACTACCCCCTTTATTGAAGTATTTGCTCTGAACGGCAACTGAGCCAGTACATGTCCAAGTACAGCAAAAAGCGTCTGGATGTGAAACTTGCCACTTGGAATCAGATTTTAGACGTCAAATAGATATTCAACAGCAAATGCTTTTCCATGATGTTCCTGTCAAAAAACAATGTTTATATATTCTATCACAGATAGAAACTTCTCCAGGATTGGTATGGAGCCTCATACGCCATTACCGAAAGCACCAACAACTGGAATGAACAGTCATTGTGTGCCACTATATAACGTCTTACCTCTCCCCAACTAACATAGATCCTGCCATATAGGGGTTTGGAAGACTGCTCGTCTCCTTGTCTAAACATTGCTGATTCTGTGGGTCAATACTAGTTGTGGTGAATGGCATGCTGTAAGCCACAAACAAAAAAAGGGTTCTTACCGCCCACGATCAAATCGCTTCTGAGGAGCTGAGATGCCAACAGCCACCAAGAAAAGATCGAACCAATTCCTGGACGCGTCGGGGGCTGCGGCGTTAAGAGTGATTTATGTCTGTTCTTCTTCGACTGTCGAATTTACGTCCCTCCAGCTAAGGATATTGATTTGTACTTAGCGACTACTAATTTTGGTGGTCAGAGATTCCCTGGTGCAAGGGCGGTGCAAGACCGAATCACTAGGGACCGGTTTTCCCAACCAGCTTGGGGAATAGATTTGGATTAATTTGGTATACCCGGAAGAAACCATGACAAACCATAGACAAAATTTCAGGTGCTGAGGGCCCCCCAAACCAGTTTCATAACCCATTTCATGGATAGTATCATTTGATCAGGGGTTGAAAGTGGTCGGGAAAAAACAAAGACAAACCAAAAAAACATTTATTTCCATATCAGGGACAGTTAAAAGCGTAGGACGTATTAATTTCTGAAGAACATCGTGGAACCCAGGTAGCCAAGAGCGATTGAAGGTCGGCTTGACAACCTGCAGATAGTCTGTGGCACCACGCAGCTTAAATTTAACGCTGGAAGATTGGGGTGCATTAGAAACTATTAATGACTTAGATTATGTGCTATGTATGACTTGCCAACAAGATGTCTTGTCGACATGGGCACACGCACACACACACATATATATAATTATATACATCGCCGGAGATTGATGTTTCCTCCGGTTCCGGCACTTCTGAGGGTACGATAAACATCGATAAACTACCAGATTATCATAAACTACCGGTAAAGAATCCATGACTAGCGTTGGACACACTGCCCTTTTTATTGCTGAGCAGTAAATGCCCACATTTATGACAAACAAGAAACATCATTCAACAACCCAAGCATGATTTACCTAGAATCCAAAGTAGATCCGAAATGTTTGTCTGAAAATAATGAGGCTACACCCAAATCCAAGGGTTGATCATGGTTGATCATTTCAAATAATTTTTGCCATTTGGCGGATTTTGTTGGACTACTACCTCCAAAATCACCATTTCTATGGATGCTATAAACCATCCCCAAATTTTGGAAGGCCCCACCCCAAACTCCCAAACTTCTGCCGAGCGGCCAGGGACTTTCAGGTCCGCACCAATATCGACCACATTTGAGCCTCCGTGGACATAGGCCCATATGGCCCCATATGGGCCCATGGCGCTGACCCGCTTGGAAAGCACACACTTGCGAAGTCATGAAAGACGGTCTTTTTTCATGAATGCAAAGTCTGATTACCTCATGGTAGATTGAAGGCATCACTCGGCCATACCGAGTTAAAAAGGCCAAGCTTATCCGTTGACATTTGAATGTCAGGTTGTTTAAAAGAGAAACCAATACGACTCAATCAAACGTGATCATGAAATGACTGAATGACGGCATGCAGGTTCTTGGGTTAGCCTGATCCCATAAAGTACTAACAGATACGAATATGACCACCAGCTATGACCCCAACATATTGGGTATGTCATCCAGGTGCATCATGCAGGTACGTTTTCGCAACCTAAGGTGAGTGTCTTCATTGGCACAAGACTCACCAAAGGTCCTTGTGCCCCCTGCTATGAATTAAAACGCAACGGTATCCAAAATTTATGGTGGAAAGCAGTTGAAAACTAGTTGGTTGGAATCAGTCGCAAGAAAGTGAGGAACTCTTTGGTACAGAGCTTGACACACACAAAAAGGCACGAAGCCGGGTTGGTATTTCTTTAAAGGCGAGAATGGAAGACATCATCAATAGATTGGTGAGAAACCGCAGAGGAAAATTTTGCAACCTCATCAGCGTGTTAGTAAATATTTTGCCGCAGCCAAAAGGTTAGGTATGCTTGAACTGCCTTCTGTACAGGACGCGTTGGCAGTCTGTTTTGGAGAACCCTTTCTGTACGTACAGCTGAATGAGTTGGTTGAGATCATCACGGACAGATTGTTTGGGAAACGTGTATCTGCGAATTAAGGTTGCACGGGACTTTAGTCCGGACAAGCGGAGACGCATGCTGCCAGCAGAATGGAGATCACGAATTTTCCATAGTGGAGGTACTTGGTACCTTACGGTTCGTTGCACGACATCGATGGTGAACCCAAGGAGTGTACCATCTTCGACGGTTTCCAACTCCACCGGCGCTTGATAAAAGAAACAATCGGAAAGCACTCGCATGGGCAATGCGGGGCGAAATCGATGGTCAAACAAAATGAATCTGTTGTCCACATATCGTGTGAACAGAAGCTGGAGTTGGCTGGATTGAACAAAAGTTAAATACGCATTTCTCCAGCTGCGCTCTATGAGCGTCACAGCCAAACTACTGAGAGAGGGAGAGATGTGTGATCCAATCCCTGCTCCACGATGCTGTACCCAAATTTGGTTGACAGCTTTAAACACGTGGGTACTTAAAGAAGCCTGGACAATTGTCAAAATATCTTGAACTCGAACGGTCTTGATATTCGATGATGTCTTCTTGCACTGTCCCACAAATGAAGTGTGGACAACTGGCCCTTTCAGAGCCATGTTGACCGAAACTTGTGTTTCACCATGTTGATTGACCCATTCCGTGGTCAATTGTTGAATCGCATCAAGTAAACGTGATTGAGGGACGCTGTTGAAAAATCCAACAAGATCAACGTTGATGGCAGCAAATTGAATATCGTCATCTGTACGAAAAAACCGTTGATGGATATGTTTCCAAATTTCAGGAACTGAAAGTTGACCGGCTTCTTGCGGCCAAAGCATCACACACATCGTATCAAGAGTTCTGGCGGTGGCCTGCATGAGTTTACCATAGCGTGAACCAAAATACGAAATCAATGTACGTCCTTTGTTGAACATCTTCTTTCGTTTCAGATGTACAAAGCCGTGAGGCAGTGTCGAGGATGTGTTAATCCCCCATCTGTATCGGTTCTGCAAGGACGGTGTCAAAGCAGTAGCAATGAGCTTTTGAGCATCTTCTTCATTTCCAGGAAAACGGGAAAACAATTCAGGATCATCCCATGTTCTGCAAGCAGACTCAAAGTAGAAGGAAGGACAAAACAGGGTGATGCGATGAATTTCATGATCAGCATGATGAATCACCACATTGGGTGGTAACCATTGAAGGAGGTGCTTGATGTTGTGGAAGGAAAATCTGGGATTAGTCTGCAACTCCTTGGTGTGAGCGGTCCATTGTCGAAGAAGTTCGGCTTGAAGATCACAATGAGAAAACGGAGGGCAACCATGATATTTAGTCCAGTACTGCAATTGTTCATGCCAAATGTTCTGAAATTGTGCGAAGCTGGGAAAAAACGTAGAGGAGGCGTTGGCAGTCTCAAAGATGCGCAACTTGGAGGGCAAGTTCAACTCATGGATACCAACTGCAACATGTTGATGGACACCAAATCAATGAATTGAAGGATCAAAATGTTTGATTTTGGCAATCAATTGAGAGCACGAACATGTCAACTGGGTCGGATCCTGTACAGGGTGCTTGTGCTCATAGTGCTTGTAATTGTGTAGAAAACCTGAAAGTGTCTGTGCTGCAGCTTCCCTCAGTTTTGAGGTTGGAAGATGCAACGGAATTGCAATTTCCTTGTACTGTAGGACATGATTACGTAAAAATCTTGAAACTTGTGCTGAAAAATCAGAGTGTGCCAAAAATGGCATAGTCGCTGGACGATTCAGTTTTGGTATCGTCATATTTCTGAACTTCATGGCTGATGCAAGAAGTTTCCTGGCTCGACCGCGCGCTGGCTGTTCTAAATGATTGCAAAGTCGGTACAACACAGATATTTCCCAATCATCAAATTTCCCAGACCTGAGGGTTGTCGCTGTGTCAAAGGAGAGGCGGCCAGGACTTGTGAGCTCAAAAATAATGTTCCAAGCTTGAGCTTGTTTGCAGTGAATGGAGGGAGGAACACCTTTGGTGATGAGTCTTCTGCGTAGTCTTTGAAACAATCTGTTTCCCTGTGGAATAGATGGAAAAGTCTGAGAATGTTTCTTGTACTGAACCAACCATCCTGATGCTTTCAGCGTCAAGATTTTGGTGATAAATGGATGGTTCAACGGTGGTTGCCATCTTGAAATCAGTAAATGTTCAAAAATCCAGGCTTCTTGATATGTAGAAAAAGAGGCAATTGGAATTGCAGTAGAATTGGAAAAATCCGAACGTCGAGACCAGTACTTAACAGCAAGTTCAACATGAACAGGAGTACCATCTTTGGCCAGTCTGTACTTGGCCATTCTATTGAATTCCCGCTTGGCCATTCCAATGGATGTGGAGCCGATATAAAATCTGCCAGCTTGTTTGTACGAAAGTGAAGTGGAGTTGGGAAGGTTAAACTGCATTTTAAGATAGGTGACAGCTGTACATTGAAAGAATACAAAAGTGTAACTCTCTGGATTAATACCAAGGTTCTGCAGTCTTCGCTGCCAAACCGCGGTATGATACGTGCGTGATCCAAAATGGAAAAGACAAATGAGATGAAGCAAACCAAGGGTTTGCTAATTGCACAAGACTTGTTGACAGCAGGGACAGAGTGCACGATCTCAATAAATACGGATCTCAAAACTGTGATGTAATCCAGAACGGCTTTCGGCCGATGTTTGGAAACATCCATAGCTAGTCAAGCTGTAAGAGCTGCTCCAACAGCAACTGCCTGTTGGAGACTTGTGATGCTGAGCTTGAGGACAGCACTTAAATTAAGGCCATATTGAGTGCTGGCCTGTTGCAACTGTTCCTTGGTGCATTTAGCAGCCTTTATGATATCCATGATTTTCTTGGACATCTGCTGGGTTTCCAGGTTGAAATTCTGGGTCCACTTCTTTACATTGGCTGCAGTGGTTCCGGAAAGCTGATTCTCTCTGAGATTTGGGGCCTTTGGCTCCAAAATCTCCTGAATTGTGATTTCTGTCGGAGAGTGCGTGGCAGAGGTCTCATCTTTTGGTGACGCAGCTGCCTTGCGGAACATAGGTGCCAGCTTTCTTTGCTTTGGCAACGATTTCGGAGAAGCCCCTAATGCCTCGCTAGGTCTCTTCCTGTGAGAAGTAGAAACAACAGCAGGAGAAACAGGAACAACAGAACCAGCAGAACCAGGACCATCAAGATCATCAGTTGGCAATTTGGGATCAGGGGCAAAAGTGCCGGTGGTACGCCGTGATCTCTGGGGTGTATCCGGAATGCCTGCTTGTGCAAGCTTGGACTTGGCAGCTTGAAGCTTCGCTTCGGTCTCCTGGAGCCTTCGCATGGCTTCGGTATCCTGTTTTACAGGACACTGAGCCTTGAGTTTATCGGCTATGAACTGAACTAAAGGTGCCATAAACTCAATCGGTTTGTCCGTGCGATTGGGAATGCCCTGCTGGGGGGCCAACTGGCGATGGAGGCTTTCAGCCGTAGCATCGATATCAATTCCTTGATCACGGAATGTCTTCAAAATTTGGGAACCAAACACAGATTCAGCAACAGATTTCGCACAAATAATTCCAACAAATCTACCCTCACTGAGCGCTCGCAGCGCTGCTTCATCAGGTCCATGTCGAGTAAGATGACTGAGCGGGACGGAAAGTGGATCTTGGCCAGCAAGATTCCTCTTGCGGCTCCATGCAGTCGGTTGAATTGATCTGTACAAACGGTAACCATATTGAACTTGATCATCCCAACATTGACTCGTGCTGCGCCAATTTGATGGTAAACTCACGGGCGGACTCGAAGACGGAGGCGGAGGTGGAGGAGACTGCTGCTGCTGCCATTGATTGTCCCAAGAGTTCCATTGGGACCTGTTCCAATACGACATGGCTGACAACGGAGAAGTTAACACGTCAACAGGAAGCCTAAGAACCCAAAACTGCAGCTATAACTGAAATAACAAAAATTGAAAAATCTGCAATTGGATGCGGCACGTTGATTCAACGCAGCATTCTGATGTATCGTCTTGTTGGACAAAATGGATCACAATTCCGATTGAGTTAAAATATGTACGTCTAAATCACAAATCGGAATGCATGGGTTGTCCATGCGGTTTTTTGGACATCTCAGCAAATGTCGATCGCACATGCAACGGAAATGAATTAAGCATACCGGTAACAAGTCTGATGGAGAAACGGGCAGTTCATATTGAAGCAAAATTCCAATCAGACAAAAATAGAAAATGGTAAAAACAGCAAGGTTCAAAACGGAGTAGGGAATTAGTCTAGTGGGCTTTCAGCTGCCACTCTGAATGCAAAACCTAAGAGTTTGTGGGAGTTTTCATTAGTGACCCACATACGTCCTCTTTGATGGTGGACGCATCCGCCATTCATGGTTTTCTGTACGCATTCCCATTCTCCCCCTTGCTTTACGGCCTCAGCCGTTCCCCATCCTACCGCTACTGCCAGAATGTTACTTGTATTCTTTGCAGCGTACCATGCTGCATGTGTGATTCTGGCCATTTCTTTGTCATCCCAAGCTCTGTCGTTGGTTCTTTTAGATCCAAGACTGAAAAATGAGCAAGATTGGTTGTTGTGTAAACGGCTAGGTCCGATCTTTTGATCAGAAAAAATGCCTTTGATGCCTCCAATACTGCTAGCATGAACCAAATTCACATGTTGTACTTCCTGGAGGTTCATCGCAGGTGCAGCTCGTACTGGGTCTGGTATTTCTCTTTGAGAGAAATGTCCTTTGATAAGGTAATAATGACTCTTGCCCAAATCAGTAGGATGATGTTCATGATCTTGAGGGTCATAAACAAGCAACTTCATTGTGGACAAATGATCAGGAGTATACCTGGTGGAGTCCAGAATTTGTGCAACGAATTTCACCATACTGTCCATCATCGGGTAGTCATCATCTTGATGATTTTTTAACCAAGATCGAATATTTGCCTGGTTCGGAGTGACTGGCTGACTGGTTGGTGTCATTTCGTGACGTCCTGAGCGATCTAATAGAGGGAAGGCTGAAAACGGTCTCAAGGGAGGAGGAGCAGGAACTCTGGGAGGAGGAACATGCGCTCTGGGAGGAATGTTTCCAACATACGGGTCCCAAAGACCAGTATGAATGTCCCATTGACCTGGTGGAGGACGGAGAGCTTGAGAGAAAGAAGAACGAGCCGTTCTAACTGACCTACCTCTTTCAGATCTCGAAGTGGACCTCGGAGAATGGTGATCACGATGATGGTGACGGTGATGGGATGCTCGATGACGACGTCTTGTTCTGGATCTGGAGCAACTTGATGTTGTGCGTCTTTCCTGTTTGTCATCATCTGTTCCAACCGGCACCGCAGGTTGGACTGCTGACGGTCGACGAGGTACGGAGATCGTTCCTGGAATTGCGGCTGGGGCTGCTACCGGAGTTGCTGGAGGAGCATGTGGTGTCAATGCCAGTCTTACTGCTGGCTTCGCCGGTGCTTTCGGTGGCCGAGGTGGAGTCGGGTCCACGTTGCCGGCCACAAAGTAAACATTATACACCGGAGTCGACATGGCTCAGAAATCTAGAGAAAGGAAAATGGAAAATGTGTTGTCTAATATGACAACTTGTTAACTGTACAAGGATTGATCAGTTAGACAACTAACAAGTGATAACGTATTGTTGCTTGCTCAACTGTACACCAAAAGGCATTCATGTGTACAAACACAATTCATCCATTTGGAATTCAATGCTGAGGCTTCAAGTGTGGAATTCAGAAAATTCATCTTATTGGTGACTATCAGTCGCCAAAATTGTCAAAAGTCAAATTCAAGTTCAAACTCAGTGGATTCAAGCTATTTTTGCCGGATAGCATACCGGGATCTATTCTCTCAAATGCACGCTTTGTGTCAGAGACACACGTTCAATCATTGCAATGAGCCACCGTGGCTGAATTCAAGAGTCAAATTCACTTGTGGATTCTCGCACCCCCAGGGGAGATACGACGCCTGGAATTCCAGGATCACGACCGGACTTTGACAGATCCCACGGCCGAAATACACACTTGCGAAGTCATGAAAGACGGTCTCTTTTCATGAATGCAAAGTCTGATTACCTCATGGTAGATTGAAGGCATCACTCGGCCATACCGAGTTAAAAAGGCCAAGCTTATCCGTTGACATTTGAATGTCAGGTTGTTTAAAAGAGAAACCAATACGACTCAATCAAACGTGATCATGAAATGACTGAATGACGGCATGCAGGTTCTTGGGTTAGCCTGATCCCATAAAGTACTAACAGATACGAATATGACCACCAGCTATGACCCCAACATATTGGGTATGTCATCCAGGTGCATCATGCAGGTACGTTTTCACAACCTAAGGTGAATGTCTTCATTGGCACAAGACTCACCAAAGGTCCTTGTGCCCCCTGCTATGAATTAAAACGCAACGGTATCCAAAATTTATGGTGGAAAGCAGTTGAAAACTAGTTGGTTGGAATCAGTCGCAAGAAAGTGAGGAACTCTTTGGTACAGAGCTTGACACACACACATATATATATATATCATACTATATTGTTGTAATATAAATAAATATATATAATATGAAATTTAATAATATGATAATCAAATTATGTTATGTTATGTTACAGTATGTTACGTTATATTTTGAAATATTTTATGTTGAATAATATAATATTATATTTTATAATATTATACAATATTATTTGAAATTATAATATTATTTTATGAAATCATATTTAGTGTTTCATTGTATGACATTACATGTCTTTTTAGTGATGTTATATGATATTTTACCAGACTATATTACATTATATTGTATCAAGGTTTACTGAGTTAAAATATATAACATATTTTACAACATTATATTAAAAGAAAACATGGGTTTAAAATAATATAATATCTTTTAATATTACAATGTATTATTTCATTTTATGTTGCAGTATAATATTTTAAAGTAAAACTATATACGCATATAACTCCAATAGATTCTGATAATTTCAGGTAGGGATGCGAAAACCATCAGACACGTCTCATTCTCTGGCAATGGTATGCAGTGGTTCGATGTTAACCTTCACACTTCACATCTCATTATTAGTGGACTAAGGATCAAACCCGCAAAACAAACATGTGGATTTGATATGATTTGATATGATTTAATTGCTATACCCTCTGGTAAACTAACATAACTATGGAAAATCACCGTTTTCAATGGGAAAATCCACTATAAATTGTCATTTTCACTAGCTTTTTGTATGTTTACCAGAGTGTAAATCAAATATACCTATCAAACATGTGGATCATTTCAGGTTCACCAAACATGGAATGTCTACACCATTTCTGGGGCCCTAGCAGTTGAAACCGTGTCAGCTTCGGGTTCTTTCTTTCTGTACCCTTGACTTTTGCACATGTGTATATATATATATAGTTATGTATATATATATATATTACAATGCAGTAATGATGATTGTTACTATCATTATTGGTATTATCATTTACCTATATATATATATATTATATTATGAATATGATTGAAAATGCAATGGCATTTGCAATGTAGCAAACATAAAAGATCCGAAACGATCAATCCCATGGAGTGGCATTTCAGTTTGAGCATAGATGCCATGCAAGTTCTTGATCGAAGGCTAGATTGATGCTCCCATTTTGGCCAAGGCATTATTCGGTAAATATGCTATGATGAATACCCATACCATCGCGGGAATTCATCCACTCAAATCCCTTAACATCACTCGATTTTTCAACCATGGCACCAATACATCCGCAGCAAAACCTCGAAAATCAGCAGGGATGTGAAGCCTAATTCGAGGAAGGGCCAGCCGGGCCAATTCTCGTAGCCGGGATCCGACTGGAAACCTGAGCGAAGCCAGGAACCATATATACTATATACATCTATATACCTTATGTTGGACATTGTGGCCTGTGTCTGTTCGGGGCTCCCTGGGCCTCAAAAACGAAGAAACCTATAAAAAACTATGGTTTCTTGAAAATCAATGAAATGCAAAAACTAGCAAAAATTGCTGGTTTCTTGATTTTCAATGAAACGCAAAAACTGCAAAAAAACAACGTTTTTTGCAAATTTACAAAATGCGGAAAATCGACGATCTACAATCTCATCATCTTAAAGATATCACTTCCCACCTGAGTCATTTTTTCCGCCAGCCATCTTCGAAAGTTCAGAGTGCAAGGTGCAAAGCACTCACGCAACAACATGTGAATTAAATGGAACAGAATGCTCTGAATGCATTTTTTAACTTGGCAGTTTGGCAGGACTGTAAACCGGCCACCATCTTTAATTCGTGATGCCATCTTGCACAGCATCTTTTCGTCAGAGCCGGTGCTCAGAAGTGGAAGCAATTCACAACACACGCGTGTCACATGGCATTTCCCGTCATGTCACTATCATGTCACTGGCACATGTTACGTGAGCCACAGTCACATTGCATTACGTTAATATTGCATGTGATGTTCGCTTCAGATTATTGAGTTCTTTCAAATCTTTCTTTTTTTGGGAGACTGCTGCTTGGCAAAATGCTCAAGCTTCAACTGTTGCCCTTTGGGCACATATCCACTGGCAGCAGGGCGCTTCATGTTTGAAACATTTCCCTTGGCACCATCTTGAAGCTTCTGCTTCTGCTGACTGTGAGCCTTTGGCTTCGCCGGCTTTGTAAACAGTTTGTCATACTGACTGGAATCATCTTCAGTCGTTACAATCCGCTTTGGACCCACAAAAACATTCATGCGCAGCTCATACTTCGGTCTGGAGCGGGACCGCGATTTGGATCTTATCCTCCTCGATGGGCCCACGTCTTTCACCCTCCAATCGCAACCTTAGTTTTGGCGACGCTAAGCTAAAGTAGTGAGTGGCAGTGGTAGTGAGTGGTGTACCGTGCACCATGCTGATAGTTAAGTTAAGTTATAGTTATAGAGTGTCGGCTTGAGATATGCTGGATTCTGGGTCAGAGTCATAGTCGTTATTGCATAATCCTCATTGTCAATAATGAATCAGCAAAACAATAAATAATAAATCATCATCATCATCATGAATCATCATGGAATCACCATCGAATCGAATCATGAATCATATTAATCATATCATCATATCATCATGTAATGTGTCATGAGCCATGAATCGTCAATGTGAACTCACCTACTCCTACACCACCCTCGACCCTAGCAGCCGAAGTTGCCAAAATTAGCCAAAGACACTTGCCAGCAACACTGCTAACATAGATCCGGCAACATTGATCGAAATCGTGTTGCCTGCCATGGAATTGAGAGCACGGTCCTTACAGGATTGCTGACAGAGGCAGTCCCTGAAACTGAAACACTGTACATGAAGGAACACATACATACAAACTCCAAATCCAGGTCCAAGTCCAAGAATCAGGAACTTCTGGGATGACAATCTCATGGTCAGCTGATGTCATGACAGAGCCACTGACATTCAAGTTGTCAGGAAACCCTTGACCACGAAGTAATTCACATCCAAGGATGACTCCTGAGCGCAGCTGTAGAAATTTCAAGGGGAGAAAACGCAAAGCCACAAAGCAATCCAGGTTCTAAATGGTATACGGTATACGGTATACGGTATAAATATTGACTCTTTGTGCCCTGTGCCCTGGCCACTCCAGCAGTGCAATGGCTAAGCCTAAGCCCAAGCCACTTTTTTTGGAAGTGTGCCACATGCGATGTCCGCGAAGGAGACAAGGCAGTCTCTCTGAATGAGAGGCTGACTTCCAGTTCGAAAAGCAAATGGAATTCGTCAAATCCCAAATGTAACCTTGGCTTTGGCCCTGCCCCTTGGCCAAGGTCTCTGCTGCCTCATTCTTGCTCTTCAAATCCAACCTTGCAAATGCCAGCCCGGATAGATTCAACTCTGATTCTCTCATATTAGATGTTGACAATGAGTCAGTCAGTCAGTTGACAGTTGGTGTTAAGTTAGAGTTAGAGTTAGGGGCTTCCTTAGATGAGATGAGATCAGTGGGTTAATTCAGATTCCAGATATTTAGATTTTGATTCAGATTTGATTTGATTCGGTTGTGAAACGCGCTCGAAGCTTTTGTCATGTCATGGTCCCAGCCATGTCATGTCACTGTCAGAGTATATATGTCACTGCAACTGCAACTGAACTGCTGAACTGCTGAACTGCTGAGCAAGTTTCATCCATTGGTGTAGATACAACAGGTCTTGTTCCCTTGGCGGCAGCGTCTTGCTCCATGCTGAAGAGTATTGGTCAAATAGTTCAGGGCCAGTGGGAACCTCCGTCACGCGGGCACAGAACCAGCTGAGCAGCTAATAGAAAATGAAATGTGCTGATATTCTGACACTGATTCTGAACTTGTGAATGCTGAAACAAAAGAGCCAAGCCAAGCCATGCCCAGCATGAACAAAGACAAAGCCATGAATGAATCTAGATTCACATATGTTTCATTGATTTGAATAGATTGCTACTTATAACTTATTACTTATTAATAACTTACTTATTAACTTATATCTAGTCTATATGTTTTAAAACTTCTTTAGTTGTAACTTAAACTTAAACTTAAAGCAAAGAACAGAACTTGGAATTTGATTTGATCATGAATCGGAATCATGGAAAGACATGCGGCATACCCCAGCCTGCACTTGGAATCTTTCGGCAAGTTGTTTCCTTGCCACCTGGTGTTGCTCATGTCCTGTTGGCCATGTGCTGCCATGTGTCAGGGACTCCTTGACTTCATCTGGCGTAAGTTCCCTGGCCTTCAACTTATCCAGCAAGGCAGCTACTCTGGGATCACTTTCAGAAAGCATCAAATCTCCGAAAGCTGGTGTCTGGCCGATGAGCTCCGAAGAGATTTCCTGGCAAATTGGTCGAGCATTTCAATGGCAGCGACAGGGTGCACTAAATTGAAGTCAATGTACAAATGATCACTGTCAATGACTCAATGACTGTCTATGTCAATGTCAATATCTGATCTGACCTGGGACCTGACATTTTGTCTGCTGTCTGCGGTCTGCCTTTCAAATATAGAGCTGCGAATTTAATAGAGTAATATAGATGGTCTCGGTATCATAGAGTAGTCATTGCGGAATCACATAAGTCAGGTCAGTCCAGTCCAGTAAATTGAACTTCATTAAAAAATTAAGCCTATAATATAACTTATATAACTAAACTGTAACTTGTCACGTCCTGTCAACTGTCACGTCATGTCAAGTCATAAAGTATGCTGCTGATGTCTGACTCATACATTACCATACCGGACCATGTGAGCGTGTGGCACCTGCCTCCAACCACACCTTCCATGTCTCAGGGCCGTGGATGATGTGGCATTGGCCCGGGTCCACGGCCAAGACGTAAAGTCGTGTGCGACTTTGCGGCAACCCGAAGCTAGCGCTGTTGGCAAAAAATGCCTGGGTGACGTAATCCATTTCCTGAAGAGCTGCGGTGACGATCTGCTCAGTCTCCTTTTTTTGAACGTTCTCGATCATGACCAGGGCCTCTCAGTCTTGGCTTGGACAGATTTGCAATCTGACAGTTGACAGTTGACACTGTTGACATTAACATTGAAATTTGCATTGACAGTCTAACAGTGTGACAGTCGTGATAGATAGAATGTCATGTCATGTCGGCTTGACTCTACTCAATCATCAATCCCACAGCAATCACAGCCAACAACCAAACCCTAAGGCCCTAAATCAACTTTAACTTTGGATTAATTTCAGAACACCCACTGCAGCTGAACAGACTTGAGACTCAGACTCAATGATTCAAATGTGAATTTCAGATTTCTGAGGCAGGTTCAGGTCTCTTCTGTTTCACATAGTCCAAACTTTTCTGAAGCGTCTTGGAGCTCATTCCTGACCTGGGTCCATTGTAGTTTAGGGTGGCTTAAAAATAGAAAAATTGCGAAGAACACAAGAGCCAGAGTCAAATCAGAATCAGGACTTTGTTTTATCATGTTTTACTGTTTTATCTCTCAATTCCACAATCAATGAATTTGCTGAGTCCAACACGAATCGGTAATGTTGAGGTCTAGTTTTTTGGGCGCAGTGTTCATAGAGCTCAGGTCCTGCTAAGGATGCAGTCAGTGAAGCCTGCAAGTGCAGAGCAACAGCTGCAGAAGCACCAGCAGCGTTTCAAGTTGCAAGTAACAAAAAACCGGGTCCTGACACTCGAATCCACCTGTGTACACCTTCACAGATGGAACTGGCTTACGCTCACTCGTGATCCAGTCCTTCCCACCTCGTAGGTTGTCCCTTTCCTGAGTCTGAAGCTTGGAGAGGCACTGAGTGCATGGTGTGACAACGACTGAGTAGTGAGTGCAGTGAGTACTAAGTACTAGTAAGACCAGTAATGATTGTCAGTCGATGATTTAATAATATGATATATGACACGAATACGAATACGCATACGGCATACACATACGCACAAGGAAAACCCAACCCCGATCCGAATCCAGTCTTAAGTCAGGAGGCTAGAAGATCATCGAAAATTACTTTGGGGCAGGGATTGCTGTTCAACATCAGCATCTGCTTCTGGTATCTTCCACTTGGGTCAGGAGCTTCAGACGCAAATGAATACTCCAAAGAAATTGTCTTCCCACAGTGTGCCTTCACAGACCCGGCCAAACCAATGACTTGACAACATTCAAGAGTCTAGAGTTTACATTCAAGAGTCTAGTCCAGTCTAGAGTCTAGAGTTTAGACTAGACAACAGAGTCTAGACAGTCTAGAGTCCAGAGTGCAAGGTGCAAAGCGCAATGTATCAAAACTAACACTAACAGCATCAACAACTCCAATTTCTGCCTGGATTGCATCCACCACTGACCGCAATCCATGAAAGGGAGCATCAAGGCCAGAGCAATCTGATCCATACTCCAGCGTGGAGGAAATTGTTCGCTGGCGCAAATGATGTCCAAGCACCTTGATGACAGCGTCCACCCACGTTGCCTGTCCAGATGGATGAATGATGAATGATGAATAATTCTGAATAAGTATAAGTTAAAGTTTAAGTTATAAGTTATAAGTTATAAGTTATAAGTAGTTCTAAGTATCGTATCAGTTTACAACATATGACACTGACAGTGTGATGACAATGCAGTCACTGAGCAGCAGCCACATTTTTTCGGCACAGGCGACAGCTGTCGAGTCAATGAATCCTTTTGCGGCTTTTGCGTTTCTGTCTCAGCATCTGCCCACAACATGGGCAAGGCCCCAAATCGATGCAGCCTTGACAGGGTATGTCAGTGCCACTGCTACCCATTGCAGATTCAACACTGCTCGCAGAAGTTACATTCTTTTCAGCTTCAGGCTCGGGCTGCGGCTCTGGAGGAGACACTGGTGTCATTGGAGGAGTTGATCTAGGAGATGGTCTTGGAAGAGATGGCGAACTCAATGGGAATCCCAGCTCATCTGGCTCGGATGTGATCGTCTCTGAGTCATCTGCAGCTGTATGACCAGTATCAGTATCCTGATCCTTCTTCTCAGCCTTCTCCAAATGATCCACGCCATTGCCATCACTCATGGCTCTGAAATATTTGGAAATTCTCCTACCACTGTACTGCAGTTGTGTCACCATGACCCCTAAGTTAAGTGGCTGCCTCTGGCTAGGCTAGTGCAGTTGGTTTACAGTCTTATCTTATGTTTGTGCGCTCACTCCTGCTGACTGTCAGACCAGACTGTTGACTGAGAGCAGTTACCAAAACATTGACATAAAGCCTCAAACCTGCAGTAGGAGTCGGAGGAGTAGATGGATGCTATATTACATGACATTACCATTCAAATTCAACAAGTTAACTTGAACCTACATCATACATCTAAATAATTAATAAATTATTATATATATACATTATAATAATAAATATTTAATATTTATATAAAAATAAATATATAATATATAAAATATAATTATAATATATATATTGGGGGGGCCGTAACACAACTAATGAAGGCCCTTCTTTACGACTTACACGCTAAGGTTCCAGCACATTTTTTCCACAGTCCACCCGCTCCCCCAGACGTACGTTTTCCACAACATTTTTTCTTGAAAAGCAATGTTTTCCACACCATTTTGCCCTTGAAAAGCAAGGTTTTCCACACCATTTTGCCCTTGAAAAGCAATGTTTTCCACACCATTTTGCCCTTGAAAAGCAATATTTTCCACACCGTTTTGCCATTGAAAAGCGGTGTTTTCCACACCGCTTTGCCCTTGAAAAGCAATGTTTTCCACACCATTTTGCCCATGCCAAGCAATGTTTTCCACACCATTTTGCCCTTGAAAAGCAATGTTTTCCACACCGTTTTGCCCTTGAAAAGCAATGTTTTCCACACCGTTTTGCCCTTGAAAAGCAATGTTTTCCACACCGTTTTGCCCTTGAAAAGCAATGTTTTCCACACCGTTTTGCCATTGAAAAGCGGTGTTTTCCACACCGCTTTGCCCTTGAAAAGCAAGGTTTTCCACACCGTTTTGCCCTTGAAAAAGCAATGTCACACCATCTTCCCTTTCAAACACCAAGTTTTCCACACTATTTTCCTTTCAAAAGCAATGTTTTCCACATCATTTTCCGTTCAAAAACCATGTTTTCCACATCATTTTGCCTTCCAAAAGCAATGTTTTCCACACTTGCGGAAACTTTTGCGGAAACTTGTGCAGAAACTTTTGCGGAAACATGCGCGGAAACTTTTGCGGAAACTTTTGCGGAAGCTTTTGCGGAAACTTTTGCGGAAACTTTTGCGGAAACTTTTGCGGAAACTTTTGCGGAAACTTTTGCGGAAACTTGCGCGGAAACTTTTGCGGAAACTTTTGCGGAAACTTTTGCGGAAACTTTTGCGGAAACTTTTGCGGAAACTTTTGCGGAAACTTTGCGGAAACTTTTGCGGAAACTTTTGCGGAAACATTGCGGAAACTTTGCGGAAACATGGTTGGAACATTGTGGAAACCTATGAAATTAGTTGTTGATTTTCAGTCAACTCTTTACGGAGCCATTTTTTCCACATGTTTTCCACAGTCAAAGGGCTTAATTTTCCACAATCGAAAGCTTATTTTTCCACAATTAAGAGCCCGATTCTCCACAATTAAGAGCCCGATTTTCCACAATCAAGAGCCCGATTTTCCACAATTACTGTAGAGCCCGATTTTCCACAATCAAGAGCCCGATTTTCCACAAGTAAGAACCTAACTTTCAACAATGAAGAGCTTGGTTTTCCACAATGGAGAATTTGATTTTCCACAATCAAAGCCTAATTACACAATGTAGGTTTACTTTTTCCAGTATGGTTTCCAGTTGTTTCTTAAAATTCAATTTGTCCACAAGCTACGGAAGTTCTGCTGTTTCTACACGCTTCAACGGTTTTCCAATCCCAAAATCAGATCATTGTTTGTCCATTCCCAGTGGCCAATGGCGCTTTTGTGGAAACTTGACCCTTTAAGTACGAAAACAATCTCTTTTAAAATTGAAAAATCGACACAAAAAGTGGAAAATGAACCCTCGTAACGTGGAAAATGGACCCCTTAAAGTGTGAAAACAAGCGCTTGTAAATGCGAAAAATCGGCCCTGGAAATGTGAAAATGAATCGTGGAATTAACATTTGAAATGTGGAAAATGCGGCCTCGGAAACGTGCAGCATGAACCTTTGAAATGTGGAAAATGGACCCCTTAAAGTGTGGAAAAATGCCCTTTAAACGTGGAAACTCGGCCTTGGAAATGTGGAAAATGAACCTTTGAAATGTGGAAAATGAACCTTTGAAATGTGGAAAATGGACCCCTTAAAGTGTGGAAAAATTGCCCTTTAAACGTGGAAACTCGGCCTTGGAAATGTGGAAAATGAACTTTTGAAATGTGGAAAATGAACCTTTGAAATGTGGAAAATGGACCCCTTAAAGTGTGGAAAAATTGCCTTTTAAACGTGGAAACTCGGCCTTGGAAATGTGGAAAATGAACGTTTGAAATGTGGAAAATGAACTTTGAAATGTGGAAAATGGACCCCTTAAAGTGTGGAAAAATTGCCTTTTAAACGTGGAAACTCGGCCTTGGAAATGTGGAAAATGAACCCTTGAAATGTGGAAAAAACGTCGCGAAACACGTTTTAGGAACTGTAAAGAATAGTTGTCCACGGGCCCCCCCAATATATATTATATAATTATATATTAATTCATAATTCATAATCATATAATATATATATATTATAATTATGAAATAATTGATATAGAATAATATCATCATATATTATATATACATAGCTTAATTAGAGTTGACTAAATTAATATTTTAATAAAATAAGACTGTCAGACAGCACATATGATATGACTGACAGAAATACATGACATGACAGGACTGCACGACTTCAAGAGCCTTGTGGGACTTGTTGGCCTTGTCAATGTCATCTGCCGCAGCTGGAACATCAGCATCTGCCGCAGCTGGAACATCAGCCTCCTTGACCCCCATAGCCATGCTGGCGATGCTGACATCGCCACTGCCAATTCCGATGCCAATGCCCATGTCCTGAAAAAGGGCGGCTGCCGACAAGTGACAGGTGACATTTGATTGTGAATGAGTGTGGCCAAACCAACCCACATGAGGACTGGATCAAAACCTGTTTGTCTTTTTTGATTTTGATGTTGAGTTACCCGAGTGTTGTATTTGGAACCAGCTTCGTCAGTTGAGTCAAGACTTCACCATATAAAATCAAATGACGGATGCTGACTCCCATGCTGACGGGCCTTGTCCATGTCACACTCGCCACCCGCAGCGGGAACATCATCAGCAGCCTCGTCCACGCCCATGACGGTGCCACCGCCATTATTATCACCACTGCGAATGCTGCTGATGCCGATGGCAATGTCCTGCAAAAAATGTTGGTGACAATTCAATTCAGTGTCAGTGTCAGTGACAAACAGTGTCGTAACAGTGTGACTCTGACTAACTGTGACTCAGTGTGACTGCCAATATCTGCCAATGTGATTGTGAGTCTTGTGGGTGTGGCCGAATTCTGCCACGATTGCATGCGATTGCAATGATCCCCAATCCTCTGCCGCATTGGCTATGGCAATGGCTTCTGTTGGGCCAGCCGCAGAAAATGCGCAGGCACTGCCATCCTGCAAACAGCTCAGTCAGAGTCAGAGTCAGTGCCAGCATGCCGCATATCATATGTGTGTTCTGACGCGATGTGACTGTGATATGAATATTATAGCCAGCCAGCTTTATTCTTTTTAGTCTTAGTTGAATTATAAATTAATAATAATTGATACATAATCATAGCATAGCACATATCATATATTCTAATATGCTAATATATAATAAAAGCTATATGGCTATCTGGCTATATATATATAATAAGACTCGACTCACTACTCAAAGTCAGAGAGTCTGTCTGTCTGTCTGTCTGTCTGTCTGTCTGTCTGTCTGTCTGTCTGTCTGTCTGTCTGTCTGTCTGTCTGTCTGTCTGTCTGTCTGTCTGTGATTATCACAGTGACAGGCACAGTTGCCAGTTAATTTGAATCGCTCATCAGCAGTCCTCGCCGACTTCAGAAACTGTACTAGGTTCTGCTGTGTCAGCCACAGAAGAAGATATGCGGCCATCCTGCATGCAAACAGCACTCATGTCTGATTCAAGAGATTCCTCAATTCACGCCGACTACTCAGGCTCGGGGATTCAGAATTCAGAGATTCAGAAGTTACAAGTTGGAAGTGAAGTGTCCTGTCAGAAGTTCAGAAGTGTCAGTGAGTCAAGTCATGTCCCGTCAGTCAGCCAGTCAGTCAGTCAAACAAACTTTGTCAAGCAGCAAAACACCGCATAATAACAAATCATTAACATAACAAGAAACAAAACATGTATTTGGTTTTAGTGAATGAACGTCTCACACTCACACACTGATTGCTGAATCGACTATTCCAGTCTCAAGTCTCAATGATTCATTTTTTTAACTTAATTACAATTAAGTCAAGTCAAGTCAAGTCGTCAAGTTGTTAAATGCACAAGGAGCCTCTTGTGCAGCCATAGTCAAGGGCGAAGGAATCATAGGAGTTGGAATTGCGGTCTCAGTCAAAGTGGAACTGCTCAAGTCTTCCTGCGCACCACAAGCTTGCAAATCAACAGTGTGAAGCCAAGGATCTTTTAATTGATGATTCAGGGAGTTCAGTTGAGAGTCAAGACTCAAGACAGTCAAGAATCAAGAGTCGCAGTCACAGTCAAGTATTGTCAGTATTGTTGCTATTGTTAACATGTAAATATGGAAAATCAGAATTAGAATTTAGAATCAAAATCAAGTTTAGAGTTCTGGGTTCAGAGTTTCGATGAGCTGGGGTCTCAGTCCGACTCAGTCCGCTGTCCGCAGTCGGCAGTCCGATAGTCCTGTCTCTTGGCATCAGCATGGCCGTCATCTGCATGGTGGTGTGCCATAGATACTGGCACCGCCTGCCATTCAAGTGCAAACTGCTGCAAACTTGCTATGTGATCTATCATAGAATCATAGTCCAAATTCTAGTCTGTATCTACCATCTCATCTATCATCTATCAATCTCAATCATTATCTATCTACCGTCTACCATCATTCATTATACAACTGGGAAAATATAATTTGGTGAAACAACATACTTGGTCGGCCCGAGTCGGCCCCATACCTCCAAAGCATCAACATCTGAAGATGAAGTAGGATGCTCAGCAGCTGCAGCAGGCTCAACATCCTCAGAAATTCAGAATGGCTGAGTCGAGTCTGATTAGTCGATGACAGTCAATGAATGACTGACTGACTAAGTAAGTGACTAAAGTTAACGTATCACTGTATCACCGTATCCGTATCACTATATAGACTATAGACTATACATAATAAATAATATATAGCTTTAGGCTAAATAGGTTTTAGGCTATATAATATATAAAGATTGAAGTTCAGGAGTTTGAAGTTCCCAAGCAGCTACCTGACCCTAGGTCTAAAGTCTAGTCTAAGCTAGGCTAACCAGGCTAAGACTAAGTTCTGTGTTCGAAGTTATTGAAATGATTCTATTCTCATTATGTAGTGTACTGTATGTCATGTCACCTGTCTGCCTGTCTGTCTGAGCAGTCTGACCTGATTGTCACTTGAAATGCCAAGCAGCCTGCACATTGCTTGTGACTGATGTTTCGCAATGTTTCTCCTTCTTCTCAGCGTCAATCTGCCCAATCACCTGGTGGTTGAGCTATGGCCAGGTCTAATGCTAGGGGCTCTAGCTAGGCAGGATAGTCAGAATTCTGAATCAGCAGCAGTGCATCAATCATCAATCATCAAAAAGCAAACTCATCACATCACATCATTCATCATGTAGTCGTTACCACACTACCGCACTACCATTCAGATAGAAGAAATTAATCAATAAACAATGATTGGCAATGACTGATTGATGAATTATTATAAATTATAAACTCAAAAAATGTTGGGCCTTTGAGACTTTGAGCAATTTGATGATCATTAGAAGCAGAATGATAGGATATGTTTCGGCCTCTGGCCTGACCAATGATAGACAGTGACAGATTGATAGACAGAAAAACTAAAAACTAATATAATAAAAAAATATATAATAATATAAATAAAAAAATAAAATTATCACTTCGTGTGATCCCCACCATGACATTTATACATTTTGTCATTGGCAAATCTTCTGGCATTCTATCTGGCATATCTTCTGGCAGATGTTCTGGCATATCTTCTGGTATTCCATCTGGCATTCTATCTGGCATATCATCTGGCACATCGTCTGGCATTCTATCTGGCAAACATTATGGCACTTTATCTGGCATATCATATCTTCTGGCATTCTATCTGACTGACATTCTTTCTGGCATACCTTCTGGCATTCTATCTGGCATATCTTCGAACATTCTATCTGGCAATCTGGCATATCTTCTGGCAAATCTTATGGCATTTTATCTGGCATATCTTCTCGCATTCTATCTGACATTCTATCTGGCACTTCTGGCTTCTGGCATTCTATCTGGCCGTTGAGGTCCAGCGGTGCGCACTGAGCTGGGAAGGTCCCAGGTTGAGGTCCAGCGGTGCGCACTGAGCTGGGAAGGTCCCAGGTTGAGGTCCAGCAGGGCGCACTGAGTTCGGAATTTGGCGAAGAGATGCGAAGAGCTTGGCGAAGAGTTGGCAAGGCGGAAGTCGAGGTGGAAGTTGATGCAGACATGGTCGAGGAGAAACTGGAGGAGGAGGCGGAGGAGGAGGAGAAGGAGGAGGAGGAGGAGGCGGAGGACAACAGCTCTGATAAAATCTAACAACCCTCACCTGGCAGGTGGTGAATAAGTTCAAGACCACCATGTACCATAGACCAACCAACACTGACCATTGCATTTTATTTACCATGGCCGTCCCTGGTATGAAAGGCCTCCAAAGGATCAATGGGTCCATGCACTGCCGTGGCCTGCACAATCGACAATGACATCTGACAACTGACTCTGACTGTGACTCTACAATATCTAGATTGGATGGGATTACAACAACAACAGCTACAGCTACAGAACAAACATCAACTAGACTGGACTAGACTCGACTACACTAGTAGCCTGGCTGCCTGGCCTAGCAGTTCAGTTCAGTCTCTAGCCTACTAGCCTAGCAGTCTGTGAAAGCCCGTCCCCTCAGTCCAGTCAAATCTAATAATCTAATCAACCAAATAAAAAATGATTAATTAAAATCTGGTCATGATCAGATCTGATTTGTGAAACGTTGGTATAATCTAGTCCAAAATCCCAAATCCAAGTCCATTCAATTACAGTTCCAGTCACAGTCCAGTCCAGTGGATCTGTCATTGCGCTGCGCTGCCTCCTCTGGCACACACGCTGGCGCTGGTGCCACGCGCAATGGACCAGATTCAACTGTGCTCACGACCTCTCAGGGCAACATGCATCATTGCATGATGATTCAATGATGATTGGTGTGTGCGCTGTCTGTCAGTTGTTCAATTCATTGGCCTAAATAACTCAAAAAAGTTGATAGTCAAGAGTCAAGTGAAGTCAGAAGTCGAAGTCTGAGTCCGATATCATAAAATTCATCTGTCAGCTGCCCTTCATATCGAAAATCGTGAAATAATCATATGTGACATGAGAAACATCTGAAGAGATGTATATAAAACTTCTAACTTGTGGTTCTTGCTTGCGGCATCTAAGATTCGATTGTCATTTTATCTTGCAGCTGGCATGCGGCCATCATGCAAACGCATGCCAATGAAGCTATGCATGATGGGCTGATCACCCTGGTGTACCTGCAATTTAGTCATTCCACTATTTGACAGACAGACTGACAGACATGGCATGGGGCAAAGCCTAAGCCAAGAACACCACCCGACAATTTTGTAATTTTCGAAACTTTCTTGTCGAGGCCTGTACGTTTGCTGCAATCTGAATCTGGTCGGTCTTTTTTCCAAACTGAACTGGTTTATTGAATTCTCCAAGAATTTGATTTCAACTGCACTGGCTATGGCGATGGTAGCTCCTTGATACCTTTGTCAGGTCTCCTCACTAACCCGTTCCTGTAAGATTTAATGGAAGTGGTGTTGCACGTAAGATGCATTCCAAACCAGAATTTGTCATGACAGTTCTGAGCAAGTGTGAATCTGTCAGTTGACGTGACAACCAACAGTAACTCAAAAATTGAAGTTTAGATTATAGTTTAATTTAAATCCAAGTTCGCGTCATGTCCATGTCATGAATGGCCTCGCCTCCAATGGATCCAAGTTACCATTCTCAGGGCAAGGCTCCACACTTGTGGTGGCACCCATGGCTCTGGACGCTTGCAAATGGAAACTGCCTGACTCTCAGTGAGTGAAGGGCTGACTGCTGACTGATCAACTATCTGACAGTCTGACATTTGAAAGCATTGCCGCATTGCCCACGTGACTTTACGATGACGACTGACTCGGTATGAGTCATGAGCAATGATGAGGAATTTAGTCAGGCTGACAGAGACAGACTGACTGACTGATGTTAAAAAAAACTTGGCTGGCTGGGTTTCCCTTTGAGCCAAACAAGCCAAGGGAAGTGATGTCATGCCATGGCATGCCATACAGCTCAGCAACTGTCACCAACTGTGCCAACTGCCAAGTGGTTCAGGCTCAGTCATTCAGAGTCTGAGTATGACCGGACTGCTCTCGCTCATGCAAAGTGCTAAGAGACTAAGTACGATTGCTTTCTGATGATTGGATTTGATTTAGTCAAAAATCAAAAGAAAGGTGAAAGACGGAGTAAGGTGAAAGATAGAGTAGGATTCGATGAAAGATGGAGTAGGGTTAGGATGATCATCTCCAAAAAGATGCCAGCCAGCTGCTACCTCCGCAATCAGCAAACTTTTTCAGAGCCAATGCAGCATAAGCCGGTGAAGCAACCGTCAGGTCAGGCCAACGAAAGCTAAATAGGTACCAGCCAGCTGCTATCTCAGAAATGAGCAGCTAACATCAGCGAACTGCAAGCTGAAACTTTGTTCAGGGCCAGGGCCTGCGACATGTACCCGGTGAAGCAACGGCCAGTCAGGCCAGCGAAAGCCAAAGAGGTCGGCCAGGCCAAAGGGCAAGTCAAGTCTCAATTGGTATTACAGTCTCACTCGCAGGTCCAACGCTTAACAGGCGGCCTATCCCAATCAGGCCAGCAGCCAGCATCGCACTCATAGATCGAGATGCACCACTTGGTAGACACCCACCGGCACATAGTTGCAGAATGCTCCTGCGCGAATCGCAGTGCTCGGCGGTGCTTTCTGAACTGAATGTGCCATTGCACATCCGCACCGCTAGTCGGAGGCTCTCGTGACATGATCACAACTAACATCCTCCTCACAATTGGATGATCTCAGCCAGAACCAAAACAGCTGCCCACATGGCATTCGCATTGGAAATCATTGGAATGAATACCATTGATCAACCATTGATCATTGATCCCGTCATCTTTCTTCGGAGATTGCAAATCTGTGTGCAAACATGCTGCTGAATCATCGTTTAGTTAGTGAGTTTAGTGCGGAACAAAGAACCTCCAAGCCTCCAAGTGGCATTCGCATTGGAATCATGCTGATTTTTTTCTCCAGAGATTGCAAATCAGCAAAGCACATGCACTGTTGTTTGTGCATGAGCTGCCTCTTGGTATATTTCACTGTGTGAGCTGCGGGAACTCTGAAAACTGAAAAGGGCTGTCGGCTGTCAAGTCGAGAGTCACAACTCAAGACCAAGACTTCAAGAGTTCAACAGTTCAAAGTTCAACAACCGTTGAACCGTTCAACCAGTTCAAACATGTTCAAACATGTTCAAACCACGGTTTCTCAATTATGATTTGACTTGAAACAGCCACAAGGACGGCCCTAAGCAGTTAAAAGTTGGAGTATAGTATAGTACTACGGAGCCTGGTGATAGGTCATACACAAAAGGAGTGATGCAGTGTGATGCTGTGCACGCTGTACAATCACAATTCATTCAGCAAAGCAAACAAACCACCTGACAGTAGCACTCTAGAAATCAAGTCTCCGGCCTCAAGCCAACTTAACTTAACCCACAAATGATGATGATTCCGATACGCCGATACCGTATACCAATCTCCCGATTGACATCTTCTGTTTGCTGAACTTGCTGCACTCCACAAACCATCCCCCATTTCAACGTCAACCATGCACCATGCAGGGATCCAGCCATAGTCACATGACTCATGGCATGGTTACTGGCTACTAGTAGCCAAGGCCAAGACAATGATTCTGATTATGATGATTCTGAATCTGATTTGATAATTTGAAAAACTGTAAACTGTAAACTGCTCATTGTTGACAGTTAGTTATAGCTATAGTTATAGTATGTTATAGTCATAGTAGCTATAGTCTATAGTCTTAGTAATAGTTATAGTTATTGTCCTTATTGTAATTTCTTTCCGTTTCAGAATCAGAAGTTCGCAAGATACCGTAAGTCTCAAACTCAGAATCACAGTCTCAGAGCCAACGATTTCAACCTCTCTAATTTGACTGTTGACTACGGCTAGCCGCTCACAAGAAATGCAACTTCATTCAGGCAAAATCATCGGGAACTGATGTTGCTGCTGCTGTGGTTCCCCAGCACCAGAGGACATTGCACCCACTGGCACGCACTCTCCACAGAATGCAACAACATACTTGACATGACCAAATGAAATGCAAAATGCAAGCAGCAGTGGCATGCAGTCCAGTCAGAAAGAGGTGACGTATGCCATATGACGTAAGTCTGGTAGTCGTCATCAGATCAATCAGTAGTGCCACCGGCTGCCGCAACCGCACCTTTGTCCATTTTAGATAGAGCAACCACCAAAGCTGTTGGCAACGACTGAATGGCCATGTCCCTCTTCGCGAGCTTGTCAATGAAAGTCACAATGGAAGTAGGGTCAGCTTTGTGATTCGTCATGGCCAATAAGCCTGGCATGGGAACTGAACTGTGCTCTGTGACCTGTGACCTGTGACTTGTGAGTGCGATTACTGTATCACTTCAGAGTCAGAGTCATCATTTCATTGCATCATAAAATTGTTTCAAAATAATAACAACTCCTTGAATTGATCATGATTCAGAGATTCATGATTGAAAAATTGAATTGAAATTGAAATAATTGAATCGTCACAATCAGTGACAATCAGAATCAGGACCATCATCAATCATTGCCAATCATTGCCAATCATCATTAACTCATCATAATTTGAATTTAAATAATTGAATAATTTATAGCTGAATTCTAATTGTAATTGAACCATCATTGGCTATAAGGCTATGAGTCTACTATGAGTCAATGAGTGCTTATCAGTTGGTAACGCAGAAAATCATGATCATTGATCATCGCAGAATCAATGACATTGAGTCTCATTGAGTAATTGAGTCAGGATACCTGATTGGCATCCCAAGATTGTCCTGCAAGCAGCGACCAAAGCTTCAGCATCCGCAAGCAGCTTCTTGATGAAGTCCGTGTGCTCAGAGGAAGGGCCAAGAGACTTCAAGGCTTCATTGAACTTTGACTCCAACTTCAGATATAGGTGTCCCAGACCCTCAAGTCCTGACAACATATCCGGCATCTTCTCAACTGAACAAACCATCAGCTTCTCGCAAAGCTCACCTTTTCCACCAATAAGAGATTTCACAGGTTCCACTGCTTCAAGAAGTGCAGCTGCAATTTCACCATGACCATGAGACTCTGCTGATGACAGCTGTTGCGTCGCAGACTGCTTCCGTGCGGCAAGTGATTGCAATTTGGACTTCACATCTTCATTCTTGATGTCCAACCAAGGCTTGATCTGCATGGTCAAAGTTGCCCAAACATCTTCCAACAACTTGTCCTCCATGGTGCCCATGTGGTCCAAAATGGCTGAAGCCACTTTGCCTGCCAACTCCTTGAAATTGTTCCTTAGCTACCCAAAGCAAGCCTTGATGCAGAAACAACAATGTCGAATACATTGAGACAGTCATTGTCATTGTCACTTTCAATCCAGAAAACACTGGTCAAAGCAAACCAGAAATCACCTGATTGCCAAAGTTGTAATGTGCGTTCTAGTTCTAGATCCCTAGGTCTAGATTCTAGATCATGACTGACTAGATCATAAATGACTTCAAACTTTAGATAATAATGACTACTGTAGTCTGACTAGACTGACTAGATTCATTTCACATGAAATGATAAATTACATGACAGACTCACAGACAGACATTGACAAACGGGACGACGTGAGACATGATCTACAGCTGAGTGACCGCAACTGATCTGTTGATTCCAAAACTTCTCGCACAGCACATCTGTTGACATCAGTGACGGCGTCAACATGGTCCAGGAAACATTGCGCTGATGAAAAGGGATACTTGAACTCCTCTTCCGAAGTCATCTCAGACTCAACAATCGATGAAAGCCGGAAGGCCATGACCACATCTGCCACATAGATCATGAAACACCGTTCAGAAAATGGCAAGAACTTCAAAATCTTGTGCCCCTCAACATTTGGATTGGCTCTGCCAGACCAATTTTGATCTAACTGCGTTCCCTTGACAAAGGAACCAAGCTTCATCAATGCAACAGGAATTGCCTTCTCGGTTTCCTTGTGTAAATCAGGTGACTTGAAGCATTCGATCACCCCGGCAATTGTGTACTGCGCAGCAGCTCCAACACCCTGATCGAAAGCAACTATTGCACTTTGCTTGGTCTTGTAGTGGGCACTCTGGGGATCAAATGGCAACCAGCTGGACTGCTCTTTTAAGTTGACGCAATCCTTCGGTCATGGTCTGACAGTCTGACAGTCTGACAGTCTGACATGCGACATGGCTGATTGACTAACTGAATGACTGACATTGGCTGACTGACTGATTCCGAACTGGTCCTAGTCTAAGTAGTCCGTAGTCCTAAGTCAAGTCCTGAGTCTTAACCCCCTGCTGCCTAAACAGAAGAAACCTGGTCCCTGGCAACCCTGTCCTTCACCATTGACAAAAGCTTCTCAATCTCGAAGCTCTCCATGTTGTTTGGCAAACTCAAATCCTTTGCCTTTGCCTGCAACTCAGCAATGAGCTTTGTAACTTCAGTTGCTTTGCTTGCTGCCTCTGTGTCAATCTTCGTTGAAACAACCACCTTGTGGCCCTCGTTCAGGAACCGCTTGAACATCGTCAAACTGGAAATCCTTGTGATGGGTCGGTGGTACTGCTGAAGAGTCTTGGAAGTGATACTGGAAGACACTCGGGCCAAGACAGTCTCCAAGTCAGGGCAGGTAGTGCTGGATAGATCACCAAGATTCTCTGTGCCCGAGAAATGCGCAATGAAATGAAGCATCTCCACTGTTTCAGCCAGCTTTGGGGAAAGCACAACATCGCAGAAGTAGCGCATGTTCTTGGGCAAGAAGGCTCGCAAACTGGCCAAACACTGGTCGTACTGCGGACATGCGAAAATCCGCAAGAAGGTCTGCAGGATCCATTTGCATTGCATCTTGAGTACCTGTCGCAAACGGCAAACTGGAAAGCAACCTGACTGACAGCCAATTCAATGGCAAGTTCCACAGTTCCAAGTTCTAAGTTCCAGATATATTGATATTTATTTATATAAGTATGCAGTATACAGTTTACAGTATAATTTATAATCATTTCAATATATATATATATATATTATATAATATTATATATATTATATATATAAACTTATTTTTAGAAACTGTTTAACCTAGTTATCAAGTAAGTTAGTTTTATTAATAATAAGTTATAATAAGTTCCTATAGAAGTACTACTAAGCGTACTGAATCTAGTAGTTCTCTAAGCCCCTAAAGTACTACTAAGCGTACTGAATCTAGTAGTTCTCTAAGCCCCTAAGCCCCTAAGTTTAAAGTTCAAATTCTCATCAAGTAAGACGGAAGATGCATTGTCATTGAGTCATTGGTCCATGTCCGATTGTATTCAATCTATGATCATCTATGACACTATGACTCATGACTATGAGTCCATGAGGTCCAATGAGGTCTGCCCGTCGGTCTGTCACATCGAGTCACGTCATGTCACTCAATCAGAAGCCAGCTGCCCAGCCTTTTCCAACTGCAAGCCAGATAGGCCGCTTGGGCAGAAGAAGTAGAAATCAGCCAGTGTCCCAAACCTCATCATCACAATTTGTTTTTTGACATGCACTGGCGGCAGCACACCGTCATTGTAATATTTGCATGTGGTATGGAGCAGCATTGGTAACATTACATGCCGCCTGCTACCAGCTGTATTCAACTTTCTGATGCGCAGCACTTTCTGCCAAGCAACACGTTGCCATCTTCAGGGTTTGTCAACTCCAGATGCAGGGGTGGAAAGAAAAGGCAATTGTGAAGCGCTGCTGCAGAAGCCAAATCCATCACGGATGCATCCTCCACCTTTGACTTAACTGCTGCAGTCACCCAGGCCTGACAGTATGAGACAAGCAGAGTGACAGACTGACAAACGCCACTCAAACCTGTCTCCACAGTCTATCGGTGTACAGTTTGAGAAACAATCAAAAATTCTCTGAGATACAATCTATATCTATATCATATCTAACTAAGTCTAAAACTGTCATATCATGTCTCTGTCTATGTCTAACTCAAGTTCTCAAGTGATCAAATCCAGTCCAGTCCAGTACAGGTTTGTCACACTCAAATCACCTGGCATCCAATTTACAAGTTACAAGTTACAAGTTTACAAGTACGAATTACAATTACGGATTACGATTAAATAATCCTGTGATGTCACCATGTCACATGTCTGTCACAAAAACAAAAATAACCACCGGTCACCTAGCCTGGACCCAATGAGAGGGAAAGCCAATGAAATTCCCAGGCACCATCAGCTTCTGCATCGTATGCTGCACTTTCATCACCGAATCCTTCAATGCCTGTTCCGATATCGATCCAGATTTTCCCGATGAAATTGCAAGCTCTTTGAGAGTCCGGACGGATTCGAATCCCTCCCTCAGAATGGAAACCCGGGTGCTCAAAGTCAGTTCTTGATCTGAGGCCTTTGCTGCCTCAAACTCAACTTTCTTGTCTGTCTTTGAGTTTACCTTGGACATGGCCTTGATTGCATTTTTGATCTCTTGGTCTTTCCACTTCCCTTGATCTGAAAGGATGCGTTCCAGTGTGGACACAAAAGGCCTGATTTTTTCCAACTCTGCCTTCCATTTTCCTGACTGAGCATCTTTTGTGTACACACTTGGAAGTGCCATTGGCTGTCCAGAACCAGAGGCAAGGAAATCATCAGCAAGGAAGCGCTTGCAATGTGGCCAAGTCTTTGCGCTGATTTTGCTCAGCTCGTTGTCAACTTCCACCTCCATCTGGGAACTCTTGGGTGACATAGCCTGCACACGGCCAGATGGCCCAGATGCAACAGGCATCTGCAAAGGCAAAGGTGTGCTTGGACTTGGACTTGGTGGTGGCAGCACCTTTGAAGTTCCTCCTCCTTGGGTTGCCGTCGAAGCTCTTCGTGGAACCTTGGCTGCTGGCCCCTTGTCAATCTCATCAGCAGCCTCCATTGACCTCTTGACATCCTCCTTGGGCGCAGAAGGCAACGGCCCTGGCACTGCCACTTCAAGACCTTCACTTCTGCTGCCGCTGGTGGTTCTGCCCAGAGTCTGCGCCGAATGCTGTCGATCCAATCCTGCCTCCGACATCTCCTCGATTGCTTGCAGGTACATGACTTCCTCCTCATCGTCAATGTCATCTTCTCCTTCTGCATCATTCTTCTTCCCTGCCTTCAACTTCTTTGCTCCCTTGCCCTTGCCCTGCTCACCATCTTCATCATCATCTTCATTATGCTCATCCTCTTCAAGCATTTTCTTCTTCTTTTCTGCCACAGGGATCAGAAACAGAAGCATGAGTCAATGGATTGTGAATGAGAATGAATAGTGGATAACATGTACTGTAGTGCAATATTAGTCGTGACTCGGTAACTCATCACTAATGGCAACAACGCCAGTGCCAATGCAAATACACGACTGATCAAAACAATTCTCAAAACAGTGTCAAGTTCAAGTCTAGACTGACTAGAAGTCTATATCATCAATCAATCATCATTGATCATCGGCACATCATCTCATTTCATCATTGAAGAGTCAAAGTCAGAGTCACAGTCAGATTCAGAATTGTTCGGAAATCTTCAAGGATTGTCAATGTAAGTGAAATTATAAAATCTAAGCTAAGTTTAAAGGTTTCGGTTTAAAATTAAAGTATATATTTAAAGCTTTGGCATCACAACCACCCCAGCCCAACCCCGAATCCGAACCTTCTTCGATCTCCTTGAGCTTTGCAATCGACTCTCCCATGCTCAGTGCAGAGCTTGAACTTGCCATTGCAACATCTTCCAGGACAGCTTGCTTCTGCTCTGAGAAAGAAGCATCCCTCAGATATGGCAATGACAATTTGCATCCCGGCCCCAGCCACACCTACAAATATACATATACAGATTACAGGCTAGCTAGCAGCTAGTGAAGAACTCTGGCTGGCACTCACATCAAAATGTGACCTGACCAGACCAGACCTGTCACTGACCTGTAGCCTGTATCTGTCAACTTTTGGCAATCCTTCAGTCATGTCCCAAGTCTCTTGTCATAATTTATACACATGCAATGCAGGCAAAATACAATTGGTTCTTCCGGAGGGCAGCCTCATCGTCATCCACAATGGACGTATCTGCAAACTGAGCACTGTGAGATACGGATCCTTCCCAATACCCATCCTTCTCCTTTGGTATGAAGACCGCCTGCACTTCCTTCTGGCTCACTGGGTTGATAGTCTTCACGACTTTGTGGTTCAAGCCATTCGTTGCAGGGTCACCGAAGTCCTGTGCATGCAATTGTCAGACAGTTGTCATGTAAGTTTCAAAAGTAGTAACATACTTACTGACATTTGAAAATTTATACATTGCAAAATGCTCGAGGCTCTATGATTCTATGATGGCCCTACTCTACGGTGTAACACACAAAACAAAGGAAAAATAAAATTTGTTGGTTGCACATTGTAGATGAGAATAGTTCAGAATTCAGAATAGTTAAGTTCAGTTTAACTTTAAACATATCATTCGATAGTCTAGGTTTGCTCAGCTGCAGGCAGGCTGTAAGCTAGACGATTGGAGGATCTAGCTCAGGCTGGATCTAGATTTAAGAAGTGAGTTAAAGTTCAAGCTGCAGGAGCAGGAGAAGTTACAATTACAATTTATCAGATTCCAGTCAGAGTCAGCCAGAATCAGAATGGAATGGACTTGACTTGACTGGATGATAAGATACAATGAGTCAATGAGAATTAGAATTAGAGCCAGGGTCCAGAGTCACAAATCTGTTGCAAAACAATTTGACCCGACCGGACCGCCGGAACCCACAGTTTGAGCAGGCCTTCAGGTAGGTGGAATATTCAACGAATTTTCCCTTTCTGGTGGATCTTACCTCCATCATCTCAGCCTTTGTCACCGTGCGACTGCGCTTCTTCACCCGGCTACGCCCAGTGCTGATTTTCTCCCTGATCTCATCCAAGTAGGCCAGCCGGGCTTAGCACGCCAGGCAAGAAATGATGTCAGATGTCTGTCAAATGTTCGAAAACAAAAATTATTTGTATTTGACTGAACTTGACATGACTTGACTGTTCAGTTCATAGTTCCAAATTCCAAAAATTGATCAATGATCAATGATTGATCTAAATTCTAAATTCCAAATTACAATGCCAAGCGAGAAGCAATCAGTCAGTCAGTCGGGCAGCCCAACTGTTTCCAACCGAATCAGCAAGTAGTAGCAGTGGTAGATACAAAATGGTATTGTTAGTATAAGTAAGTACCAATTACCAATGTAACAATTAATAACACTAAAAGACTGCAGCTAAGGCACCTGCCACGAACTCCTGATTGAAGCTGTCCTTATCAAGGGACGACAGGAAGACATCTCTTTTCATCTGTGGCCAAGCACGTCGGGAACAATCATGGCAATATCGGCAAAGAGGACCTGACAAAGCTATTGTGTGAAAGGGCCGGGCAAGGCAATGCATTGTGATGGAATATGCATGGTCCATGGTATTCTGTGTTGTGTCAGGTCAGGTCTCAGGTTTCAGGTTAGTTATATTATTTCTATATTTAAATTTATAATATGATTTTTGTATGATTTACTGTATGATGATTGCAATTGTAATTAACAACATCAGGAATCAGTAAACAGTGAACAGAAAGCCTGTGCCAAAGTCATCAGTGAACCAGTCACCAATAATCAATCATTCAATCAATCACCAAATCCCAACACACAATGTCTTGTCTCGTACCCAACATACGTTGCCTGTTGGCTGCTCCACCACGATTCCCATTTCCTGCATCTGCCTTGTAAGCCTGTAGCTTCCAGCTGCCCACCTCAATGAAGAGTCAGTGACAGTTAGTCAGCCAATGGCAGCCCATATATCATATATCATATATCAAATATAATTTATCATTGATTCATTGATCATCAGTTAGACAATTATCAACAATCGATCATCAACCATTCATCAAAAAATATAATTAGATTATTAATTATTAGATTAAATTAAATTATATTATTGACAAATTCATTTGGTTTGATGAGTTTGATGATTTTAGTTGATGTTTTCAATTGGATTGCTTCTGACTTATGACTTATGACTCCTTGATTGATGCAATGCCATGACTCATGAGTGTGACTCTGTGACTTAGTCGAGGCTAAGTCACTCCATGCACACGCCATTCACAATGGGGTCAATGTCGTGGGTGGACAGCCCGCATGCTTTGCAGGCCAAGCGCAACAAAGGGCGCGGCCTGTCCTTCCGGCCCAAAAACGACATGATACCCTTTGGAGTAAGGGTCACTGGAGTAGCACCTGGCATAGATGAAGGCAAATGCACTTGCACCATCTGTTCATGATGCTCTCCATTGGCCACGCTCTCAGCAGGTACATCATCCATTCCAACTTCAGAATGGGCTGGCTCAGACGGCTGGATCATATTGAGGGGGTCTAAACCAGCCATGATTGATCACGATCTTGACCTGGATGATCTTGTAGATCGCGGTGACGAGTGAATTCAATTCAATTCGATGTGTTCGGGAAGCAGGTAGGTGGCACCAGATTGAACCTCAAACTCACAGGATTGCAGTGTGCTGGAGGAATGCCTATAAGTCACTAAGTCTATCACCAGTGTATCATTGAATGCATTTTATATTTGCATATGTGACATAGTTCCAAAATGTCACAAACCATGGTGTTCCCAGCAAATTTGGTAAAATGATGTTGTTTTTGTAAAATTTGGTAAAATGTTGTTTTTTCATGTGCCACTAGTAGAAGCAAAACTAGCAAAACCTTGGTTTTTGCAACATCATTGAATCATTATATTTTTATATAAATTAGCAAATTTAGCAAAAGTTTGTTAGTTTGCAAAAGCCGTGTTTTTATGTGTTTTTATTTTGGCGACATAATGCCCATAGTGACCATAGTGACCACAGCAAATTTGACAAAATATTGCAAATCTTTGATTTTTCCCAAAAACTTGCTTTTGCAATCATTTCGGCATAGTGACCATAGTGCCCATAGTGCCCACAGCAAATTTAGCAAACTCTTGATTTTTGCAAAAAACTTGTTTTTTCAATCATTTCGGCATAGTGCCCATAGTGCCCATAGTGCCCATAGTGCCCACATCAAATTTAGCAAAATATTGATTTTTGCAAAAAAACTTGTTTTTTCAATCATTTCGGCATAGTGCCCATAGTGCCCATAGTGCCCATAGTGCCCACAGCAAATTTAGCAAAATCTTGATGTTCGCAAAAACCTTGCTTTTTCAATCATTTCGGCATAGTGCCCATAGTGCCCATAGTGCCCACAGCAAATTTAGCAAAATCTTGATTTTTGCAAAAACCTTGCTTTTTCATTGTTTTGACATAGTGTTCATAGTGCCCATAGTGCCCACATCAAATTTAGCAAAATCATGATTTTTGCAAAAACTTTGTTTTTTCAATCATGTCGGCATAGTGCCCATAGTGCCCATCGTGCCCATAGTGCTCACAGCAAATTTAGCAAAATCTTGATTTTTGCAAAAACCTTGCTTTTTCAATCATTTCGGCATAGTGCCCATAGTGCACATAGTGCCCATAGTGCCCATAGTGCCCACAGCAAATTTAGCAAAATATTGATTTTTGCAAAAAAACTTGCTTTTTCAATCATTTCGGCATAGTGCCCATAGTGCCCATAGTGCCCATAGTGCCCACAGCAAATTTAGCAAAATCTTAATTTTTGCAAAAGACTTGCTTTTTCAATCATTTCGGCATAGTGCCCATAGTGCCCATAGTGCCCATAGTGCCCACAGCAAATTTAGCAAAATATTGATTTTTGCAAAAACCTTGTTTTTTCAATCATTTCGGCATAGTGCCCATAGTGCCCATAGTGCCCACAGCAAATTTACCAAAATCGTGATTTTTGCAAAAAAACTTGCTTTTTCAATCATTTCGGCATAGTGCCCATAGTGCCCATAGTGCCCATAGTGCCCACAGCAAATTTAGCAAAATCTTGATTTTTGCAAAAAAACTTGCTTTTTCAATCATTTCGGCATAGTGCCCATAGTGCCCATAGTGCCCATAGTGCCCACAGCAAATTTAGCAAAATCTTGATTTTTGCAAAAAACTTGCTTTTTCAATCATTTCGGCATAGTGCCCATAGTGCCCATAGTGCCCATAGTGCCCACATCAAATTTAGCAAAATATTGATTTTTGCAAAAAAAACTTGCTTTTTCAATCATTTCGGCATAGTGCCCATAGTGCCCATAGTGCCCATAGTGCCCACAGCAAATTTAGCAAAATCTTGATTGTTTTGCAAAAACATTGTTTTTTCAATCATTTCGGCATAGTCATAGTGCCCATAGTGCCCATAGTGCCCAATAGTGCTCACAGCAAATTCAACAAAATCTTGATTTTTGACAAAAACCTTTTATTTTTCAATCATTTCGGCATACCCCACAGTAAATTTAGCAAAATCTTGATTGTTGCAAAGTTCTTGGTTTTGACAAAAACCAATGTGTTTTTGCAAAATCATTTCGTTTTCGTTCAACAACTTTAAGTGGCCATATCAAATCTAGAAAAACTGTCGTTGTTGCAACATAGTATATTTCTGACTTACTGTTGTATTCTTTAAAGTATAATATTGCCGTCTGATCAGCATATGTTATACAGTTTATATATTATTATATAATATATTATGTTTTTGGAATAAAATAATGGTTGATAATTGATATATTATATTCTATCATTATATTTATAATGTAATATGAATGTGATGATTAGAATGGTTGCGTTACATTGCATGATCAAATTCTGCATAGACATCCAAACGCACATGCAAAATCAAATTGATGCCGACATGTGTAGACTCAGCTTCGCCAATTTCCTGTACCTGTGTGTGTGACATGAGTCCATACATGTCCATACGGTCCATACATATCATATCATATCCCAATCATCATAAGGTCCATAGTACATAATGCATTGATTCCATAGTCCTTAGCAGTCCATAGGATTTGTCATCCGTCATCAAATCAAAAACCACAAGTCAAGCTTCAGGTCAGGTCAGATTTAAGTTGCAGACCTCAGGTGAGATAGAAACTGAAGCCAGCCCTCTGCCAAGGAATTGGTGTGTTGCCAGAGTTTGAGCAGCTGGACCAAAAATGCAATGGCAGTGGCAGTGACTGACACCGACTCTCTGACACGTGATGAACCATGTATCATATATCATTGATGTGATATGTAAGTTGTAAGAATCTAAAACATGGCAGTGAAGAACATTCACAATGCCACAGTCTTCACAGTTCCAGTTCCATTCCATGCTGCCGTTGAACTAGGGCTACTACTTGCAACAAGACGCAACTCAAGAGTCCAGATCCTAGATTCTGAGGTCCTTAATTTCTCAATCATAATCAGATTTGATTCCAATGATGCCAGGTTTCCAGAAGGTCCAGGGTCCAAAGTCCAGAAGCAAAAATTCGAAGTATCGTCTCGAATCTCGAAATTTCAGATGATTCAAAAACATATTGTGATTGTCAATTTGTCGTCAAGTCTTGTTTGGTCAAGCTGGGCCGCAAAGCACTGTTTGCACAGTAACCGACATAGCCAACTGTCCCAAGTCAGCTCAGCATCAAGTGTAATTATGCGAAACTGTGAAACTGTGAAGTGAAGCAATTAAAAATAATGCCATGCCAGCCATGCCATGCCAAAGGCTCTGCCATTGCAGCCTGTTCTTGCTGCCATGCTGTGGCTGTAGCCAATGCAGCAAGTCAAACCCTATCTTGCTATGACTCGATTCGATTCATTTAGTTTTTTCGAATTTTCACCCCAAAATCACAGCGTATCAGTCGATCATCGACTGATTGGTCTGTGATGCAAAATTCAATTCAAGTTCCTTTGCTTTACATGTCTTTACAGTTACAGCTTCTCAGCAAAATTCACTTTGCACAGAAAAAGCTAGGCTCCAAGTATCTAAGGGTTGCTGTCGAAGGCAAAGGTAAGGTTCAATTGTCTAGGTTCGGGTCCAGGTGTCTTTGACTTTGACTTTGTCTTTCTACATGAACGTCTCCCACTACTGCGAAACTTTCTGACTTTGGCGGCAGTCTTTTTCACAGAAGCTTTCCAAGTCTTACCCATTTTTGGCATGGGCGTTGACATTGACCAAGGCGGAGTCAAAGCTGGACCTGGAGACCAATTTAGGTTGTCTTGCTTCGGGCACTTCCTCACTGGTGTTGTTGCATGTGGGATCAACTTCACTGCATTACGTGTGCACGGTGTGAGTGGCCCATCAGCAACTGTATGCCAGCTTGGAACTGATGTTTCCGAAGATGGCGTCCTGTTCATAGCTTTCAAAAGTTTCCTTTCCAATGCACTGCTAGTATTGGAAATTGCTGGACTGGAGGCATGTACTTGAGCATTGGCAGCATTGGCTAATGATGATGATGCAGATGCATGCATCCACTGACCATGAGCAACAAAGGCAGCAACATCATGGGCTCGTCTTGTCTTCGGTGGCGTCAGCAAAACATCATCAGCAGCAGCATGGCTGGCCATGGTTAGGAGTTAGGAGTCTGATAGAGTCGAGGCTTGACTAACTTATTATGACTTGACTTAATTATGAATCCTTTCTTCATTTATGATTTACAATTAATTTATGATTCGTTTGTATGACTCTGACTCTCACTCTAACTTTAACTCTAACTCTTACAGACTGTCTCAACTCTGTCATCATGTGAATGGTGTCCATCCTGCCTTGTCTTGTCTTTTGTTGTGTAACTGTCAATATACAATGAGCCAATGTTTTGAGCCTGCAATGAGAGCTGAAAAAAGATACCACCACCGTGTACAATCATTGGCATTGGCTTTGACACTAGCATACACGAGCGAATGCTGAATGCTGAATGTTTGCAAAAAAAACAGCAAACAAATCTCCATTGACCAGATTGTGCACATGCGTGGTGCGCTGCATCAAACAGTACATTGTAGTACATTGTACTCATTGTACTTGTACATTCATCATCTGATCATCAACAGTTGCCAAAATATATGGTGTCCGACATGTCCCTGAAATAGAAGGCCTGATTGCTTGATGCTAACATATCACATTTCATTTCCAATCAATCAATAAAACGAATCAGGTAGACAAAATGTCTATCATAACACCACTGACTCAATGACGGCAATGGTTGTGTTCTGATCAGTTCCGTGCAGCATAGTGGTGGTAGTGCAATGATGCTGCCTGCATATTTTTTTGCCACTGACTGACTTAAGTCCCAAGCCTTCACTCGACTGTGGCATGATTGTGGGATTTCCACATTGGTGGTGCCAATGTTCTTGGCAGTTCAATCGAAGTCAAATTCACGAAGTCACCGGGCACACCGGGCAAACTGTGCAAACAAATGAAATTGGAAGTCGCCAGCTGGCTAACTACAACGGCTTTAACTACAACTGTTATCTGCTATCGATCATATCATATCATATATAATTATAATTAATCATATCATACCACTATCACATTAAAAACGGAATACAAATACAAATAGTACTGCAGTTTGGTTTGGTACTGTATCAGTGAAAATTCGAAATTGTTTTTTAAATAACAATAAGATAGACAGAACAGATAAGTTCCAAAAAAGTTCCAATTTCCAAGTTCTTCTAACTTCCAAGTGGTGGCTGATTGTACATATGCAGCTGCACTGGCGCTGTACAACGAGAAAACTGCAGTACCTGTACTGTGCAGCAACAAATTTGCTGCAGTCTGGCTGTTAAAAGAACGAGTCGGTCTTTCAGTCAGTCAGTTCATGACTGTCTTGTGTCATAGGCTAGGGCTCACATGAGCCATGACTCGACTCTTCCATCATCCATCCATCTGTGCAGCAAATTGGCAACAGCAAAGAGTTGAGTGTAAAGAGTGCCACACAAGGCAGTGGTGAAAGTTTCAAAAAAAGGAAACTTATAGATAACTTATAACTTACAACTTATAACTTATAACTTATAACTTATAGGCGAGATTGGCTGTTGTGAATCACGGATGGCAAAGCAAATCCACTGATGGACCGAAAGGTGGTTGGAGTTGTGCTTTTTGTAGTGGCTGCAGCGGTCACCTTACCTACAACTGCTGGATGTATCTATCTCTGTCTCTATCTCTATCTATCTATTATTACTCATCATCCATTTATCATCTATCATCTACCAAACTGTCACAATATCTGACTGTCATCTATATTATCTATCTATTAGTCTATTATTATTTATCTGTTATCTGTCTGTCAGTCTGTCTGTCTATGCTGTCTATCTGTCTATCTGCAAGCCTGAAAACGAAGCTATTCTGTCTGCGAGACTGCCTCAGCTACAAAGCCCTCATGTTTTGTTCACTTTTGACAGGCTGCACTGCACAATCCCTTGCCACACGAAACTAGATCTGATCCCCAGGACCTGAACTGAACATTGGTCCGAGACTGTCAGTTTTTAATACTATTATTGAAATTTTGAACTGACTGAACTTTTTTCGACATCTCAACTTCAAAATGTGCTTTGTGCCACAAGGGCCTGCACTTTTTCCACATCTCAACTTCCAAGAGCGCTCTGGGGCTGAGGTGTTTTGTACTTCGAAATTTGCTTCGCATCACAACGGCGTGCACTTGTTCGACATATCTTTTCTCACTCTCTCGCATTCTAAAAAAATTACTATCAGGCTGAGGCTGAGGTGCTTTGTACATTTTGACTTTGACTTTGAAAGGCGCTTCGTGCCACAATTGCATGCAATTGTTCAACTCTCATCTCCACAGATGGCTACGCAACCGCCGCTTTAGCGAGCCTACTTTTCGACCCTCTGGAATCCTGGAACCTCAAGTCATTGGAAAAAGACAGTGAATTTACCGCTACTTTTCTACATTTTTGGGACCTGAATCTTCTTTCTTCATCTTTCTGCTGCTTCTGATCCTTTCTCTCTTATCTGATAATTTTCTCTCTTCTTCTTCTCTTCTTTTCTCTGAAGCATCAACTTCGAATTGTTTTTCCATCTGTCCATATTGTCAGAAGTTTGACTTCTAAATTTCCAAAACGCTGGTTGAAGTCTGAGTCTGAGTTGAATCACTTTGCTGCACGGAAGGATGGCTTCCTGCTGGAGTAGCAACCCTTGGGGGCACAGGAACGGTGGTCCTCCGCACTTCTAAAACAGAAGCCCTCTCCAAGCCAGCGAATGAGAGAGTCTTCATCTGAATCGATCAGCGGCGCAGTCAAGTAACAGTTTGAATGTACAACACAATTCGCTGCAATAGCAGCAGGATTCCAATGCACCAGGTAAGCCAGCGTCCCGCACTTGGCATCTCCGCAGAGCACCTCGTTGCAGACTCTGCGGATTTCGCCTGGCAAAGGTGCCTTAAATACAGCAGCGCCGTTGCCAGCCAACTTGTCAGACGCATCATCAGTGTCCAAACTGCCAATGCCGATCTCTTCAAAAACTGCAAGGAGGGCATCGGGGCAAACTGCCCCCTCAATACCTTCATCTGCCTCCACATCATGGAACTCCGATGCCTGGCATGTTTTTCAACAGATGTGGGGGAGGCATCGCATCAGAATGGATAAAGCACAACACAAAACATTCCATCATATGAATCATATGAGCGATCTGCAAAACTTACAGTAAATCTAAAATGCGGTCTTTGGCCAAAGTTATTTTTTTGTATTACAACATATTTACTTTTACAATTATATAAGAGGTATATGGTATACGGTATGCGGGAAACAGTAATATAGTAATACTGCATACGGTACTGCTACTGGTTGCATCATCTGTTTCCCCTTGCAAACTGGATGCAGGAATATTTCTTTACACCTCCACTCCAGCATCTGCAACATCTTTGGCTGCCTTGCGCTTTCTTTGCAGCGCTGGAACTGAATGGTATGGTATGATGTGTGCGAATGCAGCAGCAAATCACAGTTGCACTAGCTAGCCTTTCTCAAGCTCAAAAACAACCTTGAACTTGAACTTTGAACTTTGAATTCAGTTAGAGTTAGTTAGTTTAAGTTTGTTGGAAGAAGCCCGGATGAGCTCTCACAGCATGCACCAGACCTTTCACTGGCCAGCGTCTGCGTAGCTAAGTGACAAAGAACCATTTCAGTTGTAAATCTCCTCTTGGTTTGGGCCTTGCCAAAAGACCCCCCAAGTATGGGAAAATCACGTTGTTTCCTGCATTTTGGCTTCCATTTTTGGCACTTCTCTATAAGTGGTTCCATGAAGTCTCTGGAAACGATTTTCGGGAAGAAAAACGCCAAAAATCTGAGCCCTTCGCGAAGGGCTCAGATCTTGATCGGTTTTTGTAACATAGCCCCTACATGGCTCAACATAGCCACCAAAATGGCTCGAGATATTACCAAAAAGGGCTCGGCTCGGTATGGCCCCAATCAGGCTTCATGGAGGTCTCTGGGTGCTCTTTAATGGCGCATTAAGTTTTACCGGGCCAAAAAACGATCAAAATCTGAGCCCTTCGCGAAACAAACAAGTCCAACCAACCGAACTTGTTTGGCCATGTTGGGTCAAAAACCGATCAAAATCTGAGCCCTTCGCGAACGGCTCTTCCCGAAAATGGTTTCCAGTGTCCAGAGACATCACCAATGGAACTTTTTAGATGGACCCGCCCGCCCACATAGGAAAGTTGATACTCTCAAGGACCTCTCTATTCACATCTGGGCCATCCATCAGCAAAGGACATGTGACATGTTGTTGAGAAATCCTTGTAATTTCGTTATCGTGTTCGTTGTTGTTGTTCAAAACTGGTAATTTTCCCGTTGGTTTGGCTGCGCGAAAGGGGTTAAGAAGGGCGACTTTTTTGCGCCCAAAAAGGGTCCCAAAAACAAGGAAAAAAGTCGCCAGTAAAAATCCCAAACCAAAAGGAAAATTACTATTCAAAACAGGACATATTATATGTGTCGTAATGTCATGTCATGCCATGCCTGTTTAGGGAAAATGATAAAATGAAGGTTGAAAAGGATACCGGATACCTGTTGTCATCGTCACTGCTCGCATGAAGGCACGAAAATACCAAACGCTCATCTGGAGGGCTTGAGCGATGGTGGGACAGGCAAAACATAAAATCAGCATCCAAATCACCAGACCAAATGCACATCCATTACCACATATCACATAACTACATGACATTTCATAACAATACGTACGTGCTTGGTACAAAACCGTTTGCAGCAGTTTGTAATAATCAGGAAAACATCAAGACAGAAACTGATTGGCCAGGATCAAGAGTGTCAGCATATTTTTGCACATCTTCCGTTGTGTGAGCTGGGCCTTACGTATACTGTATACTGATACCGCCGATACCCCACAACTGAGAGCCTAGATGCTTCTGAACTTCTAGATGATCTAGAATCTAGAACCTTGAAGTTCTAGAGCAGGTACCACCCCTTCAGTTCTAGAGCCCTGGGTTGCGCTTCATCTCGCCTCGATGAAGCACAACCCCTGGGAATGCGGCGGCATGTTGTTTTAGGCCTGGATACCGGATACCAGTCTGTCCTAAACAGAAGACGCGGCTCTTGGCGGAACATAGGCTCAACATGGCTCCAGCATGACCACAATCAATAATTATAATTTATAAGAATTAAAAACAACTCTCTTACTCTTACACTTTATATTTGCATTTACTGTGCTCACTATGTTACAAAATAAGTGGTTTCGGTTTAAAGTTTAAATTGTGTTTAAACGGTTTATCATTTATCCTGCCCCAGAACCAACCCGGCTGGTAACTCATAAAATATAATATATCATATATCATATATCATATATCATATATTATATCATATATCATATATCCATATCAATGTCAATATCTATCGTTTTACAGATCGCTCCAATACACACCTGCGAAACGGAGAGGTTAGCCTCTTTCTCATATCGCATTGCAACAATACAATGACACAAACTGAACTTTGAGGACTTGCCAGCGACTTGCTTACTTACTGCTTATTTACTGTAGCTGCTGTAGATGAGACAGTCAGTAGTGTTAGGGTCAGTCAATGATCAATGTGCCAAGTCTAGAGTTCAGAGTCAATCACACCTTGTCCGCGCCCGAGTCCAGAAAATCCAAAGGATCTTTCGCTTCTTCTTCAGCAGCCATTGTGGTCTTCGTTGCAGGCCACCTTGACTCAAAACTCAAGGTTCAACTAGAAATTAGAAACTTCAAATTCAAACGTAATTCTGAACTTGTTGTGCTCTTTCTTGCTAGGCTAAACGGCTAAACTGGCTAGCGGCTAGGCTGATGACTGATGTTACTAGTCTCAGGCAAGCACACTGCACACGATATGCCAGCCTTTGGCAATTGAAACTTTATTGTTGTGAAGGACCTTTGCCGGTTGGCAGCGGTTGGCATCTCAGCATCTCAGCATCTCAGGTGGCATTCATCTCATTTTTCTGATTCATGATGTTTTCTTTTTTTCACTTTCTAGAGGGCACATCCACTGCAACAGCATTGGGGCCAAAAGATACAGCATAATGTGATTATTTGATAACATGTCACTGTGAGACCGTGCGTGTGCCAATGGAGCAGAGATGCACAGGTGTGTGCTCCAACACATTCACATAGATCATGCTCTTCGCGAGGTTGTGATTCTTGAGCAAGTCCACGACCAGGTCCCAGCTTGTCTGAAACTCAAAACAGTGACCAGCGTCATCAGCATCAGCAGTCTTCAAGGCTGCAAAAGAAACTTCGTTCTGATTCGGATCCTCTTTGCCAAAGCCCGTTTCAAAAAGAGAATCATCTGGTGGCTGCAGTGACATGGAGGCCAGCACCGCACCCAGTGGTTTCAGGCACATGCTTGCGACCAGGTACACCTTGCACTGCAAACTGTCTCCGCTGGAAGAACTGCAATTGTATCTCACCGCAATGGCCGCATCCCCTGAGCACAAGAAGTCCTTTGACAAAGGATGTGGCAGGTTCTTGTCAATCTGGCACCGTATTTCCTTCAACAGAAGCGTGTGCAAAAGATGAACTTCATCTTTGAGAGTGGATAGCTCCTTCGAGCAGAAGCCTTTCACAGAACATTGAACATGGTACCTTGCCACAGTCTCCTGTTGCATCCTGGTTTGCATGAGGGGCTCATGGTCAAACTCTGGAACTTCCTCTTCGAATCGTGAAGCAGCATTTGTTCTCGTCATGCCTTGCTGCCTGGCAGCCACTACGGCCCCAGGATCGACAGGCTGCTGGCTGTTCAGCTTCACTCCCCACAGCCTCGCGCAGTCATTTGATAGCAGCAGTTAGTCTGGATTCTGGAGTCTGGTGTCTGAGCTGAATCAAATCATAATCGAATCTAATGATTGAATCATACAATAGCACACCATACATACACGATGCAGTTATCATAAGTCATAGGTCATTCATACATCATCATCATCATCATCATCATATCATCATCATCATCATGAACCATCATCATCATCATCATCAGAAATCAGGTTCAGAATCAGAATCAGAATCACTGAAATTCAGTTCATGAATCATGAATCATGCTCAGCATCACTATCACCATCATCATCTTAAACCATCATCATCAGCATCATTTATCATTTATCATTTATCATGATCATTATCAATGATCAATTAAATTATATGTTTAATTTTTAATCATTGAATCATCATTGTAATTGTAATTATTGTCATCACATCATCATGAATCATCGAATCATATAATTTCATCATCATCATTCATCTTCATCAGAATCAGACTCAGACAGTCCGACTCAGAGTCAAACAAACATCACATCGTTGGAGACAGGTGGATGGTGGATGTGATTGATGTGATTGTTCGATGTGACCTCAATTCAGAAATTAAGTAAATGTCACTGTCAATGTTAAGTTGAGTCGAGTTGAATTTGAATCTGGAAAAGTTTGGAAAAGTAAAAAATAATTAATCATCATCTGAATCTGAATCATCACGGTATAGGAGTAGGGGTCGGAGTAGCAGTGCGGTCGTATGAATGCATGTTCGAACGTGCCAAAACTGACAGTTGAGGACATGACCCTTTGCGCTGATCAGACTCAGCTGCAACCTCCTGGACCAGAGTGTGCACAACTCAAATTCACATCACTCGTCCATCATCAATATTAAAAAAAAAATGGATTCTGATTCCTGATTCCTGATTATATGACATTGAATCATTGAGTCATTGAGTCATATGAGAATGAGAATGAGAATGTGAAAAATCGATCGAGAATCCAGATCCAAAAAAACAAACAGTTGAGTCCAGTGGGTCTTGAGTCTGGAGTCTGGCAGCAGCCCAGTCCTCCGCTTCGAGCCTGCGTTTTTTCCGAGATTTCCGCTCTTCTTTCCGCTCGCATTTCACGACTTTGTTGGATGACTTTGCCAAACGCGTGAACGATGCTTTCAAGCCACCAGAGGCCTAAGTCTCTGAATTTGAGAAAGTGAGAAAGAAAAAGAATAATAAGCATACAGAATACAGAGTAAGAATTAAGGAAGTTGAAGTTGGAGTAAGTAAGTGAGTGCAGTAAACACTGCATACAGTGACAGTGCGTCAGCAGTACGTCTGTGGAGTAAACAAATAATTACTGTGACTGTGACTCTGCAGATTGGCAGATGACTTTGACTCTACCGTACCTATGAATTATTGTGACTGAATTACTGACTAATATTAATATTATTATCAATGCCGATGCCAGTGACGATGCCTGGCCTCCATCCTTTCTTTGAACCACTTCTGGAAAACTTTGGAAGCCATGCCTTTGCTGATTTCGTGACCTTATTATCACCATCTCGCAATGTTGAACCAATCAGAGTTCATGTCAGTGAGTGATGTCAGTGAGTCAGCAAGTCACAAGTTGTAACTGAAACTGTGAAGCGACCTGATGCTGCAAATGCAAAAATCTGCTGTCTAGCCTGCCATGTGACTCTCTGGGCTGGACTGACGGACGAAAAACAAAATCAAAATAAGACCCTGGCCATCCCTGCATACCTCCTTGAATTGCTTCCAAAAGGTGGCTTGAGCGACATGAAGGCCATGCATTCGCCCAACTTTCTGCGATGCAGCTCCACTCTGATCACCACTGAATTTCATACCTCCATGATGGTGCTGGCTGGGTTAGAATATGTAGTTTGCAGTTTGAAACCACTTGCACTTGCACTGCAATTTGCAACAGCTGGTCCAGAATCCAGAATCAAGAGTGTTTGACAGTTTGACTAAATGTACATTGACATTGACATCATTGACATGTCACTGTCGCAGAGAGAAGAGATACAGTAGTCTGAGAGTCTGAGAATATGAGGAAACCATCTCATATCAGAATCAAATCAGATTCATATTCAGCTCATAACTCATATTCATATTTTCGTTTTTCAATATTCAAAATATTACTATACATTACTATACTATACTAGACTATACTGTACTATTCTGCATGAAAAAAACACACTTTGCACTCTGCACGGCAAACGATATCATTGAGCCGAATCGAGCCTTTCCCATAGTTGCAGCAGTCCCTCAGAACTAGTCGGCGATCCTTCTTCCGTCGTCTTTTGGCCTTCGGCTTCGGCCGCCCAGGCCCAGCATCTTTGTCATCATCATCATCATTGTCGCCCTTGCCATCGACTGAATCGATATCATTTGTGGACCTCAGGTGCAAAGAGCAGCACAAAGCAGTAGCGATAGCGGGGATGGCAAAGAGACAAGATAAGAAATCGGATAGCATCTGAATTCTGTTACTTGCATGAATGATGCAATGATTTCAGTGAGTTAGAGTTAGTAAATCATTTCAGTGATTGCAGTGACCTACCCGTCTCCTTCTACCGTAGACCATCATCATCTACTGTCTACCTTGTACTCAATTCAATACCAGGCCACTTGGATACAATCTTTGACAGCTGCTTTTCGTATTGTCCCAAAAGGGATTCAGCTGCCAATTTGTGCCAAGTCTTGGCCGTTCCAAGGTGTTGGCAACTCTCTGAAATGGACTTATTAGTGTGATGAGAACACTCCATCTTAAAGATGCCGAGACGGCTGTCTCGACATGTGGTACTTGCCACCTGGACAAACTCCCTGAAAGCCTGCATGAAGCAACAAAATGCAACAAACAGTACAACAACAGTTAATAGCTCGACTTGGCTCAACTGAACTCAATAAAAAAACAGCAGAGCCTTGGGCTCATCCAATAACTTCAGTCGCTCTTGTAAGGGCCGGCCGAAACCAGCGTCAAGGCAGCATGGAGCTGACCGCATGAATTGCGTGAACACGCCAAAACCTTCGACTCAGGACTCATGGCGGCTCTCAATTCTTATATCATATCATATCATATCACTTCACTGATATAACTTAACAAGACGACCTGACCTGACTTGAGAGGGGGGGACGAAAGGTAGGTGGTGGCAAATACAGGAGGGACAGGAAGATAGAGAAATTAAACGAGGAGAAGAAGAACAAGAATAATAAAATCACGGTCAGTATTACAAGAACTAATGCAAGATCGATGGATGCTCGGTTGAGGCACTTTGTGTGTAGAGGTGTAATCCCTCAAGGATGCAACGCTCATGACTCATGCCAAAGGAATGCGGCATGTGGTGGCGAGTATATAGAGTCGATGGGGATCCGGGATGAGCATGTAGACAGCTGCAAAGCAGCAAAAAAAATAGAGATGAGATATCCAATATCACCAATCTCCAATGACATGCGCTTTTTGGCTGCGGACCAGGGGGGAATCGAATGGGGGAGGGGGAGGGGGGGGGTCCAACTTGGGCTAATAAGGCCATTTCAGAAAGTTGCCAGCACTTGGAACTGCCAACACTTGGCACAAATTAGCAGCTGAGTCCCCCCTAAGTGGAGATTCCTTACTTTCAGCTCTCAATTTCTGGGAAAGGGCCAACCACCTCCCCCAGTACTAAACTAGTACTAAAGTACATAGAACTCAGGTAGCCTAGGCTACCTTTCATGATCTGACCTAACTTACCTAACCAAACAACGAATCTGAATTTGAATCTGACTGTACTTGAATTCTGCATTGCTATACAAAAGGAACATCAATGAATTCAGTCCAGTCAGGGACAGTCTGAGACAGTCTGAGAAGCTTTCAATTTCTGTCTTGGATGCCACTGCCAGCAAGCAGAATGGGCTGAACTGCAGAGGCCGGTGCAGCCTGTCAAACTCAACTAAAGTTTTGTGATTGCTGACACCATTGAGCATGCACCAGTTTGCTTGTCATTCATGTCCGACATGACGATATGCGATATGTATTGTATTTCTGCATTGCAACAAATCAAGAGCCTGCGCCACACTGCCGACGCTCCTGCTCACACACTTAGACAATAAGTTACACAAGTAATTTCAGAATCAGAAAAATACATGAATATAATATATAATTTATAATATCTAATATATAAAATATAATATATTTATATAATATAATATATAATATAATATATAAATAATTATATACTGATACCGTGATACCCCTGATTCCAGAGCCAGGGTCAGAGTCGCAATGTGTCAAGACCTGTCCTGCCACTATGGATCTCCGCGTCAAGATGAAAATGTCTGTCTGTGACACGGCATGACCAAACCTGGCAGGCAGGATTACTGATGCAATGCAGCACAGTAACCCTGGACTCATGCAGCTGCAAAACAGCTTCAAGACTGGGCATCTTACAAATGCAAGAGTCTGCGTTGAAGCTCATGATCCGCATCCACTGCCAAAGCAGTAAGCTCTGACATTGACTTGCCAGTGACTTTGCCAGATGCCCTCAGAGAGAAGAAACATGCTCGGCCAGTGTCAACAGTCAACAGTCAACAATGATTGAATTTGAATGATTGGATTCAATTCGGTCACAGCGTGTCACTGTTCAAAGTTGAGAAGTTCTGAATTTGTTGGGGCAAGAACCACTCCGGAAAACCATGCGATGCATCCTTTGCCTCTTGCTCATTCAACCAAAGGCCTCAGGACTAGACAATGGCAGACAAGACTTGACTAGAGTACAGACTCAGGCTACAAACTACATTGCTACATGCTGGCTGCTGACTCTCACTCTGACTGTGACTGGATAATATCAGAATCAGACTCAGACTCAGGCTAGACTAGACTAGATTCTGACTCTCATGACTCATGACTCATAACTGAATCTGAATAATATTATTATATAGTTTATAATGAATAATGATGATTGAACTGAGCTGTGTCAAGTCCTGAGCCGCCTTAGCCCATCACTTTCGAAGTTGAACAAGTACCTTCTGCAAAGTTCTCTCAGATCAGACTCCTCGTTGTCTTGACTTTCACACCTCAGAATCCAAGTTAAGAAATCGGAATCAACTTAGAAAACTACACTAGACTAGACAGGACAGGACCTGACTAGACGTCAAGACAAGAATCCAGTCCAGCCCAGTTCAAAAAACACTGAAGCATGTCAGTGTAGCAAGTGTGAAGGAAAGGAACTGTAAACCGAAGTGGCAAGTAACAATACAGTAAACAGTAAACTGACTGTTTAAGTTTTACAGTTTACATTGTACATCATTAAATCAAAAATGCATACTACAAACTGCAAACTCAGGGTCCGGACTCGTATCGTAAGACGTAGAAGAGGAGGCGCCGTATTGGCTGATTGGTTTCCATCAAGAGAAACAGTTTCAACGGCGTTTGGAGGTCGTTGGCCCTCGGTGTTGTCACATAATTCAAGAACTTCAGAGCAGCAGCTGCAGCAGTATTTCACAGTATCAATTCACAAATGAATCATTCCAATTCCAATCCCAATCTGCATGAATGAATTTGGAGGACTCTGGACTCTGGATGATTGAGGCCTGAGACCAGCACCATTTTGACAACATGGTGCGCCTGGTTCGCTGTTGCGCCATGTATGCAGCAGCATCTGATTGCTGGACCTCAAAATGCCAATGCCACCAATAGGATGCAATGCAATGATGCAGTGAATTGGCCAACAGAAGAACAGTCGAAACAAATTTATTTATGATAATTCTGATAATTGATAATATAATATAATAATTTATTAATTAATGATTCTGAATTCTGATTCTGATGATGATGATAATTTATAATGATAGATGTCGATGATGATGATTCTGATGATAACTTCAGGAACACATGTGCAATCAAATGAAATGTTTGGTTTGGCAGTTCGGCACCTCTCAAACTGAGACTGCGACATCAGCATCTGTGTCAGCTGTCTTCCCAGGCTCTTTGTCTTTGGCCGCCAAAGCCCGAAACAGTGGTTCCAACATGTTGTGGAAAAGCGCAAACGCAAGTGTAAAGCTTGCTACACTTGCCACTCCAGTCCAACGGCTTTGTGCTGGTTTGGCTGGTTTGCTTGAAAGAAACAAATGCTTCAACAGCACTGTCACATGATCTGAGATGGCCCGTCTAAGTCTTGAAATGTGTTGCGACGACAAATCAATCAATAACTTGTCCTCGACGTAGACGGCGATCGTATTGAATCTCCAATCAGAGTACCCAACGAGCCTGTCAGGCCGATCAGTGAGTCATGAATCATGAGCCCAGTCTAAGTCTAAGTAGTCAAAGTCAAAGTCTAAGTCTAAGTTCAGTTTCATTCTACGCCATCTAAGTTAAGTTCAGTTTGAGTTTGTCCGTCACTGTCTGTCTGTCTACAAAATCCAAAATTGCAGATTGCAGTATCATGGGTCATGAATCATGAATGACAATGTCAATGTCGAAGTAACACTGTGTCACCAGTCCCCCCGCGAACCTCAACAACTCAATTGCAGACTCCAACACTCCATTCCGCTTGGTCAGCGGCAGCTCATTTCCAGAGCCACTGTCAGAGTCAAATGCGACTATGTCGAAGTCAGGAGGTACCTTGCCAATGACCTTCAGAATGTATTGGTTCCATCTCAACATATCATCTGCCGGACGCTGGGACATGGGGCGCAACTCAAGATTCTCATCAACAAGACCTTCCAAAGCCCTGCCCAGAAGCGTCCATGATCCACTTCCACCCATTTGGTTACCAGCTCTAACCAAGTTTGTGAGAAGAAATGCCTTTTTTGTCTGAGTCTGATTCTCCTTCTTCTGATTGGCTTCTGAAGTCTCAGCCTGAGCATGTTCTTTGCCCTTTCCACTGCCTTTTCTGCCGCCTTTTCCACCCCGGCCACGACCACGTCCTGTGCCCTTCATCTCCAAGGCCGTGTCCGTGTCTTTTGCTACACCCCATGGCCATGAACATGGCAAATCCTGGGATGACAGAACATGTGTCAATGATCAATGAGTCCAGCCGGGCTGTATCTCATCATCATATGAAACATATCATATATCATATATCAAATATATTATTAAATTATATGATTATATTAATTATATTATAAATTGTATTAGTATACAGGTATACAGTATACATACAGTAAATAATATATGATATGATATATGATATAATATTTTTTAATGATGATATATTGTGACGTAGTATGTAGTCGTTATTATTAAATTACAAAACATCTTATTTTTGCTGCATGCGCCATGCAAATGCCATTCCCACATCATTGGGAACTTGGGACTGTCTCAGCTAATGACTGCTGGCTGAGCACCACACCAGTCGAAAGGTTTGATTGCTGGAGCAAAGGTGAATGGCATGGCACTGGCACGTGCAATCCAATACCTAAAGCAAGAAGTGTGAGGAGCGTCAGGAATTCAACAATTCAACTCAACAGTTCATTTATTTTTTATCAAAAATTGACTGACTACTAATTAATTAATATAATATAATATAATTTAATTAATCATCAAAATACAAGTTACAGAAGTACAACAAGCACTACTGGGCTGGGCTGGACTCAAGACTCTAGATTAGATTTATGATTTATGTGGCTTTATTGTCAACAATTCTCTGGGCTGCTGATTTATTGAATCCTCTGAATGCAAACTTCATTGAATTAACAATCAGTTCAAGTTCAATTTCAATGTAATGAGCCATTCATCAGAAGCTAAGTGCCAAACCAAGGTGTTCCGACAGCGCTTGATGACCTACCAACCAACTCACGCTCAAAGAGTTCGAAGGTCCAAGTTCTAAGTTTCTAAGTAAGTTAGATTCTAAGTTCTAGTTCTAAGTTCCTCTAAGTTCAGCACTTCCTTCCAAAAACCAAATTCCAAATGCTTGAGAATACTGATACTGATACTGTACACTGATACTTCACTGACTGATACTGGCGGCTTGAATGTGAATGTGGCGTGACAAGGCTGACAAGGGGCCTCGAACTTTTTGACAAGCGCATTGGACAGAGCTCCATCGGCAACCAGGATAACAACATGGTACTTTGCCCCAGCCACCAGCGCAGACCTTGATGAACAGAATCTGATTCTTGATTCTGATTCTTACCATTTTTACAATATTATATTGATAAACAATGCCATGAACCATATAATTCATTAGTAGTAATACGCTTTTGTACTGTATACTGTATACTGTATGTTGTTACTAGGCTTTTTAAGATTATGACTTATATAGACTATACCCTATAACTATAACTTATACTTATATTTATATAATTGACTATAATCTGTGTCTCTGAGTCTGACTGACTGACTGAAAAAATGTAATTGACACTGATCATCTGACAGTATGAGGTCAGATCTGAATCGGAAATGCGACGAATCAACACAGGTACTGTTTGGAAGCTGCCAAGGGCATCCATGCGTCCAGAGCAGTCTTGATAGTTGAGGCCGTGAGCCTGCGAAGTCGAACAGGTGGAACAAGGATGGGCTCCTGCACACAGCACTAGAGTATCCGTCGTCTGTCTGTCTTACTGGCTGGCTATCAAATCAAATCTGATGCTGGCTGAATTTGAGTGTAACTTTCGCAAGATGGCAAACGTCAAGCGTGTTTTGCTACTGCTGCTGTCATATCTAAAGACTGAAACCTCGAAGCACATCTGGAATCTGTACAAACTTTCCCGAGATATCAGTGTGATATCGGTAGTGACAGTGATATCAGTGATATCAGTAGTCAGTAGCTGATCGTGAAGTAAGCCGTGCTGTAGATTTATGATTTGATGATGCCACAGCATCTGCAGCACGCAGCTGCATCTCTGAAAACTTGAAGATTTCAAGCACTACAGTACTAGGCACTATGGCCACTGGAGCAGCTGACAAATGACAACCAACAAACCATCAGCGGCTAGTGGCAGTATATTGCTAGAACCTGCATTGCAAAGTTTATCAAATCAAAGTTCAAAGTTGTCCGAAGTCAAAAGTTCAAGATGTTCAAAGTTCAATTCAAACTTTATCAAACGAATCTGCCGTGTCAGCTGCAAGCATCTTGGGTCACGTGCAATCCGTGCGCAATTCAACCAATGGTGGTCCCATCTTACCATTGGACCTGACCCTCATAGCCTATTCTGATGCTGGACTCAACATATCATGAATCACACTCACTCCCTCCACTCAGCTCGGCTTGGCCAAAACCATCGGTGACCTAGTCGACAAAGTGGAATTCCACTGGAACACCCCTCATCATGCCATCGAAGAGGAGTTGGAAAGCCTCTTCCTCAGTCGCAATGTGATGACCATGATGAGGATTTGGATGTGGTTCACTTGCTGAAGAGGAAGAGGAGGAAGAGGTGCCAAGACCAGGGCTGGTATGCCAATGGGCTGGCTGCTCTTGCGACTCATGCCGGTGCTCACAATCAGACACACTCCTGCAACCACGACGCTGACGAAGACCGCGACTGCCACCAGAGCCAGGGCCAGTCACACCCAAAGCCTTCTTGAAGTCAAAGGCCTTCGTGCTGGCCATAAACTTTGCCTTTGGCTTCGGCTCAAGCACTTCAGGCAAGGTACCCTGGGCCGCACGCTTTCCCCCAGCCTGCTGACTTGCTTCTGTCTTCTGAGACTTCTGAGCATCTTCGTCAGCTTCATCAGGACACATTGACAGTGAGCCATCTGCATGCACTCGGAGGAATGGAATAGTGGCATTGGCAATGGCCATGTTGTCATAGTCATAGTTGTCGTTTCTTGATGGTGATGCCGATGCCATGGCTTCAACAACCTATGATCCGAGTCTGAGTCAAAGAGTCAGTCAAACTTGTACCACTGCCGTCTAGTGCCTGCAGCCGTAAATGCTCGTTCAGACAAGTGTCTCAGTGCCAGTTTCAATCTGATTAAGCAGCCAGACTTTGCGAATTTGAATTGAATTTGATTTTCTGCACAATCCCCCAAATCCCTGTCCCAGTCCCAGTCCTTTAGGAGGACAGGTGCCTCCCAATCTGATGAGTCCATGTCTACGACCTGGATTCACATGCAGGCAGCTAGGCCAATGTAAAGAAAAAATATTGAAATTAACGCGCACTGAAGGCTAAGAACGGTGCACTGACCTCACCAAACTGCGTCATGATGCTCCTGTGGCATCAACTGGCTGATAGATGTGATAGAGTGACTGACTGATGAGTCTGAAGTCTGAAGTCAGGTTAAATTCAGATTATTCATATTCACTGTCACTGTCTGTCACTATCACTATCACTATCTGGCAAATCACCGCGGCATCATTCAAGCTGGGTTCTTGGCATAGTGACGCTCGAAGAGCTTTGTGCTTTTTTTTCCTCAGTCGGATCACGCTGCTCAAGCGCGTTCTGAATTGGAAAAAGAAACTGAAATTAAGCAATCAGAAACCATACCAGGAACAATCAGAAACTGAAATCATTGATCATTGATGATATATAATAATATTACATTCATGATTGAAATTCATCCAATTCAATGATATGATTCAAAATTCAAGTATAAGTATAAGTTTATAAGTATCAGTATAAGTACTTGTTATTTGGTTCGATATTCAATTCAAAATTCAATATCAGAAAGCAAAACAAATCAAGTCAAAGAAGTCAAAAGACACAGCTGTGACACAACATAATCAATTTCAATCATCCATTACTGAATAATCATTGTCAATTGTCAATCATTGTCATTGAGTCATTGAGTCATTGTCATCATTCATCATTATCATCATCAAGCCACCATCATCAGCCTGAGTCTGAGACATGAGTCAGAGTCATGTCAGTGACAGTGAGTGCATCAGTGATCATGATCAGGCAGTCAATCAGAGTAAATGACTGTCAATGTCAATTATCAACCAAGCATCGCAACCAAATATGCTTTGCCAGCTTGGAGCCCACTTCCAAGGAGCTGCAAAAGAGGACCAGTGCCACCAGTATGGGACGCAATGTAGGAAGCCACTTGTTCCTCGCGCTCCGCTGGTACAGTCAGACTCTGACAGTAAGTCCCTGCCTACCAAAACACTGACAGTCACCGACATGAAATTAGCAAAGACACACACGTACAGACTTACAGCCTACAGTTTTTACATGTTACATGACTTCAGATTTGGAAGAGCCTCAGAAGAGTCTTGGTCTCAGAAGAATCTGACAAAATTCCCAAAGTCACCACAACCGCCGCAACCTATCTGCTGAAAAGGCTCAGTCTCGTCCCACATACACAATTGAGTTGCCAGGTAGTTCCGGCAGGATTGAGTCAGCTGCCCGGCCACCTTGACAACGGCAAAGTCTACCGTAAACGCAATGGCTGTGGTTGTGTTTGTGGCTGTGCTTACAAATACAATATTAAAAAATATATATATATAAATAATAATAATAATACTGATACTGAATAAAATTATAAAATAATATAAATGTTACAAGTTACAAGCCTTAATTTAAAAATTAAAAATAATTTGTGAGAATATGCAATCAAATTGTACTGATGATTCAAATTGTATTTGATTTCATGTCCAAGAAGTCTACTAAGTCTAAGTCGGGCCATGTCCAAAGTTCCCTTCTGATTTTTGTTGGTCGACGGTCTGACTAACTCCCCAAAAACAGTCTTGAGCCTTGCCAGCTTAGCCACCAATTGCTCAGTGAACTGTTTCTGAAGACCCAGAACCACTGCAGCAACATTGACCTTGGACGTTCGGAGGAAGCGGCGATTGAATGTGTCCTTACTGTTGACATGAGACAATTGTTTCTACTACAAACTGCTGAAAAAGAAAAGACTTTGTGAGCAGTGACCAAAACCAAGGGTAACCACGAACAAAAGTTATTGATTTCGGTATTTCGGTATAGACTATAGCCATAGCTCTATCAGCTCTATCGCTCTACACGGTTTTGTTGCCTGTACTGTATGTCAAACAACGGTTTTTGGCTATTGGTTATTGGCTAAAACAATGCATCATCATCATACATACGAGTCATATCAAGTTACTATAATCTCCAATGGCTGGAAAACAACACAACAACACATTTTCAATCGTTGAAAAATTTGAAAAATGAAAGTCATGCAATGGTATGCCTCCCTCCAAGATCAAGTTGAAAGCCCGTTGAATCAAAATCATCGAGATGAAAAACCGGAATCGAAACCCAGCAACCCCAACATCCCGCCAAGTCTCACCAAGTTCTCCCGTCAAACGAGCGACTGGCGACGATAACAATCCTGCTCTTTCCGACACGGAACCCACTGCAGACACAAGGTGTCTTGCGACTGTGGCAATGTGGCTATCGGCTATGCGTCCGGGAAGGAAAGCAACCGCCACTTGCAGGTCTGCCTTAGAAATGCAATAAAAATCCAAACAACAAAATTTAAACAAAATTACTTTACTTCGTGTGATCCCCACCATGGCATTTATCGGATTTGTTACTGGCAAATCTTCTGGCATTCTATCTGACATATCTTCTGGCATTCGATCTGGTCCTGGCATTCTATCTGGCATATCTTCTGGCATTCTACCTGGCATATCTTCTGGCATATGTTCTGGCAGGCATTCTATCTGGCATATCTTCTGGCATATCTTCTGACAGTCATCCTATCTGGCATTCTATCTGGCAAATCTTCTGGCGTTCTATCTGGCAAACATTCGGGCACTTTATCTGGCATACCTTCTGGTATTCTATATGAATTATATGACTATATGACATTCTATCTGGCATACCTTCTGGCATATTTCCTGGCATATGTTCTGGCACATATTCTGGCATTCTATCTAGCATATCTTCTGGCATATCTTCTGACATCCTATCTGCAATTCTATCTGGCAAATCTTCTGGCATTCTATCTGACATTTTATCTGGCATTCTATCTGACATTCTATCTGGCATATCTTCTAACATTCTATCTGGCAATCTGGCATATCTTCTGGCACTCTATCTGGCATATCTTTTGGCATTTTATCTGGCATATCTTCTGGCATTCTATCTGACATGCTATCTGGCGTTCTATCTGGCACACCTTGTGGCATTCTATATGGCCGTTGAGGTCCAGCGGTGCTCACTGAGCTCGGCGGGTCCCAGGTTGAGGTCAGCGGTGTTAGTGAGCTCGGAAGGTCCAGCGGTGCTCACTGAGCTGGCGGGTCCCAGGTTGAGGTCCAGCGGTGCCCAGTGCGCTCAGACCCTTGCACTTGAGATCCACCATTCCCCACTGCGTGCGGAAGTTGGCGAAGAGCTTGGCGAAGAGTTGGCAAGGCGGAAGTGAACATGGAACTGGAGGCAGAGGTGGTGGAGGAGAAGGAGGAGGAGGAGAAGAACAAGGACAACTCTGATAAAATCTAACAACCCTCACCTGGCAGGTGGGGAATTACTTTCTTTGAGTCTTCTACTGTCTTGGGGACGGTAAAGAGCAACCAAACATCAACCAAGCAATGCCAAGCAACATCTATATCTGCAGATGATGATTGCCAGCCCTCATTTTGCTTCGAATCCGTCAAGGCCCGGGCACGCAATGCTTTTTTGCAACCCCTTGCATGCCAGCATTTCGTCCGACTCGCATCACGACGCAATGCTCTCTTAGCCTTAGCCTTGCCAGTTGCCTCCGGCTTCACCTCCACATAGTCCAATGGATCTTTCTCATCAACACTGGACATGGCTGCTGGTTCGATCAATTCATCACTGGTCAAACATGGGTATTGTCATTGTGGTCTTCCTGATCAAGAACCATTATGTAAAAGTAACATTGGAATTTTATATTCTCATATTGGCCGCAATTGTTGTAGTGTGGTGGTAGATGATCTGATTAATCTGATTAATACATTGCTTTGTTTCAGTGCATACTTGCTGTCCGTGGCCACAGAACGAAAGGCATCCCCCCATCTCTGGAAACTGTTCGCGGCGGCGGCCGGGCGTTCAGAAAAGTATAGGTTGGTTTTTGCGTTTTCACTAAAATCACAAAACCATCATTTTCTAATGGTTTCGTGATTTTCCGAACAACGCAAAAACTAGCAAAAATCTAAGTTTTGTCGTTTTCAGTAAAACACGAAAACCATTGTTTTTCATAGGTTTTTAGATTTCCCCTTGTTTTTGATCATCCTTATAGAACGGCATCCCACAGGCCGACAATGCCCACCATAATATATACCAATGTCTCGCCATGGTGGAGATTTTGAAACAGGTTTTTCCGGGGGGTTGTGGCATCGGGTTTATCACATATTGGGGGGATAAGCTGGTGGAGTCCTGGTGGAGTTTTTGGTGGGATACTTTTTTTTGGCGCTCACCTGACGTGAGCGAAGGCATTATGCGACCCCGCTCACACTCAGAACTGCAGATCAGTATCAATCGACAAAGAAGTCAGTAGGAGACTATACCCATCAATGACCCTAACTGCACCCACAAGTAGTGCTCGCCACCATCATCTGTTTGAGATGAACTGTGCAAACAGATGTGTGGCCAAGGTGTGTTCGCGTGGCAGTAAGCTAATAGGTAGAAATGGGTCTTATACAAAAAATCGGTAGAGTATGGTGGAGTTACCTTTATAACCAATGTGTGCGCAAACAAGGATGTGCAGCATGCCACAGAGTTCAAGCCATGGAAATGTTCATCTTGCGGTTCAGCGGCCAATCATCACGCCGTTGGCAACCTGGCAAGATGTTGGACGAGATTGCCTACTAATGGTTTAGAGAAAAGGAGTCTGCTTTCCCAGTAGTCATGCAACATGAAAACAATGAAAGTTCATGTTGGAGCAACAGAATCCACCCAGCATCCCTTTAACTATATCCCGCTTTGTAATGAACTTGGACATACTTGGCCAGCGGTACTCAATCTGGGACGTTCCATTGCAAAAAAATCTGACCAAACAACTAGCCGAAGAATACCATCCAAACATATTCAAATCCCATCAGAGTGGATGACACCAGTGCGTCTTACAAAAGATGGGCCTGTCATATTCCTCATATAGGAGGGACAGTTGCCCCTGACATTCACCATCATGTACAGTGACGTCGCAACGTGTCGAAAAATATTTGATGCAAATAGCTGTCATCCCACTATATTCCTATACAGCCCATATACATATTGATGACTCATGACTCGTACCTCACAATTTCCCTAAATGGTCAGTTAATCTCCAGATTTCTGGGCAATTCCTGTGGAGATTCCCGAGCAAACCATGCTGATTACCAGAGGGTAAGGCTGGACCCACAGGGACCTATGAAGTACCACCAATCGGAAGAACCCCAATTCCTGAAGAATGTATATATATATATATATGTACTATGATGTACTACTGACGATGATAACCATTGTTCCATTGACGTTGCGGCGTGAGTTCGTTATTACAGTTTATTGACATAGTATGGTACTCAAGCTCAAGCCCAATAACCTACAATGTGGTGCTCTTAGTCATAGTATAGGTTTTAATTTAGCACCCCCTACTCAGCATAGTGATACCATAAACATCCATACACCATAGAATTCCCAACTGCCTCTGGGAATCGCTGGGAAATCCACGGAAAACCAGCCATGGAGGTTTTCAGCCAGCCATGGAAATGATTACCGGAGGGTGAACCAAAGAACATCACGTTAGCTAGTTGTTGTTAATTCACATGAAATAGTAAAATCACCATAATTTCTGCTGGTGAACTCCAGACCTGCAAAACAACCAGGGATGCATTGCTTCCCAGGGACAATCAGCAAGGCCACCACGGGTTCGATGTAGGTCAGCGGATGCACCTGAGCAACGGATCATTCCGGTGGAAAGGTGAAGTCACTTTGTAGAACCCCAAAGGGGTTTTCGAATCGATTGGGAATTTGAACCCTAACTAAATCCTTATATATATATATATATTATATATATATGTATGTATTAGGACCCAAGCAAACATGCCTGGTTCTTCCATTTGTATCCAATTGTTTTGTTCACTGGGTTTTCCTTGTTGGAGTTTTTGTTCTGGTTTACCACCTGAATACATGACGTCATGGCGCAAGGCAAAGTTGGATCACTAGTGAAAACTACACGATATATGAAAACCAAGAAATTGTTTCTAATTGGTGGTTCCAGCCCTGAAGGAAATTTTATTGTAAACTGGGATCATCATCCGATGTAGCGATGAAAACAGCAAAGATACCAACACACACTTTAAGGCACCAGCCAGGTCTACTTCGGGATCACCGACCAAAAGTCCAAAAGCACTGCAGTTTTTGGCATTTTTGACTGGTTGGTGGTTTTAACCATATTGAAAAATATGAAAGTCAATGGGAAGGATTATCCCATGTATTATGGAAAAACAATGTTTGATTGAAACCACCAACCAGTTGATGATGGCCCAACTTAGCATCCAAACATATCCTGCATACGGCCTACTCATCCCAGCAGGCATCGTTGCCCGACGACTTGTCGGATCTGTCATGGGCCTTTAAGGTGGTTTCAACTGTATTGAAACATCGTCACAAAGCAAAATAACCTTAAATAAGCGGTAATCCGGTAACTGGAAACCACAGATGTCAATATATGGATACAAATATACACTTATATATATATATATATCTACATGTAATTTATACACATTAATGACATACTGTACATGTCTGATGTTATACGTCCAGAATGTACATGTCAATGTATATTTATGTACATATAAAATTAAGTGCGTATGTCATGGTATGTCTGTATGCCCGTATTCCTGTATGCCTCTAATTATGAATGTTTGATTGTTTCCCTGCGTACCTGTATGCCTGTCTGTCTGTCTGCTGCCTGTCCGCCGCTTGTCTGTCTGTCTGTCTGTCCCTCCGTCCGTCCGTCCGTCTGTGTCTGTCTGTGTCTGTCTGTGTCTGTCTGTGTCTGTCTGTCTGTCTGTCTGCATGCATGCCTGCAACATGCATGTTGGATGTATACATGGATCTAGCGCATCACTCAAATCCTTTGCGAGCATTCTTTGTCACTAAGCTCATCCAACCAAAGAATGAACAAGCACTGCTGTTGAATGATAAAACCTACCAAAGAAAAAAGTTACCCTCGCCCCAATTAACAGAGACCTCGAAAAAAGGCCAAATCTTATTGGAAACTAACCCTCTAACCCAAAAGGGCCTATGATCATTTACAGGAGGGTAAGTAGCATCCCCTTGCAGCCCATCCGCTGGCTCGGGCGGTGTGGCTAAGTCGTTGATTCGAACGAACGTCCTGGGTCCCGGAGACGCCCCAAAAAAGATCAGCATTGGGGCATTGGGGATGTGAAAAATGCGTCTCATCTCCATCCATGTCCGGTAAATGATACTTGGTGTTTGATATTGCGTACATGTAATATATATATATATATGTGCGTGTGTGTGTGTGTGTGCGTGTGTTTGTTTATTTGTTTTTCATTTATATATATATGTATTTATTTATTTACTTACCTATTTATTTGTCTATATATTTTTTATATGTGAATATCAATATGTTTGGAAAATATGTATATATATATATACATGTATGCTGACATATGGATACATATGGCACATGTTCAAAACGATACAATACATGTGATTTTCATGGGGGATGGAAACATGTTGGGCCTAGCATATTGGGGATGAAATGGCGCAAGAAAAAATGAAACGGCCATGGTACCTAAAATGCAAATCAATATTCAACACATCTCACAAACACTTCTATATTGGGTGGATGTTGGTGAGTTATTATTAAATAGCAAGAACCACAGAGTCACACAGTTTATCACACTTTACTGGGTGAACTGCATGCCATATGATGCCATATGTACTGGTCTGCATTCCCATATGGACCCATATGCCGTGGATTCCAACCGCATCCGGGAAGCAGTTCTGCGACTAATCGATTGGTGTCACCTGCCAACCTCAGATCCCAAAGTTGGGAGACGACTGTACCCTCCAGTGTCAAACATGGCGGGAACATCTCATGTCATTGGAGGTTTTAGGTCTGAAAAATCCACGATCAGCCAGATGGATTTTCCAGCCATGTTTGATTGCCAGAGACTCATGTAAGGGAATACCATTTAAAACCGGGAAACCATGCGATCTAATTGGGAAAGATTTGGAGAAATCTTAAGACATATATAACTGGTTGATGGTTGAGCCATCGCCCAATTGGGATGATTATGATCCTATTTCAAGCCACTACTTGGGATTAATATTGTTAGACCAGCAGCTTGTTCCAAGCCAACCCCCAAAAGAAAATAGTAGCTTGGTGGTCATCGTATCAAATACATTATTTTTCAAAGAAATGAAGCTACCAAGCTGTCGTTCAGCGTTCAGCCATTGTACCACTAATTTTGGAGATTCTTTGGCGGGATGAGAGGGCGATCCTGGAATAGTACCATGTAAGTATCAGATTATATTATCATTTGGGAGGTACGAGTACCCCCATAATTCATAGACCAGGCTTGACATTCATCTGGGCTTGGCATTAATATTTTCGGGGCTCGGGGCTGGAGCCATGGGGGGAATGTAGTGATCCAACCCGCGTTTTGCTGATGTCCCGTTCTTGGTTCCCAAGCATGTTGAATTGTGAAATGGGAATCAGTACTGTGGTAACTTCAAGAATACCAGCCCACAACTGACGGTTTTTTCCCCTCCAGGAAAGGTTGGGCATACACGCCGGGGTCGAGGGGGTCGCCTTCTTCCATGCCTTCGGCTTGGTGAATGAAATGTTGCTCCCCGTCGTCGGCGGTCCAAACGTACGTGGACGTGAGCCCGTAGATGGCATGTTTAGATATATATCTTTACATGCTTAGGGTTTATCTATCATCAATATGTTCATGTCATGACCTTGCCGAGCAGCAAAATCTCCCGCATCGCTTGGTACCTGGGCTATAGGGAAAATTGCGGCGAAATGTGAGATAATACATGGGAATAACTTGGTTTATAGCAATAACGAAAAAAATCAGAACATTTTAGAATATATTTCGGATGTACCACTGTACTTTAGGATTGTGTCTTATCAAAATTATGTTGAGTTTTTCTTTTTGTGTGTGTATTGGTATATGTATATAAATATAAATGTACAATCCATCATGGTTAACTATAAAGCGAATGCTATTTTCTCAAGCACTGCAAGTAGGGGATCGACAATAATAAACAACAAATTGCACATGGATATATGGTGTATATATATATAATGTTTATTTATCCCCCAGTGAATTCGGCTGGATAGTGAAATATGATTGAACCATATTATGTAAATTATATAATGGACCGTGGACCCTTGGATGTTCAATAAAAATCGGTTGTTCTGCAGATGCCACTCATTTGGACCAGGAATGACACAAAACAAAAAACAACAATAGCTTTCAAAAGTCTGAACTTGTCAAACGCAATAGCATACCATCTTGCAATTAAACATGGCTGCAAATGATTTTCCCATTGAAACCTCCATAATTCATTTAGGTATTTCCCAGCCAGCCATGTTTGATTACCGAAGGGCATACTGTACTTTTCCATATTTTCCTTAAACTAAAAAACATGTCCCAAGTTCCAAGTCTCATACGTCCATCACCAAGTTACTGCGTAAAATATGCCGTACCAAAGACTTTTTTCATCGCCTGCAGAAAAATCTGTGCACTCTGCAAAGGGATGTCCGGGTCGAATTGGGTTGCTATTCCGTCCCTTCGCTTTACTGCTAACCAGACTGCAATTGCATCACCATTCCAGTCAACCACTCGAATCTGTTTGAAACATGTTCAAACTCACATATGATAGCAGTATGAGCAATCTCAGAAACTCAAGGTTAAGAAAAAAAACATATAATTTAGAAGGTCCCGTCGCTTACCACATGTTTGCACAACAATCTTGTATGATCACGTCTGATGATGCATGGAAATGTTTGGGCGGTATCGCTTATTTATATAAAGGAAAATGAAGTATTTGCACAGGTATGACGTAATCGTCAAATGGGGAATCGCTATTTGGGAATGTGCCATGGCTTACCTCATCCCCAACAAAGCGTTTGAGGACCGGCAGTCAGACACTTTGCCACAAGGAAACAAAAGCCCGACATTTGGTTCTTCAGTCAATGTTCTCAAGTTGTACTTTTTGAGTGAAGGGCACTAAAGGATAGTAAACGAATAGTCTGTGCCCAGTATATACGGGACTTTGTGAATAATCAAGATTAATTACTTTACTTCGAGTTATCCCCACCATGACATCTATACGTTTTGTTACTGGCAAATCTTCTGGCATTCTATCTGACATATCTTCTGGCATTTTATCTGGCATATCTTCTGGCATTCTATCTGGCATATCTTCTGGCATTCTACCTGGCATATCTTCTGGCATTCTACCTGGCATATCTTCTGGCATATGTTCTGGCATATCTTCTGGCATATTATCTGGCATTCTATCTGGCATATCTTCTGGCATATTATCTGGCATATCTTCTGGCATTCTATCTTTCAAACATTCTGGCACTTTATCTGGCATACCTTCTGGCATACCTTCTGGCATTCTATCTGGCATTCTATGTGGCATATCTTCTGGCATTCTATCTTGCATATCTTATAGCTTTCTATCTGGCATATCTTCTGGCATTCTATCTGGCCGTTGAGGTCCAGCGGTGCACACTGAGCTGAGCAGGTCCCAGGTTGAGGTCCAGCGGTGCACACTGAGCTGGGAAGGTCCCAGGTTGAGGTCCAGCGGTGCACACTGAGCTGGGCAGGTCCCAGGTTGAGGTCCAGCGGTGCACACTGAGCTGGGCAGGTCCCAGGTTGAGGTCCAGCGTTGCACACTGAGCTGGGCAGGTCCCAGGTTGAGGTCCAGCGGTGCACACTGAGCTGTCCAGCGGTGCACATGGGAAGGTCCCAGTTTGAGGTCCAGCGGTGCACACTGAGCTGGGAAGGTCCCAGGTTGAGGTCCAGCGGTGCACACTGAGCTGGGCAGGTCCCAGCCAGCGGTGCACACTGAGCTGGGCAGGTCCCAGGTTGAGGTCCAGCGTTGCACACTGAGCTGGGCAGGTCCCAGGTTGAGGTCCAGCGGTGCACACTGAGCTGTCCAGCGGTGCACATGGGAAGGTCCCAGTTTGAGGTCCAGCGGTGCACACTGAGCTGGGAAGGTCCCAGTTGAGGTCCAGCGGTGCACACTGAGCTGGGCAGGTCCCAGGTTGAGGTCCAGCGGTGCACACTGAGCTGGCAAGGTCCCAGGTTGAGGTCCAGCGGTGCACACTGAGCTGGGCAGGTCCCAGGTTGAGGTCCAGCGGTGTACACTGAGCTGGGCAGGTCCGAGGTTGAGGTCCAGCGGTGCACACTGAGCTGGGAAGGTCCCAGGTTGAGGTCCAGCGGTGCACACTGAGCTCGGACGTTGGCGAAGAGCTTGGCGAAGAGTTGGCGAGGCAACAGTGGACGTGGAAGTGGAAGAGGAGGGGGAGGAGGCGGACGAGGACGAGGAGGAGGAAGAGGAGAGCTAGTCGAGGAGGAGGAGGAGGAGGAGAAGAACAACTCTGATAAAATCTAACAACCCTCACCTGGCAAATGGGAAAAAATATGCCATTGGAACAAAATAAATTTGCAATACGATGGAGTATGATGGAGCGCTTCGGGGCATAGCGGGTCCATCGAACCTTTCTTCGGGAGTTTGCAGGTTACATGTTACTGTATGTGTTTTTTGCATGTAGCATGTCTGTGCGCCCCAGATTGTGTAACGCATATCTTACCTGCAAATTCATATTATGATTGTCTTTGTCAAAATTCATTATTGCTCTCACCCGGGCAAGAAAATCCAAATGATGCACATGTGAATCTATATTGGGCTACATGTGCTAGCAGCAGGAGGTCCCACCCCCAACAAAACATGTGAACAAATGGAACTAATGATGGTCATCCCACTGTAAATGGCCAGAACACATGGAACTCATGAGGATCATCCTACTGTAAAAGGCCAAATGGAAAGTACGAGACAACAAAAGACGATTGAATCTATTCACTACTGTATTTGAAACCAAAACACCTCCAAGCTTCTACACGTCAAGGAACACATGTGATGTCAAAAAAAAACGCACGATCCTTATTCCGCACCCCCACAGGAACGGAGAGCCTCAACTATAATTTGGTTTACAAACCCCTGTCCGAAATCAACTAAAGAAACTAACATACCCATGTTTTGTTTTTTAATTCCAATAAATCTTGCTGTTTGTTGGTAAGCCTAAATATAAACAAACTTACCTAACGGGACCCTTCCTGTCCTTGAACCTCAGCCACGTCCCATATCAAGCCTCCTCCTCCGTTGCCAAGAACACATCTACCAATGGTTGTGCTGGGACCACGTTGTAGTGACCTCAACGACCCCACAATCAGCGTACTTCGTCCCGGCCAGGGAGTTCAACAAAAGCACATTGGAAAATTGGACAATGGAACTTTTAGGACGGGATGGAAAAGTGCCAAGAGAATTCAAATCCTTTACAGCTTGGAATCAGCAACTAGGACTCCTTGTTCTTTGGATGCCTTGGGCTGTCACCCTTGACAGCCCCCGCTGCTGGATTATTATCTATATACTCTGTATATGTATTTATGTGCAACAAACCGCCGACCACCCCAGCAACCCTTGCAAGAATATATTGAGAAAAAATACTTAAAAATGCTGACCGAATCATTGAATTAATGATTTGAAGGGATACTTTGACAGGATTTGGTGAGTTTTTAGATCCATTGGATCTATTGGACCCATGAAAACCAGGGTGAATGGTGAGTCGGCGGGTGGTTTTTTTCTTGGGGTATCAAAGGAAATCCACGAGAAAATGGAATCTATAGTAGTTGTTTTTCCCCGGCCCTGGTGCATACAATAAATGTGGTTTCCGGGTATTCCATTACTGCAGAATCACTGATAAGTATCCCGCATATGAGACCCAACTACAAAACAGTATATATATATATATATATATATACAAAATAGGGGTTGCTTATGCACCTTAGCCTGGAGCCAAGGATTTAAGCCAAGATTTGGGATAGAATCCAGCTGGTCTGAGACCAAAGGGGCCTGGATAGAATCCCTGGCTTGACCCCACGGTAAAAACAATGCAAAATATTAAAAAAAAACAGCAAAGGGTTTTGGAGATAAAAATCCAAAGGCTTGAGATAACCCAACGAATCATCAGAAAGAATATGTCAGAGATAGAATCCCTGGGCCCGAGAAGCACATGCCAAAAGTGTCTTCAACTGAATTGATATATGGGATGTACATGATGTACTAAACAAAAAACAACCGTTTTGCATGTGTATCGTGTGGGCTTAATGCTTTTGCAATATATGCTATGCTGATTGCAGCCTGTTTGTTTATCTAGGGCCAACTTCGAACAACCATTTTGTTAGAAACTGTTCGAGATGTTCGAGCAAAAAAACACAGGATGTGCAGTGCGAGTTCGGAGTGGCAAACACCTACAAAACATGATTATTCTACATTATATATATGATCCATATATGAATCACCAAACATTCCAAACCATTGCCGGAAATAAAATCCAAGGTTTGAGGTTTTGGAATTCCCAAGGTCACCTAGATGAAATCCCATGAGCTGAGATTTGGCATTTTATTAACTAGGCCAAGGATGCCAAAGATAAAATCCAAGGTCTGACAAACAAGCATAGATATATCATAGAAATAAAATCCCTTGGTCTAGCATCCAACATCTTCTCATTGTTTGAAGCCGTGCTCTGGATAAAATCCATGGGTCAAACATCAAATTTTCCCTGGCTGAAATCCCTAAAAAGGTTTGAAGACTTTAACTCGAGGCTCCAGCCTAGGGATTTCAGCCAGGCATACCAGACGGCTATATACAAATGAATCTAAACATATATAATATATGTTGATTAAATATTGATTACTACAATGCCGTGGGCGCTTCCTAAACAGGGTTACCCACAACCATTGGTGTCCGTCCCCTCACAAAATGACCGATGTTGGGTGATCCCATTTGGAATTAACCCGCGGCTGGGCCACATCTCTCCTCGCGAACGTCGTACACTGGAGAACTGGCGGATTTGCTCCCAAAGCTACCTTGGCGGCTGGGAAAACACATTGGTTTCAAAAAGATTCAATGGATTGGTTCAAGCAAAATTTACAGGAAAGCCACATACTAAATGGGAAAATCTATGGTTTCCTGTAGATTTTCCCTTAAATCAATGCATTGAAAGATACGTGCTATGCTTTCTATTATCAACTATCTACTTGATGATTCACTCCACTTAGCAGCTGGTTTGCAAGTGGGTTTATAACAGTTATAGGCGGGATATGATGGGATTCGTAATGTGGTGCATCCAGTAGGCCATCCCACATTGGGGTCTATGAAATTGATTATGCTTTCGATAAAACCTCCACCGAGAAACAATGAGCAACGAAGGTTGACAGGACGGAAATCCGCACTAAATGGATATAGTCGCTGTTAGTGGGTGAAGGCTATGTCCAAAGTATGCCCCTATCACTGCGTAGGATGACCCCCAAATGGTGTTTTACGGGATAATTTATCAATTACTGTGCTTTCATGTGCTTTCTATTTTATAATTTGGAGCAACCCTGGAATCAAAAGATGGACAAGTAAATTCCTGGCAAAATGCACAGTCAGAACTGCTTGAACTTAAAATCTATGGTTGAAACCCCTGGAGGCAGGGGCCAGCAAATGATATATAGGTCTCTGTTGGTGCTTGCCTATAGGCTAACAAGTGGATTTGTGGTGGATATGTCTAGAGTTAGATGGGCTATCATAAACAAACCTAAAACTGCTGGGCCTGTACGGGCGGGAATGGATAGAAATACAAGTGATTGTGCCGGTTGCCAAAGAAGATTCGTAAAAACAAATCAATGGAAACACGTGGTGTTGTCTCCAAACGTGGAATTTCAATATTTGATCTGTTTGGTAGTTTCCCCTGAAACATTGGAAAGTCATTCTATTTCTATTTATTTCTAGGGTTGACCATAAGCACATGTGACACCATCAGGTAATTTTTTTAAGCATCAAATGTCGTCCCCCGCTTTTGCTTGGCAAACTCCCGGTTTCTGGTACTTATGGCCCTTATGGCCAATAAAATATGCAAACTACCTATATAGCCTATAACCTGTAGCAAAAAAAATCTATGCAAACTACCTAGATAGCCTATAACCTATAGCAGAAAAAACAGTGATCGGAATGCAATATAGAAACAATCCCTCACTCAAAATCGAACAAATAGAACATATTTGAAATGAAACATACCCTCCGCTAATCAAACGTGGCTGCTTGGAAAGTTTGTTTTGTTCGATGC